CTTCATGGCAATGCCCTTGGTAGACGCCCTCAAGCTGACACAGGATCTGGCGGCCAGGAAGGTGCCCGGACGGCAGCTCCAGGCCGCCGGAAGGTGGTCAGGGTTGACCCGCAAGAGATACATGTGCGGTTGAGCCTGTGGCTAACGACCACCCCTTTAAGCCAGAGAAAGCGGTCCTTAGTGGCAGGTGGTCCTTGGCTGCAGGCTTGCACCGCACAACCATTATGAATGTGAGACCGTCCGTGCCCGGCGAAGTGGTCGGTAGTACCAGACTGGTCGCTGGTCACGGTGGTCTTTAGCTACTGGTTTCACTGTATACCGAATCAGGCATGCCATCACAGGTCTACAGCGAACAGCACAGAGATCGACGGGACCAAGAATAGGGGATAGCGTGCGGCGAGGCCACCCCCATTATTTTTGGGAGGCACGGCTTCATGTTAGAGCAGTAAATTGCAGTTAGGGACTCAGCTGAGTCAAGCTGGACTCAGCGTGTCAAGTTTGGCATAATACAAGAAGCGCGCTATCCCCAAACAGTTGTGTGGTTATTGTGTGAGTGTATATGCAGGAGTCCGCGGTCACGTGAGGGGGGAGTGATAAATGGAAGTTTCCGGAGGAGGAAGGAGGAAACTGTAGTTATCACCAACCCTCACCGCGCCCAGCTCACGCCGCCACGGCGTGCGACCTGAGCTGGGCGCCCTGCCCAGTATGGAACTGTCCTCAAGCCAGTCACGTTTTTGGCAGCCCAGTGAGCTGTCTACCGGATCGCAGCGTTTAGAAGCGCCAAATGCGGCAGGGCCAGTCTCAGGCTGGTCGCGTAGGCGGCAGGCCGGCGGGCGACCGGCAAGGCTGCATTCGCATTTGGATCACCGAAGTGATACAGGTGCTTCGACGGCACTCCGTGGCGCATCAAGGAGGCATCTGGGGCCCAGGCAGCCCGCCCGTAAGCGCACCACCGTATCAGGTATGCGCAGGTGGAGCAGCAGAGCAAGATGTGTGCCGGACACTCACCATCATCCGGTCGACTGCATGGTTGTGCGACTTTACACAGCCGTCACTCATTACTTGCTATTGCTTGCAGAAGGCCAGAATTTTTTTTTTTTTTCGCTTTTTCTCTTCTTCCAGGCACGGCTTCATGTTAGAGCAGTAAATTGCAGTTAGGGACTCAGCTGAGTCAAGCTGGACTCAGCGTGTCAAGTTTGGCATAATACAAGAAGCGCGCTATCCCCAAACAGTTGTGTGGTTATTGTGTGAGTGTATATGCAGGAGTCCGCGGTCACGTGAGGGGGGAGTGATAAATGTAGGTTTGCAGCGTACGGCAAACCGTAGTTATCGCTGACAACCGAGCAGCAGGCAAAAGCCACGCGCGTGGCTAGGCGCGCAACAATGGGGGTGTCTGGCATGCAATGGCGGGCAGCCGTATTGGGGAAAGCCCAGGCCGCAGTACGAGTACGCCCATATGCGCGGGCGAGACTACCCCATATTTGCATAAAGGTATCAGCGCTACTAATGCAATGTTTACTACAAGCAGGGCTCATGGCGCCTAATCTCTATATTAGGAAGCAGTTCCTTTTATGGCACGAAAGGACTCCAGCGCGCGTACTAAGCCTCAGCCAAGGTACAGTACTAACCGAGTACGCAAGATAGAACAGGCGGTGTGGCGGAGCAAACATACCACGTATGGAAGAGGCGAAGTCCCCGGATGCCGCCCGGCCCACAATGACAGACACCACCATGCTTATATGGGAAATAAGGCGCGAGAGCCCACCAGGTAGGCCTAGCCCAAATTTGCCGGCAATGCTTCCAGCAAAATATCGGAATTTCCCACGAAAAGAAATTGCCGGCAAATTCCGAGCAAATTATCGAATTTACAGAGGATCCTGGTGTGTTTTGGCAATTTTATTCAAATTTCTTTGGTTTCATGGGCCAATGTCGTGCTGAAATAGCTCGTGCAGGTTGTCAGGGGTACATAAATTTGAAATCATGCTACAAAATCTGTAATACTGACACCATTATAAGTTTTGCTTTCCTCATCAGAGTCACCATCCACTTTTACCAAAGTAGACGGTTCATTCGAAGCCATTTTTGCCACAAAGCAGGAGCAAAATGGAGCAAAATATCGGAAACAAAAGGCAATGCCAAGCAAAATATGGAAAGTGCTCGGGCAAAATTTGCCGGCAAAATATCGAAGCGCCTCGAGCAAATTTGGGCTAGGCCTACCACCAGGTAAGGCGGGCCACATAAGCACGTGGCAAGCGCAAATAGCGTAAGACGTACCCACGAGGCCACAACGCGAGAGTACGGCAGCATGAGCAGAGTACGAGAGTACGAGGCCGGATCAACGCAGGGCGGACCAAGGTGTGGTAGTGCCACAGAACGAGGCACCTCAGCAGTTGGAGGTGGCGAACGCAGGGACAGCATCAATATTGGCAGCTAGCAGCAGCAGCAGATGGGCGTGATTTTTTTTCTTCAAGACTAGCAACGAGGAGCAGCAGGCAACCCTCGTTTCAATCGTGATTGCTTAATCACATGGCAAAAACAACAAAAATACAACCCCATTCTATGGTGCTATGATGTGTGTGTCTCGGGGGGAGGGGCGATAAGAAAAGAAAAAAAAGAAAAAAGGAAAAAAATTGGAATCCAGACATCAAGCAGTACAGTAATCAAACACCAAGTCAACTTCAAGCTTAGTACAAGAACTATCAAGATCATCGAGAAACTCAACAGATTCCAAAAAGAAGGTCAAAATACTTCTTAAACGCCACTGGGTCTTTAACCCTTTGTGGGTCTTACTCAATGTATGTGAGGGGTGGTCACGCAAACATGCGCACAAACAACCAGCCATAACTCAAGTTCTGTAAATTGTAGGTATGGGTAAACTATTATATTTTCAAAATCTGTATGCCTGGACGAGTCCAGAAAACACAAATATGACTATATCCAGGTAAGGGTAGGACCCGTGGTAGCCCTTCAAGTTGAGAGAAAATACAATTGCGAACAAAAAACACAAAAATCTCAGCACGAAGTGCATACCAAGTTCGTGATGGAGCTGAAGTCCTATGATAAACAATCAGGTAAGCGCTACGTCTTTGTGAAGAGTATATGCTCCTAATTCCGTCCTTGAACTCGAGTACCTCGCCATCGGCGATGCACCAGCAGCAACAGTTCCACAATATCACAATTTTGGTTCGTTCACCTCAGCGCCGCTCGCGTCAGATTCACTCTCGCTCAGCTGAGTGCTCAGGTGCGATGTCACGCATGCCGTGATTCTCACGGCCAGGCGAATCAGCTGATCGCACCTGACAAGACCTTGTAAGAGTTGCTGTTGCTGTGCTTCCTCGCTGGTTGGTAAATTTGATTTCTTCATTCGGGGACGATTTATTTGAGCTAGGAGCCCTCAACGCGGCTCTCTTTCTCACCACATTACACTGGAAATCCTCCAGGGACATCCAGCCTAGACTGGTTCCGTCAGTGTCCTTAGAAAGCTTTTCTGACACGGCCTTACGAGACGCACTCCCATTCTCGAAATGCGCGCATGGCGGATGGTCGTCTTTACCAATTTCACCAGACTTCAGTCGATCGATACTGCAAAAAATTGTATGGTAAGTATGGTTGTTTTTTACACCGCTGGAAAGCCTTGAACCTCAGCTACGCGTGGAGCACCATTTTAGTTGTCTCCTAGCAACAAAACTCACAGAAAATGCGATTTTACTGTAAGGGTCACATACGACCCTTACGCTTATGTGAGACCCATAAAGGGTTAAAAAGATCCCTGAGTTGGTTTGCAAATGTAGAGGACCTCAGGTACGGTGGTGTCTGCGCCACTCGGCAAGAGTCGGCAGGCAGTGTATTAATTAAAGAAAATTGCGGGGTATGTAGCGTGGTGATGTCTGCGGCCTTTATACTCTTTATAGCTTTTGATTAAATTATTATCTCGTCGCAGATTATTTGAACTTTTTGTCCTTCTCCTTTTTTTTCACACTAAAATTGGCTCACCATCAGAGTTCAATTTTGTATTTGTATTTTCATTTTTACGGGATGCCCCAGAGTCCAGAAAAAGGTCAGAATCGAAGAGGCTTCTAAAGTGACAATAAATTTTTAATTCGATTGCGGATTTGTGGGGAAGAGATAAAGTATAAGTCAAGTGATACCTTTGCGAAGAAACAATTGGCACTCTGATATGCAACGATGGAGCTTAGGGTCCAGCGGATTCTGCCGGCAGAAAAATCGGCAGAATTCGGTGCTTTTTGTGGTAAGTTTCATGCATGTTTGGTATGCGGATAAAGAAATGGAGCAGAATTCGAGGAATTGCCCGCCATAAGGTTTACATGTATATGGTTCTGCCAATTTTACTGCTTTTCGAGCAGAATCTGCCACCTTTTCGAGCAGAATCCGCCGGTCCCTAATGGAGCTAGCGCTAAAATTCTTCCAAATCTGCTGTTGACTAAATAATGCATTCGTAAACCAAAATGGTGACGGATACAATAATGAAGGTAATACAATTTATAGACAATAGTTTGTTTTTCCGGGCAGTGGCGAAATGAACTATGAATTGTGGGGTAAACGCTAACAAGCAGATGCCCATAGCTGTGCAGAGTTGACGACAAAATGGGGGGAAAGGAATGATGCCCCAGCCCCCCCCCCCCTCGAAACATTGCAAACAGTGCAGTTAGGGTAATTGAATGCAACGAATGGAGGAACACAAACTTAAATAATAACAATTAAGATAAGTCTGTAGCACGAATGGACATCATTGGTCTCTTCAGAGCACTCGGCAGAGAATGAATTTTAGTAGGAAAACAACTCATAGTTTCATAACTAAAAAAGGCAACCATTAGGCAGCGAAAACATCTCTCTCAGTAAATTCCCGTTATACCTCCCTCAAACTAGTACACTTTCTGAGTATGCATATGATTCCGCGTGGATTCCATGGGGCATTCAGCTATCCGGAGATTGAGTGTGGTGTGGGGTACTAATGCGTTGAAGTAAAAATGAATACGCACCTCAAAACGTTTACAAGCCATTTCAGGTACTGAGTCGATCCGCTGCGCTTGAGCAGCAACAGCAACTAGTGCGAGCATAAGTAACAGAATGACATGCAGCAGTTGAGGTAGTGCTAATCACGATCACATCAAGCAAACATTTCTTCAACCTACATGGACCTGCAGGACTCACGGATCATGGAGTCAGCCCTTAGTTTCCTGCAGAGCCGGACTGAGTGGGCCTGTTGTCCCGCACGGTGCTGCATAAACAGCCGGGTTGACAAATACTCCTCTTGACCATATCAACTCTTCCTCTGGGCTAAAGTCAACGGCCACTCTCGTCTTCCATATTCCATCTCCACCCCGGTAGGAATTGTCGGCCTCTCTGCTCAGTTTTACCATGGAAATAGGCCATCAATGGCTGTTGCGAGCCATTACTGTGCAGTCTCATATTGATCTCGCCAAGCAGGAATGGGCCTGATCACCTCTTTTTCCAGGCTTCGCATCGTGGCCTTGCCTGCTTTGTTGCATACCCTAAGGCAGCTGCTCGGTGTCACATTGGGTCAGACTTACTGGGAATTCACGTATGATGATATTTATTTTCGTTCCTTGTGACAGGTCTTTGTCAGCACGCATAGTTGTGCGAGGGTGGGGATTTGACATGTGGCCGACCTCGTTGGCTTCCGGGGTCGTGCCGTTTGAGTCCGGTGCTGTCAAGTAAACGAACTGTACTCTCGAATGAATCCTTTGCACGAACAAGCCAGCGTCTTTGGATGTCACTGCAAGTTGGAGATTTGACACAAACTATCCGTGCCTCGGATCATGCAGCTCACCACCCGTCTAGGAGTTGACAGGCGGACAGTGGTGGGCCGCATTGATGTAGCTGAAAAATTCATTGACAGGTCCAGTGCCCAACTCAGGCGCAGCACACCAACGAAAGGTATATTAGGTGGGACGCAGATTTTAGTTTCCGTAACCGGTCTATGTTCTGAGTGATGAAAACTCGCTATTGGATTTGCCCAACAAAACCCGACTCGCACTTGCAACTACCAGGCCATGGACTGTTTTAAAATTGCAGAAGATATGACATTCTATTGTCATTGTGTCCATGCTTTGCCAACAGGCAAATTGCCAATACAATAAACATTGTATCAGGAGATCTACTCACTAATTGTTGGGTGTTGTACCGGTAAACCTGAAGTGTAAAAAAGGAACGCTGATAAGATTGGACTCGGATTGAGAGCCTAGGATGAATTTATAGAAAAGAAAAGAAAAAGGACCAAGGAACTACAAGTTGCGCTATAATGTCCTCTAACACCACTGGTTACTAAACAATCTGCTCATACGATAACATTGCACGACACTGACCGACGGTACTGACGTTCCACAACTAACTACTGGCTAACAGCTCTAGCACATCTTGGAGTAAACTGTCTATAACTTAGAACCTTCCAAGTTGGAAGGCTGTTGGAGTGCGCATCCAAGATGTGCTAGAGCTGATAGCCAGTTAGTTGTAGAACGTCAGACGGTGCAATGTTATCGCATGAGCTGATTGTTTATTAACTGATGGTGTTAGTGGACATTATAGCGTAGCTTGTAGTTCCTTGGTCCTTTTTTCTTTTCTATAAATTAATCCTTGGCTCTCCATCTGAGTCCATTCTTGCACATCTGATGAGCCGTCCTTTATCTACTGTTTATCGCCTTCTTAGTATTTGACCCCACTAATTTCCCTGATACCTAAGCGGTCAAATATATCGCGTATTTGACTGCTTAGTCAAATACACGATATATTTGACTACTTATATTTGACTCCTTAGAACTTCTTGGACTTAGAAATTTTCTCTCCAACTTAGAAAAAGAAAAGGGGACCTCGGTCTTTTACTCGGTCTATATATCCTGTATAGACCTCCTAACCGGTCTATAATCTATACATAAGTACCAAATTTTCGTTTGGAATTAACTTTCGCTATATTCGTTCTGGTGGAGTGATCTAACGAAAGATTTCGTGAACGAAAATGTGTACTTACATGTATACAGCACATGTATACGGCGAAACGATCGTCGTGTGAAACTGCTGCTTGTTACCGCTGCTTATTGTCCATCTAAATTGCCGTAGTCGAAGCACCGTGGCGTTCGGTTTTGCATGATTCTTGTTCGCATAGCTTCCCCTCATATTGATCTTCGCATCTTTTGAGCCACACAAGTTGTGTGGAATGTTGCTTTGCGTCCTTGAATCGTGGTTTGACCGTATTGTCCAATGGTCTTGCCAGTATCGTCATCGACATGCATGATTATCCTCCAACGTCCTTCACAGCTGGACTTTCAACTCGTGCTTGTCTTGATTGCGCTCACCTTCCCTCCTTATGTTATGATTGTTATTTCTATAACTTAGAACGTCCAAGTTGGAAGGCTGTTGGAGTGCGCATCCAAGATGTGCTAGAGCTGTTAGCCAGTTATTCATTTATTATTCTTTAATTTCACGATGGCCCATGGCCAATAAGGAAGATAATATGATTCAGTTTAGTTGTAAAACGTCAGTACCGTTGGTCAGGGTCGTGCAATGTTATCGCATGAGCTGATTGTTTTGTAACTGGTGGTGTCAGGGGACATTATAGCGTAACTTGTAGTTCCTTGGTCCTTTTTTCTTTGCTGATAAGATTGTATTATTATTGCATTTAGGAATTAATATTTAGCCTCCCAAATAGGCTCTGGCGGATTATTCTCGCGAGATCATGGAATTATGCTTTCATGGATTCTCGCAATATGCTCGCAAAATCCTCATAATATTATGCTTTGGCACGCGGGGATACATATTCACTGTGTTGTACTTATACAGCCTCAAAGTTCGGAAAATTGTGCCTTTTCCGTACTTGCAAGTGGTCATAAGTACAACGTACAAGTAATACATGAGTATCTCCATACCAAGGTATCCATGCATTGCATGCTAAAGATCAACATGGAAAGAGAAAACATTACTTCTTCTATTCTTTAGTTGACTTCTTTCGTAAAAAGATTTTTCATTGCCAAATTAGTTTGAGTTACCTTTGAAAATTATCATGTTCAGGAACTGTCTTCGTAATCGTCATACTCGTCCAACCGATGTTACCCTCACCCTGCGAGTAATCAGCTCATCTCTCGTAGCTCCACCACTCCTTCCAACATGACCGAACATCAACTATACCTCAATTTTGTTTATTGGAGCAATATCCATAGCCTGCACAGTCATGGCTGCCAAAATCGAGAGGTCATAATTATGACTTCTTGTTCGTAACATGCATAATGTAGACTCTACATGTACGCGAAGTTTTGCGGACTACCCGTCACTATCTCGTCTGCCCCAGGATACCTGATAAAGGCTGATTCACTCGCATCTTCTGCTACATGCACTGTATCAGTGTGAGAAAGAACGTTACTTTGAAGAAGACGAGTTCGAGCATACAATAGTGTGTTGCCATGATTTCTACCCTGCTTTTCATTGAAAACACTATCTGCATGACCTCCGAATCCTAGGCTTTAGTGGCTTTACTATGCAGACCACCAGCACTGATCAGGTGCATTGTACACAATTGTGTAGCCTACATACTAGAACTGTGGTGAATCATGTAGTTATGCTCCTACCTCCAACAGGATGCCAAATTATGCTCAAAATGTTCAACCACCAAATTATGCCAATAATTATGCCAGCATACTAGTAATCCGCCAGTGCCTACTCCCAAAGCCTAAGTCACGTGTCAAGTGACAGTACCCACGTGTCGTGGAGCCAAACCTGTACTGCAGTCTTGCTCAATGAAATCCAGTCGCATCACGCCAGTACGCGCCGGGCGTTGCGCAGCCCTAGACCTGCGAACACTGGGCCGGGAGTACAGACCCTTAATTTTAGTAAAATTCTTACCGGTGTGCATCAACTACTGTAAAAGCCATAATATTATAACGAAGTGCTAACTCTAAACTAGGGAGGGCCCAAATATGCTCAAAAATGTCGCATATTATGCTTTCGCATATTGGCCACTTGCTTCAAAATATGCTTCGAAATCACACAAAAGCAGAAAAATATGTTCGAAATATGCTCGAAATATGCTCGAAATATGAACTGATATCAGTGATAATAATTATGCTTATACCCAGCTCATATAACCCCCACTAATTCCTGTGATCTATAACTGGTGAATATGTATTATAATAAATGTAGAGCCGAAGGATTTATTGCAATTACATACCAGTATAAAAACCGAGGTCCCCCGAGGTTTTTATAACTGGTATGTAATTGCAATAAATCCTGAGGCTACTACATTTATTATACATATGTTGACCTTCACTTTCCCTAAAAAGGAGTATTTTATAAACAGTATTTATTGGCCTAGTGATATTTATAAACAGTATTTATTGGCCCAAAAGCCAATAAATACTGTTTATAAAATACCACTAGGCCAATAAATACTGTTTATAAAATACTCCTTTTTAGGGAAAAGTGCAGTGCACCAGTAGTGCTGCATGGAAAAGTACAGTGGTATTTATTGAGTCAAGCAAATTTATTTGAATTTGATACTGTTGATGGTGTGGTCACTAATGAGTGTGGGTATTTATCAAAGGTCAATATATATCTCCATATTCACCACTTTAACTTGGGGTATATACTTTGCTATATTACCCACTTAGAGGTTGTAAGTTTTCAACTTTCAAAGGACTTAGAAATTTTCTCTCCAATTGAAAAAGGAAAAAATTGAAGAGAAGAAAGAAGTTTCAGCAGGAATCGAACCTGCAAACATAAGATTCCCAAGCACCTACATGTATCTTGACCACCCAGCCACCAGGGTGTTGATGCAGATGTTGGTTGAAAGATAGGTCTTAGGTCTGGAACACGCAATGCTACCTACACATAATAGTATACTATAGTATACTGGGATACTAAAACAGCTATTTCGGACCAGTATTTCAGGCCAAAAACGAAGCTAGGTATACATAGATTAGAATAAACACCTCTGTCTTGTGTTTATGGGAATATAAACACTGTCTATAAAAACCTCGGCTACGCCTCGGTTTTTATAGCAGTGTTTATATTCCCATAAACACTACGACATCGGTGTTTATTCTATACGAATTCTTTGCTCCTTGTAGCAAAATATGCTACATTTGGTACAATATGCTAGATTTGCTACTTTATGCGACCTTGAGTCGCGGACACTCTCTTTTCGGGTCAAAATTTCGCCCCGTGTTTGGATGAGCATTTTTCCTTCCGGGCTAAGTTTGGAAGTGTTCCCTGACCGAGCGTGCCGTGGTAAGTTTCCTTGTCCATTCCCGCAATCTGCTCTATAATTATGCGAATTCTTCGCTCCTTGTAGCAAAATATGCTACATTTGGTACAATATGCTAGATTTGCTACTTTATGCGACCTTGTGTCAAAAGGACCAAATACCGGTATGCGAAAATATGCGCAACCGGCCCTCCCTACTCTAAACTAAAGAGTTAACGAGGAGAAATCTGTCGTTAAAATAGAAATCGTTATACAGAAATCGATACATATACTGTCCTATTGAGTAGGCCTTGACGGATTATGCTAATATTTTCGTGAAATTATGCTTTTCGCATTGCTGAAAAAATGGCAGAATTATGCTATTTTTATGCTAAAAGTTATCATTATTATGTTGCATTATGCTCACATAATGCTGCTAGGACGAGTGGGAAGAAATATAACTGGTTTCTTCCCACTCGTCCTACTCGCAATCCCTGCACTTTACCTAAAGCCCGAACCTCAGCTTATACCAGATCTCCGTTTTTCGCTGCCTATTCTCTCTGGCTGGCCCTGCCTCTATCAGTAAAATCGTCTTGTACGCTAAAGGATTTCAAGGCCAACATGAAGCTCGTGTTCTAATAACTGCTAATTCTTCATCCGGATTTGTTTCTCTTTGCCTCCAGTAATGTGTAATATTAATTTTATTTATTTTTGCTTTGTTTTTGTTTACTGCCATGGCTGGCTACCGCCCCCTCCCTCCATATTGGCCTATATTCTCTGGCCACGGGAAGGTGAAATAAAATAAATAAATAATGTATATGATGGTTCTGTGCAAAATAACAGAGGGATTTTTTTGTACAGGGCGTTGTAGGCCTCGACCAAATATGCTAAAAAAAAGAGCATATTATGCTCGTCGCATATCAGGGAAAACGTCCATAATATGCCAAAGGCTTAGCAAGATATGCAAAAAGATATGCCAAAATATGCCAAAATATGCTCGACATAAGCAGAAAGTGTAGATCATTTCAGTAAAATTACAACCCGGCTATCATGCTTATGGTGCAAATCAAAACACTTGCAGTATGGCTGGGGTGTGTCCCCGCAGACTCCCCTGCAACCGTAGCGATAGTGTTCATCCATGGGGAAATGTAGCAAACGCCTCAACCATTCCAAATTCATCCATAAAGGCATTTCTGAACAAATTTTGTGCATAATATAAACGTTTTGTCCTCATTTTCTTCAGAATATTTGAATTATATGCTGGCTCCATTCCAATATTCCCTTTGTCACTCAATATGCCATACATGAACTGTCTCAAAAAATATGCGGAAATATGCGCAAGCATATTAATTTTGGTCGAGGCCTAGGGCGTTGTACTGTAGTAGCAAAAGTTCAACGGGGTCAACGGCTCAACGCGCCGTCCGACCTACAAACAATTGTAGCTACGACCGTCACTGATTCAGTTGTTGTGGACTGGACATGTTATCATGGGAGTCGTAAACCTACGACTTCCTGGTGCATCTACTTGTACTTGTACTTGTAGAACATGTACAACTGTATGGAATTTGATGCGAACAGGCGGATTATTCCAATTTATGCGATTCGTATGCAATTAATTTGCCTCGAATTATGCGATTATTCGATTTTGGTAGGAATTATGCGAAAAATTATGCTAGCATAATCCGTCAAGGCCTACTATTGAGCGTTGAGAAACGCAGCCTCAGGCTGCGTTCACACGACAACGATTGAAAACGGTTTGCGTTTACACGACAACGAAGTAGGACCTAAAACGGAACGAAATCGTTGCATTTACTACTATCGTTTACACGACAACGCCCGAAAACGATACCTAAACGGAACGAAATGGAAGCGCACTTCAAAGTGTTTTGAAACGTTTTCGGTGAAAACAGTGAAAACGGAGCGCGGTCATGGAAACCATTCCGCGCGGGACTATATTTCGCGGGAAACACCTGACCTTTGCGACCACCAGCGCATGCAGCACGTACCAACTCCAACTATCGTGGTACTTCCCGCCCTTGCGCCAAGCCAGCACGTGCCAACTCCAGCCTGATCGCCCGTTTTCCGTTTTCGTGTAAACGGTTCAAAATGATTTGCCGTTCTCGTGTAACTTTTTTTTTGAAAACGATTCGAGGCCAGCCCATTTTCGTTCCGTTTCGTTTCGTTTCGTCTCCGTGTAAACGCAGCCTCAGTGAGTGAGAATCGTTACCTTTCATTCATCTTGGGCACCCTGTAAGAAGACCTTTGGGTCTGTTGGGAATGCCCAAGTAAAATAATAAAATACAAATACAAAAAAATACCTTTGGTACACGTTAACTAGTCAATTTTGGGAAATCGTTATATACGCGCCTCGTGAGAATAATGGCATTTGCAGTACCTCATGTGTGACTGTGAGTGTGAGCGACTGGATATGAACTTAGGAACTCACCGTCACAGTCACAGTGCTCTGTCGCACCTGGTACCCGCTCTGAGCCTCTGACTGAGTCGTTAGCAAGGTAGCAGCTAGCAGAAAATTTAGAGCGGACCACAAAGCGGACCGCAAAGACTCTCTTCGTATATCAACAAACCGGTCTTGTTCCATCATCGTCCCGGTACCCCGTAGGGGACTCCCCCTGTCGCCGATGCCCTCAATGACAGACTGGACATCTCATCATCTCCGCAGACTCCGCTGGTCGCAATCGTGGACTATTCAGAGATTGATCAGGAGGAGGAAGCCGCAGAGGACGAAGAGAATGTTAATCCCAGTGCAAAACCGAATCTGACCCGGGATGATGTTTGTCTCTGAGCGAAAGGTTAGTTTCCGTAAAAAAAACTATCAATAAAGAGAAGAGAGGCGATCGGGTTTGTTGAGCTGCGCAAGGCCGTCAGAATGACCGCTTGTGTACATCTCCTGCAGGCGCGCTTCCGGCGCGCTTTGTCTGTAGATCTACAGACGCAGAGACCACCAAGGTCGGCTGTCGGCTGAGCAGCAGCTAGCAGGGCCCCGCCACCACTTTCCGCATTCATTCGGGAGCGCAGTCGTGTGCTGTAATAATTAATTATTTCACTGGATATCGATGATTGCCTCTTTCGACTACACGTACATGATGTATGTATACAATCATGTACTGTCGTGGACATGGAAATCCGGTCGCACGTCTGGCGGCCCCAGGGCGCTGGCCATGCAGCCTTGAGTAAGCGGTAGATCTACACACATTCATTTTTATGCGCTGCAGCGTGCTGGTCGCATCGGATCAACATGACTTTTGTACACTGCATGGAACGCTCTGTTGGCGCTGAGGACGCCGGCCCCTTTCATTCGACCGGATTTCCATGTCCACGAGACAGTACTTCATTTGGCCCAAGTCTTCGGGAGGACATCAAATCGATTGGTTTTTTGGTGGTGAGAAGGGGAAGAGGGTCGAGACTGCACGATTTCGGATTGTTCGATCTAATCCTGGATACTGGAACGCCCACAAGCACATCAGGAGTTTGCTTGGAGTTACTTTGAGCGGCAAAGGGTAATTTGTGGCTCTACTTCCAACACTGCTGAGCAGCAGTATGGCTTCAAACATTTGGCCCTATCTTCTTTCATACCGAGACACTTGTAGAGCAACGCTGTCAACCTGCCATTGCAAAGCCTGTCAGTTGTGTGCCCTGTTATCGCACTTTCTGACTGCTTGTTTTCTTGTTGCGGTCGAGGATAATAGATAGGCGCTTCAGAACTTGTTCCCATGTGTTTTCTTCTATTTTGCATATTATATTACTGGCTCAGTATCCGAGTTAATTATGTTTATTCTCTCAATTCATACAATTATTGAAGTCCAAGCCTGGGAAAAGTCGCAAACGACTCCCTACCAGCTGCAGTGAAGTGGTAAACCGATCGATCGGCCTACAACTTACAAGAACCTTACAGTGCACACGGCGTAAAATACGGTAGTAAAATAAAGGTAACACATTCACAAACATAATAATCATAACGGTCAAGTAAGTAGTTAGTTATGTGATATGACACGACTGGCCGGCGATTTTCCGAGCCAAGGCGAGTGATGTCGGCGACGATGTCGCCAATGACGGCGATCCCTCAGCTGCCCAAGAATGCGAAGCTGCTTGCGTAGAGCGAAGGCACGTGTTCCGGCGAAGCTTCGTTTCATAGGAGATTTTAATTTATCAACCGTAAACGGCGGGTTGTTGGTGGACAGACGGTACCTTCGACCAGCTCCGGAAAGAACAGACGAAAGCATGCGCTTGAGCGCGAACACGACAGTCCTGGGATGCGATAGCGGATGCTACATCGTGGGTATCCGAGCAGCTGGCTTTAGGCCGCGCTTGGACAGAGCCAACGACTGCTCAGGAGATTGGGAGCTGATCCTTTCTTGCACATGACAAGGCTTGTCGTGTCGAGCGCTCCGCGAAAGAAGGAAAAGCTGGATGGTGAGCTGAGGAGGGGAATACAAAGGCCGTCAAATTGTCCGATATCGTTTGGGGTTGGACGCTATTCATCGTGTCTTCCTCGCCTGGCTCAAACTGTTACTTGAGGCGGATGGTTCAGCGTCATCTCGGCGTGCACTGACGGAGCTATGGTAAGGAACAGCGACTGTTTATTTCCTTTGAAACCTAACACCGAGGCTTGTCTTTCACCCTTTGAACTGCTGTGGCGAATGCGCAGAAGTAGGACCGCGAAACCAACTTGAACTGTCATCAAAGACAAAGGTTGATAGTAGGACTGTCCTACTATCCGACTGTCCGGGAATTCAGTGCACGAGTCAGTATGTTGTTGACCGTTCCGCCGAGCGGTTTTGACATGCGGAATTGACCTCCTCCGATCTAGGAAAAGGCTACCCACTGGCGCCGAATTACGTGCCCGCAAGCCACTAAATTATTGTGAAGGGTCGTTTGTAGAAGAGATCGCGCTTTTCTGGGTGTGACCTTTCGACGTTTGCGCCACCCCAGTTCGCCTGGGTGATGCGACAAGGGTGACGAATTCTTATTCTTCGAAGTAAGGCAAAAATGCTTTGTCAAATTTTCCTAGACTAGACTTGCGACGTTGCGGTGAGAAAATATACGTCGTGTTATTTGTACGTTGCATGCATGGTACGTGGTGACTGTACAAAATCAATGGCCCATCATCCATCTTTCTGTGTGAGCGCCACCCCTTGGCCCTTGAGAATGCACAGTTGCCTGTTTGCTTGATGTAGGTGAAATATAGGATACCATACCATTCAGGTGGATTGGTCCGCGGATAACAAGTGAACTGCTATTTGGCAAGATTGTGTTAACTTTGCATAATCACGGCTGCGCAGCTACAACGCAACTTCAAGGAAGACAACCGGGAAAAAAATGGCCTGATCCGCTCCGAGATGTGCGCTTGTTCAGCTGCCAGATTGAGTAGTGTCGTAATGGATATACTGCCCGGCCTGTTTTTTTCCGCACCCCACACTATGGAACTACTTGCCCAATTGCACGGCGAGGTTTTATCTGGGTCTGATGTGTATGCCTCTGTTACTGGATGCCGGCCAGAGAATTTCCCGGTGGACATTAGCAACATACTGGGCATGCTGTTCCTGAGCGTGCCCCTAGCTTCTGAATCAACCCTCTGGGCATTTTTAAATCCACTCTGCTCCAAAATGCTCTGCCATGCTCACGACATTATTAATTCGATGTTGTACTCTCACTGGTCATGCTGTTCCTGAGCGTGCGCCTAGCTTCTGAATCAATCCTCTGGGCATTTTTAAATCCACTCTGCTCGCGACGTTATTAATTCGATTTTGTACTCCCGTGCGAGTGACTCGCTCAAGTAATTCACGCTTGAGTGAGCGGTGCGCTTCGCTGGGCACTGGAGTTGCACGGTGTCGCTCCGTTTGGTCGGCACACGCGGTGACAGATCACATATCTCTTGGAGGAGAATAGCATGCAAACCTCGTGACAGCAAACTGTCATAAGAAAGAGTATAAATAGAGGACTGCATAACTAATTGCATTGCTCTGCTGGCCAGTGAAAACCGATCAGGCCCTCTGGAACTGTGCTGGAAACTGCATCGTGGACATGCAAGCCAGCCAGATTGCAGAGCTGCATGGTGTCTGCGGCTGCTTGCTTCGGGCTGTGAAGAACAGCGGATAGTAGGCACTCATGGTCGGCTTTCATCGGCGAACATGGCGTGATGCCCGCCGGGCATGCTGCCCTGAAATTAGAATCATGAGATGGGAATACAGTAGCACAGTGTGCACTGGCATCTTCTTCAAAGCGTTCCCCAGCATCATACCGAGCATGGGAATAGAAAACTCGCCTGCACGCAAAGGTAGATTAGTCTCACAATCACCATCCTGCTGCCACCTAGACTTCACTGAGCTACTAAGCTGGTCAATGATTTTACACTAATGTCATGTACAGTAGTGCTCAATGAAATCCAGTTGTGTCACTCAAGTACGTGCCGAGCATTGCGCTGCCATAGATCTGCGAACCCTAGGCTGCCAAATGATGCAAGGCGCAAAATTGAGTGACGCGGCTGGATTTCATTGAGTACCACTGTTTGTAGCAGCACGGCCGCATCAGAGCACTAAGCCCAGTGCAGTGTGACCCTGTGGCAATGCTGTACAATGCAAGTACAAGAAACGAGAGAATAAAGGAGAAAATCATGGTGAGTAAATAGCATGTATGTGTAGTGATAGGCTGGTGGTTACTGAAGGGGAAAATCCCTTGAAAATTGAGAATCCGACTTGATCTTAACACATTGGTTATAATGTAACACGCATGCACGTCTGCCCACATACCCGTGTATAAACCCACCCGGTCACATGATGTTGTTCTCGGTGGCGAATTTCACCGGCCAACACTGTCCGAGCAAACTCCAGCTCAGCAGGGCCGTCGACGGCCGGTCGCCCTTTTAGGGAGGGTGCACAACCGCTTATGTGTAGGATGGATGGTGCATGTCGTTCATGGTCATTATGTGCATGCTGAACCTAGGTTGACATTTTTAAGGGGGTGCCCCTGGCCCCCGTGCCCCATGCGGGCTACACGCCTGCTCAGGGTTTAGCCCCTCCACTCAAAATGGAGAAATACGGGCAAACATCGTGGCTAAATATTGGTGATGACGTCAACATGTTTTACTCCAAGTACAAGGAAGCTGGTTGCTTCCCACCCACTGTGTATTGAGCAGGCAGTAGTGTTCCTTGTTTCTTGCTGGTTTGCTGGTTCGGCGAGTGGAAAGTTCGTGTGTGCTCTGGATGACAGTCTTGAGTCAGTCAAGTGTTCAAGTCAAAGTCGGCAACCCTGCAAGGAAGTATCACTCCCTGCTCAATACATAGTTAGTGGTGAGCAGTCAACATACTTATAAGCATCATTATCATAGCTGTATTGATAATTTGCAAGAAAAATCATCACTCCATGGTTGCCATACATGTACTTGCTAATCGTTGCAGCTGGGAAGTTTTATGTACAGTGCTGGTCAATGAAATCCAGTCACAGCATCAGTAGCATCAGTAGCATCAGTAGCATCAGTAGCAACACTGAAGTACGTGCCGGGCGTTGTGCGGCCCTACACCTGCGAACACTGGGCTGCGAAAATTTTAATGGTGCAAGGCACAACCTTGGGTGACGCAACAGGATTTCATTGAGCAGCAGAGTACAGGTAAATGTCCAGGGTGTAGGCCAATTAGGCAAGCATGTCACACCTTCAGTTCACTGTATCAGTGTCCTTTCCCCCTTTTCACAATTCTTCGATTTGCTGCAGCGGACCCGGGCATGCTACGAACAACGCACGGTGTTTGGAGGTGAGCGATGGGCATGCGTGATTTCATTCATTTTAGCTTTCTAGGTTGCAACAAATGTTGTGGGTACGAAATGGTATGGGTGAAGGTGAAATCTGCCACTAGAAGATAAGTACTCAGTGTAGTAGACAGGAAGAAAGAATTTCTGTGGGCTTTGAAGGTTCGTGTGGCCATCAATACTGATTTTATACATGGCGCCGAAGTTTGCGGTTCATTTGTATTTTTAGAGAAGCCATTTTGTTGATTTGTTGTCAAGTTAGGGTTTATCGGGTGTTAGCGGCCATCGTGAGTTCCCTTCGGGAACGGACACGATAATTTACTCTTTTTTTTTTGTCAAGTTAGGGCTAGCTCTAATTCCTGCTCAAGCAATATTCAGCAAGCTCTAGAGTCACCTGCCCTAACAATCTCTGATTATGATCAGTAGGCACGTAGCTCGCTTGGGGGCACCCGCTAAAAAAATTCGCACCTAGGTTCAGCATGCACAGAATGACCATGAGTGAATGCACCAGCCATCCTTCACATATTATGCGGCCGTGCCCCCCCCCCCCCCCCCCCCTCTAAAAGGAGGACCAGCTATGCCCCTGATCAGTACTGCTGTTACTGTGTTTGTGTGCTACTTCACACGTACAGCGCAACTCTTAGCTGTCGTCGTAGTCTGGGCTGGCACCATAGGTGTTCTGGTGCCGATCAGCCATGGCGAGGGTCACTGCGACTCCTGGGAATCCCCGGCCATTGCCAACGTGCCGGGGCGCTCTCAGATACGCTTTCTGCTGCGCGAGGCTGTCGGCCTGAATTCGCCGGAGGTCTTGGATAACTGCTCAACACGCGTGCCAGTGGTTGACTTGATACCCAATACTGGAGACATCTATCTGCTTACGAAAAGATCCTCATCTGTGTGCACGAAGCTGAATCTCACAATAAGCTTTACCAACATAGCCAGGCTACAGAAGAAGCTGATTCATGCCAATTGCAATAACTATACTGAGCAGGATGGAATCAACTGCAGCTTTGCATTCCAAGCCGCCACTCACGGCGAGATTCTGACGTGCATTAACGAGACTACTGACTACATTAATGCAAGCCGACTTCCTTGCGGACAGGGCTACTACCAGAATACGGCTGGCCACTGCACGGCCTGCAATGTGGCTAACTGTGAGGAGTGCGAGAACGGTACAGCCAGCGCCAAGTGCAAGACATGCTTCACAACCAGCGTCACTTCTGGTCGGCGCGTGTATGCATCCCCGAACGGTACATGTGTCACTCACGACAAGTGCGGGAATAGAATGTTTGGCAATAGCTCATCGAGAACATGCTCAGTGTGCAAACCGAGCAGTTGCACAAAGTGTTCCGAAGGTGACGGTCAATTCTGTTTCAGCTGCGACAAGAGCTCAGTGTCCAACTACACCTGCAGCCAAAGCTGCAGTGATGGCTTGGTGAAGAGTGCTGCGAATAGCGTCACTGGGCAACTCTGCATACTGCCCACACTGTGCCCGCTGGGATACCACAACCAGACAGGCATGTGCGCCCGCTGCAGCGAGCCGAATTGCCTGGCGTGCCCGCAAGATGTGTGCGAGAGCTGCGCGCAGCCGTTCTATCTGCTCCGCGAGGGCAGCGGTCGCTGCGTCGCTCGATGTGATGGCGATGAGATCTGGCGCTCGCCGCCCGCCGACCTACTGTTGTCTAATGCCACCAGCGGCTTTGTTCTGTCCTACTCCAAGAATGAATGGTCACCGACTTGCATGCCAAGGTTCAACAACACTATGGCGAACACACTCTGCGACCGCATGCAGCTGGGTACCTTGGTCAACTGGCGCCAGGAGCACGCAGACCGCTGTGTATCTTCAATCAGTCCGATTCTCTGCAGCACTACCGGTGCCTGTGCTGCCGACGGCATTGGCGGCAGCAGCAGTCGACTCTGGCTTCACTGCTCAGGGCCTCCTCGCTCCTGGGAGTGTGCCAACCTGACGTTGTACGCCAATCGCGCCGGTAAGTAAAGTCAGCGTAGGCCTGGACGAATAAGTGCTGCTTAGACGCGATGCCAGGAAGTCTGTAAGCATTCCTAGACATTCCTGTGGAAACACACATCACGCACCCTTGGGGAATTTTCTACAAGCTTGCAAGCTCGCCGACGCTGAATCCTGCCAAGTTTGGGTGATCTGCATTGCCAATTTGCTTGGAGCTGAAGATAAATAGATAGGAGGGGTTTGAAAATGAAGAAAGGAACTATGCATTACATCAAACAGAACATGCATTGAAGGGAACTGCAGAAATAGACAGTCATAGCAATTAAATGTACCCATATGAAATGAAGCTTTGTCTCAAGGAACTGTCCGAGTTCCTCTCAAAGTATGCTGTGAAGCCCTGTAGAGACTCTGACTCATGCTAATGTGGTAATGGAGTTTTCAAGAAGAGGCAGTGCTATCCACACATTTGTACGCATTTCCGGTGACGAGTTGGACGTACTCATAATACATGCTGTGAAAAGTGATGTGTGTTGAAATTTAGGGAGACACTGGTGTGTTCTTCTGATGGCGTCCCCAGGAATCTATTCCGAGGAGTTGCTGAACGAGATAGTTTCAGTTCGGTTTGTCGCCATGGAGCATAAGAACGTCTGGGTGACTTCAGCTCCCTACACAACAGTCTGTCAAGCTCTAGGCAACGAAACACTGCTGGAAATCGAGCTAGTCGGTGGCGACTGGCGTCCATCTCGCCTCGTTTCCCAGCAGCTGTCCCTCAAGGAGCGGAGAATAGAGATGGCAGCTGACAATGGTTTCGACGACATTCCCGATGAGATGACGCTGGGTTGCAGTTCCGCTGTCGAGAGCACAGATGGTGATAATCTAACAGTTAGCCTCATCAGTAAGTATACTTTTGTACTGCGTTCACAAGGAACTGTGATCATCTTGCTTTTGGCTGTGAGTGAGTGGGTCAAAACTCAAAAGGTGACCTTTCTCTGAATTGTCAACCTCTCCTGATAATAACTTCCGCAGTGCTATCCTGACTCACGCGTACCATTGGCGCGATGGTCAATCTGCAATCAGGTAACCATGGTAACACTAATACCAAGGTGCAGTCACCGAAATAGTCCCTCCCGTTTTTGGAGGCTGATTGCGAAGGCCTGATTTTCACGGGCTTGATTCTAAAGGCAAAACCACCTCAAGTTAAATTCGAAAAAATTGGAATTTGGACCAGCTTCTCCGTACATTTGCCGCAGTATCCGTGTCCTATTTTTGTTAAACCTGACTTCTTACTTCCTCTCCCTGGATCTTTCTGGACCAGTTTCAAGAAAGGAAAAATTGCACAAGTCACACAGCGCACAGGAAATACAGTTACTTCACCATGCTGTTTGTTTGCAAGAGACCAAAACTACCTGTAGGGTGCCAGTTTTGGGTGACTGGTGCTCCTCTGTCATCTTGCAGGGGCGTCGAACACGGTACAGTCACTACGGTGTTGACCGTACCACTTTTTGCCCCAAGTACCCCGTGAATCGATAAAACACACTGATCTGGACTCTAAATTTCCTAAATTTTCAGCTCAGCCATCGCCCCCCCCCCCCCCCCCCCCTCACGAGGAAACTGTACTTCAGATGGCTGACCGCACCACACTAAAATACCTTCCGACACCCCTGTCTTGTGTACCGTGCATTACACTATCTTAGTCGGCCGTCCTGTTTGTGCATGCAGGCTATCCGCGACCCAATCTAGAGCTCGACGATCGGAACCCGAATGCTCCAGTGGAGCACTTCGTGACCAACTACCCACTTCTGTTCAACATCCCGTGTTCCAAAGGAGGAGGAAACGGAACGTCAAGCACCTGGTATGACGGTACTGGTGCGGAAGTGAACAAGGCCACTCTGGAGGTTACTGCTAAATCGACAGCGCGAACCTTCTACTGCCAGGCAAGCAACAGTTTTGGCCATGCCGAATCTCGCCTACTGACGATCTCAAGGATAGGTTAGTCCAGTGGTTATGAAGTGATCTGGACTGAGCCATTTTCTAACCTTGAACAAGTGTATGCGTGTGTAGCATATGAGGAAGAGGAAGAGGGAGAGGGATTGGGTGGGTGGGTGGGGAAGGGGGGGGGGGGGGGGTGGACGATTAAGGAGAATTTTTTATGAAGCTACCCAAGGCTCGTTGGTGGTGGAAGACAATCAAATGTTCATTGTTGTGAGAGAACAAATTAACCTCCAATTGGGATGACTTCCTCCATTTAGTCCGTAATATGACTTTAGGACTATGTGATGAGTCGCATCTCATTGAGCAAACGTTTCCCCCCTAAAACAGTCATCTATATGTAGTCACAAAAATTGAACAGCAGTCACAGGAGTATGCACTCCCTGTGTTCAGTGTGCATCTGCTGTAGACAACAAACACGGGAATGAATACTATGGCTGTAGCGAGCAGAATGTTCTTGTCCCTGCCATTTGATTTCAGAATATAGCTGTCCCTGCCATTTGATTTCAGAACATTGTTGTCCCTGCCATTTGATTTCAGAATATTGTTGTCCCTGCCATTTGATTTCAGAACATTGTTGTCCCTGCCATTTGATTTCAGAATATTGTTGTCCCTGCCATTTGATTTCAGAATATTGTTGTCCCTGCCATTTGATTTCAGAATATTGTTGTCCCTACCATTTGATTTCAGAATATTGTTGTCCCTGCCATTTGATTTCAGAATATTGTTGTCCCTGCCATTTGATTTCAGAATATTGTTGTCCCTGCCATTTGATTTCAGAATATTGTTGTCCCTACCATTTGATTTTCTATGGACTGGTCTTGTGGTACAGTGGAAGCTGTTACTGACTGTTCGTTTTATGACCAGTCAAAGTGTAAGCATCTCAAAGACATTGAAAGTGCTGCTTCACGGCCAGTCGGGAGTCATGACAACGCTGACTTGTGATCCACAGGGATCCATACAGGTGTGGGTGTTTTTCCTTCACAGAAGGGTGACTTCCCATCTAGAAACAAGTACCGTGTTTTTCGGAGTATAAGCCGCACTGGTGTATAAGCCGCACCCCAATTTTTCATCTGGAAACACGAGTATCTAGCTTGTATTTCACCGTTAATTCGACCATTGTAATGAAAAACTCACCGACTTTTTGGAGTAAATAACTGGTGTTTTTCAAGTACGGCTTATAATCCGGAAAACACGATAACCGTCTTCGACTCGGATACTGAGCCAGTAAATATAATTAGAATAGAAGAGATCACATGGAAACGAGTTACGAAGCAACTATCCATGACTGTAACAGTAGCCTGTCAGTGTGTGCCCTGTTATCACACTTTCTGACTGCGTATTATCTTGTTACAGTCGTGGATAAAGAGTTGGTGGACAAGCCGTTAATTATCCACTCTCATTGTAATATCAAAAAGTATTCTTTCTAGACCAAAGAGTGGTGAATTTGATAAATAAAGATAGAAATATTTCTATCTTTATTTATCAAATATACCACTCTTTAGTCGTGGATAGTTGCTTCATAACTCGTTTCCATGTGATACCTTCTTTGACAGCTGTCCATTCGTGAGTGCCAGTGGCACAATAAAAGATAATCCGTGCGTGGTACTATGCAGGTCAGGACGTCGGAGACGAGGTGTTTGATGTCGACTACGGGTACGTGTTTGATAAGGAGTCGTGCAACATGACTGTCAACTGGGTGAATCTCCCTTCCACATTCCGATGTCGCACCGGTACCAACGAATCTGAAGAAATCTACACCAAAGGATCGAAGCGGCTCTTCTACGGCACAAATTGCAGCTGCACCGGAAGCAACGCATTCGTCAGTGGAACACGCAATGTTAAATTCACCGTTCCGCAGCTAGGTAAGAAAGCAGAGCAGTCAGCCGTTATGAGTTGCATGTCCTAGAACACGGTACGGTCACTACGGTATTGACTGTACCACCTTTTGCCCCCAGGTACCCCGTGAATCAATAAAATACACTGATCTGGACTCTAAATTCCCAAAATATTTCGGCTAGGCAACCCCTCCCCTAGAGTAAATTGCACGTCAGATGGCTGACTGTACCGGCACACTGAAATACCTTCCGACGCCCCTGTAGCTTACTTTGCTTGCGCCATGCAGAACAATAAAGAACCAGAAAATACCGAAAGTCACAGCTAAAAGGATCCGTATGATCATGATCCCGCGATGTATAGAATATTTTGGCACTGGGTGCTCCTGTCATGGTCAGCTAGTTTCTTCATCTGTGCTTCATCACTTGCGTTCATTCATTCATCATTTCTATCTGTTGCGTTCCAGCTAGAGAAGGTCCTGAAAATCATCTGAGAATGCTGGGGGGGGGGGGGGGGAGCAGAAAATGAATTATGCCGAGCTTAAAAGAGCGTCCGTGCAATTTGTGGGGGCAAACAAAAAAGGAGCAGTTTGCCGTGCGCTGTGCCTGTAACATGGCATCCACCTGGCACCGGCGCAGCTGTTTCAGTATTGATGTCACGTCAACTGTACATGCACAGTGTGGACCAAACCTCCACGTTATAGAGCGGAGTACTGTCATATCAGGAAGTTCCACTGTGACACGAGCACGCGGCTCTAACAGGCTTTACTGTGCGTGTACTCTGATTGAAAGGTAAAGAGAAATGTAGCATTGAGCATGAAATCATAATCAAGACGAGGTATTCAGCCGAACACCAGAGACTTGGCCAATTGCTCGTGACAGTATGCCCTTCTGTGTGCTCAACGCAGTCGAACCCAACGTAACCGCAACCTCAAACTCGACGTTGACGGTGATTGAGGATGATGACGTGACGCTCCAGCTCACGGCCAGGGGCCAGCCAGAGCCAAGTGTTACCTGGTGGTTCTACCGCTCCTACGTCGACTTTGATTGCAAGCAAGAGAACTCTACCAACTTCACAAACGTTCTGGACGACGACCAATTCGCATTCGTAAGTGGTAGTCAGGTTGATATGTTTCGGGAGATGGAGAGGTAGAGGGAAAATTACAGTCATTGAGGGCGTATCTCATGCACGGAGGCCAAAGAAAACAAATTCTCAAAGGGTTATTGGGTGCAAGAAAGAAAAGGAAAGAAAAACTAGGATATACATGAACAGAAGGACAGATGTTAGTAGCGCATTGCTGGTTAATGACCTGGCTATGTGGCGTCTTTTCCATGCACACCGGTGGTAAGAACCCCGGGGTGGAGTTTCACGTGCCGTTGTCTGCATAACACGGATCTTTCCGGGCCAGCCATGCTCCCCACAGAGTGGATTGCAAACGTGTGCCTTGGCCATAGGGAAACATGGACGCGACCAATGGGATTCGCCCTTTGGCCTCTGGTTGACATATCTGATCTATCCCCCCCTCATTACGAGGTGGACCTGACGCCTGGTCATGGAGTAGTGACATCCCATTGAAGCAGAAAGGTGGCATTGACCTGGTCTGTATGCGGATCTCCCTCCCTCCCCTCCCCCCCCCCCCCCCCCCCCGCCGTAATATTTCTTTATGTGTAAAGCATGACACATTGTTATACACGTGTAGAGTAGACCTGACGTGTCCTGCGTGCCTTTCTTCTCTCAATTCAGAATCAGACATTCCGTGCGAGAGACAGCGGCCGCACCAAGGTCTATACGGTCGAGATGGAGGCCAGAGCGACGGCGACGTCGAAAGTCAGCGGATTCTACGTGCCAGTTGCCAAGAACGACCTGGGAAACTGCACTGCGGGGAACACGACGGCGGTGTATGTAAAGTGTGAGTAGCCGTGCAAGACGATACTGTGACAGTTACGTGTAGCGCACGTCCAAGGGACACAAGTAGTATGTTTGGCAAAGCCTAATCATACGTTGGGGACACACTGAGCCAAGTTTGGAACACAAATCATATGTTGCCGGCTTATTATTATTATTATTATCATTATCATAGACAACACCTCATAGCATGTAAAGAAAATCAGCCAGTACGGGAGATGTGGGTGTTAACCAACCATGGTGAGTAAAATAATTACAGAAGAATAGTAACTTGGCAATACATTGTTTGATGAAATAATTTGGCTTGGCCTTATAATTCCTATGGATGCTGAATACTCAGTCTAACTGAGTCTCAAGCGCACCGTGAAATTTTTATATATTTTTTGGACATTTTGTGAATATCACCATCCAATTTGGAGTGGCAAATCAGTTCTCGTGCCATTATTTGACAAAAAAAATGATGAGTTTATGAATATCCCACAGACATTACAGCAGAAGTGGTCTAGATCCAGCGCCAACTGACAGGAATGGTGACCATGCTAGTACCGTAAAGTACCGCCAGAGCGCCCCGTCTCGCGAGAGCGCCCCGCCTTGATTTTTACAGCCAAGAGAAGAAAATCGTATGGCAGGATGCTACTAAGTTTGTACGATGTGAAAACCTTCGTGTACTAAGGTCACACTTGGTGTGCTTTTATGTGGCGCTCGAAGGTAAACTGGGCATGGATTGACTGCACAATGTGCAATGTTTGTACAAGGTCCGTGTCGTATGACCTGCAGCGGGAATCCACCTCCACAAGGCGGCCACGAAAGGACGAGATGGTGGGGCGCTCTGGCGGTACTTTACGGTAGTTGCAAAGTGCAAGTAGTGTCAGTCTAGACTTCATCATGCTGTTGTGTTTAATCAGAAAGTGGTGGACATCACGCAACTGCATTGTAAATAAAGGGGGGGGGGGGGGTTGTCAACTGACAACCGCTCTATTTAGTTGCTATTCACTCTTGGCACACGTGCTGGATGAAAATTCTTTTATTAGTGATGAGTGTCGAAGAAATGATTGACGTTTTGAGCCAGTCACCCATCGTCAGAACAGGGTCATCCAGCGCATGTGCCAAGAGTGAATAGCAACCAAATAGAGCGGTTGTCAGTTGACAAACCCCCTTCTTTATTTTTTATCTTTTTGTTGTGTTTTTAATAGGTTAGAAAAAAATCACGGTTCGCGTCAAACTCGGCTAGAGGCCGAGTTTTCCGCATCCGTAGGAATGCCACCACACTTGTGTTTAAGGTAGCTGGAAACTAAAGATTTTCTAATTGGTCCGAAATGTTTGGGATCTGAAGGACATGTATGCAGTATCTTCAGTGTGCCATGTAGAGGTGAAATGGCCAAAAAAGTTTTGAAAAAACTGTAGCTGGTCACCATCAATATTGTGGAGTAATGAGCACCCCAAAATTGGATATTTTCGGGAATTTTGCTCAAATTACCACTTATTTTGCTCAAAATAGGCCATGAGAAATTGGCCTGAAAGTTTTCGCTACTATTTTACAACTCCACCTTACCATGATTGTGTAAGATCCTGGTAAAACCAAGAAAAGTGACTGTTCACCACCGTGAAAAAGTGTTTTGATATCCTTTCCAGCTACTTTAACTCGCAGTCAAGCCTGTGTAAAGTCACGATCCTGCTCCTGTGCACAGGTCATCCTCGGCCTTTATCTTTCATGGGTCATTTGACTGGGATGGCAGCCAATGGCCAAGGTTTAGTGCTCTTCTGGGACAAGTGTGGTCTATCGGAGTGGCTACCCTGCCAGGTGATACTAGTACATATATGTCGGTGCAGTGGAAATATCGGCATCGTGCCTATACAGATCTTACCGGGATGAAGTTGTTGTCAAAAAGACTTTGCTCTAAGGCATTTTCACCCTTTGTTGACCTGTGGTTCTGACTTCCACAGACCGTCCCGATGTCGACATTACGAACCCTGGCGGCTTTTCTCAAGGGCTGGCAGCTATGTTTGAGTGCACGGCTACATCATACCCTGCTGTTACGTATTTCAGTTGGTCAGTGAACGGCGAAGAAGTCAATATGACCAACCCGGATAATGACGAGTCGGCCAACTGCTCCGCTCAGCAAGATTTGACGCAGAACACCACCGCGGCGCAATTCTGCTTCTACAATGTTACTGACCCGTCCGAGTACGACAATGCCGATGACGTGGAGTTCCACAAAACGAGCAAATCCCGTCTCGTCATGCGATGGGTCAGTGCGAACGAGGTCGGGTCTGTCGAGTGCTACGCCAGCAACGAAGTGGGGAATAACTCCAACAACTACCTGACCTCATTGCCACGTAAGCAACCCTTGATGCGTACGCTGTCTTCGTTATTTTGCCGGAGAACTAGGGCAATACGGCGCAGTGAGAAGGCAGATATTGCCTGTGCCTATGGTTTTAGTAAAATAAAGCTAAACAACAACATTAGTCCCCTGAGTGCCGGCCTGTTGCCTTAATCATTGTCGTTAACCTGGATTGAAATTCTGCAACTGTGTTTGTCACCTTTGTGCCTGACCATAATGTAAGCGTCCAACCTTTTAAAAAATTGTACAGGAGTGGTACATTATATTTCGCAGAATCATGTGTGGATCTCATCAAAACCACCCTCTTAACTACTGGATAAGTATACAATGGCTGTAGCTGAAATAAAGACCTCTGGGTCTGTCTTCCTGTTGCTGGGTGTAGACAAGGCTAAAATGAATGGTGAACAGGTCTTCAGCATTTTAGGATGGCGAATGGTGTAAAGCTCAGCAAAAGTGGATATGGTTTCTGCTGCAACATTATTCGATATCATCACCTCTGGCGGTGGGTCCATGGTCTAAGTAGTGTGTGTGTGTGTGTGTGTGTGTGTGTGTGTGTGTGTGTGTGTGTCTGTTTGTCTGTGTGTGTATGTGCATGTGTGTTCGTATGCACGTTTATGCGCGCATGCGGGCGCATGTACACGTGTGCATTCGTGCATGTCGATGCCGGCGTGTACATGTGTGAATGTGTGTGTGTGCAACTCCGTTTGCACGCTTCACTGTGTGTCCGTGCATGCAGGGAAGAAGACCGACAACAGCTTGATCATCGGTCTGTCAGTGTCCATGACCATTGTTTTTATTCTACTGGTTGTTGGTGCTGTCCTGGTGCTGAGGAAACGGGACCAGATATGCGAGGACTCTGAGATACTGGCCAACATTGGTGACTGGAAGAAACGCTCTGGTCGTGCGCTGACCAGTATCGTGAACAGCATTCAGAAACCGAACACGAAGGGGGACAAACGGCAGCGGAAATCTGACGCCAAGGAAGAACCAGCGGCAGTGGCAAATGAGCAGGCGATTGCCGCGGATACCAATAATGAAGACTATGAATGCCCGGATGCCATGGGCATACAGAACACGCCTGCGGACCAAAGCCTTGTCCTGAAGCATGCTGGTGCGGAGGAGAGAAACACCATTGACCGATACAGCAAGGATCCAGGCAGAAAAGCAGCGGACACCGACCGCAAGCCAGAAGCTCACGCCCAACCACCACAGGTGCCAGTCGTGGATGACTACCTTCCTCCGACTGATGATGAGCTCAAACTAATGAGCGCGCCACCCAACGGGACTCAGCCACTTTCGGAGCCGAGCGTGAAAATCCCCCCACCTCCACCCGAGTTTCCTCCGACTGATGATGAGTTATACGAAGAAGCGCCGACCCTGGAAGCGGACCCGCCAGAAACGGCAGACAACCAGGACGTTGAGTCTGTGGAGGAAGAGGGTGATGACATATACGAAGATCTGCCCGGGCAGGATGACAGCACTCCGCTGGATGCGCACTCCAATCATTCCGATCCCAGCAGGGCCAGCAAGGACGCTGCGGCAGCGAAACGACCAGGGTTCCTGAAGAACCTCTGGCAGAAGAAGACCAAAAAGCAACAGCAAAAGAAGGATCCTGGACCGCCGTCAGTACCGCCGCTCGCAGGAGTACAGCACACTGAACCAGAAGCTGAGGATGAAGAGACAGGCGAAGGTTTGTATGACGACATTGAGACTATCAAGCAGCAAATGACATCCTCGTCGCCGGCACCTGAGGAAGATGCTGAGGAAGGCGGTGATTTGTTGTACGAATGCCTTCCAGAGGACCAGCAACCGGCGGCCGGTGGTGCAGAGGAGATAGCAGAGGAGGACGAAGACGAGAACATGTACGAAGATCCGGGACTCATGGCCACCGCCGTCACAGTCACCAGCCAGCCTGGCTCCAGCAGCGGCGCAGCAGAGCGACGTTCTCTACCGGTACCCCCACCAGCAGCGGGACCAGGTCAGCGATCGCCGTCGCCAGGACCCCAGCAGGTACAGCTGCCTCCGCCGCCGCTGGGCAACCCCGGCCCGCAACTCCCGCCACCCAACAACAGTCCCAGCATGCCTCCCAGGAACACCGGCAGTCCGCTTGCCGGACAGGAGAAAGCAGCACCGCGCCAGTCGTACACGCACACAGAAATCCGCATCCAGCCCGGCAAGAAAACCGAGAAAGCAGCAACGCAAACACCTATCGCTGCGAAATCCTACGAGTTTACGGGAATACGCAAGCCGCCGCCAAAAGGCTCAGCAGCTGACACATTGGCCACTGCCAGTTCCAAAGAAAGGCCCGGCAAAGCAGCAACGTTGGACCGACCACCAGCCCTGACGACACCTATAGCCAAAAACAAGTCAGGCTCGTTGCCTCCAGGCACAAAAGCAACAGGAAAAGCTACAGTACTCCAGCCGCCACCACCACCGCCAGCCATCGCGCCGGAGGAAGACGAAGAGATAGATGACATCTATGAAGGCGGTGAGGACTACATTGACATGGCACTGGAGACTTGTGGTGCTAGCGCTGGATACCCACCTGCTGCCGCCGCTACAATGGGGCAAGACGGAGATGATGCGAGCGCCGAGGACTATCAGCTGATGGATGCAGGCGCTGCAGTGCCGGAAGAGGAAGCCGGCGAAGAGCTGTACACGGCAATGGATGCGGACGAACAAGAAATGTACCTGGAGATGGACACGCAAGGCCAGAATGCACCGTCCCCTGCTTCAGACGAGCTCTATTTAGACATGGAGACCAACCAGCCACCAGGTGCAGATGATGCTTCGGAAGAGCTCTACTTGGACATGGAGGCGAACAAGGAGGAAGATGGCGCTGGAAGCGGTGAGCTCTACATGGCCATGGAAGCTGACGAAGCGCCACCTCCACAGGCAGTGACAGCAGCCACTCTTGCACCAAAGCCTTCAGTACCAGTCCAGAGAAGCCCGAGTGCAGCTAAGCCTTCAGCCATAGTCCAGAGAAACCCGAGCGCACCGAAGCCTTCGGCCGTAGTCCAGAGAAACCCGAGTGCAGCTAAGTACGGTGGTGCGCGCGCACCATTACAGCCACCCCAAGCTGCAAACCAGCCACCTGTGACGCCAATGAGCGCAGCTACGAAATCCAGCCGTCCGCCTCCGTTAAGTCAGCAGGCGCTACCCGTCGGCCCGGCCAGGTTGAATAAAAAATCGCAGCCAAGCGCTGCAGCTGGACAGAAGCCGCTGCCAGCTGTCGGTGCAAAACCAGAGCCAGCTGCTCCCACGCCAGTGCCGAGTCGAGACGGAAAGAAGGCCGTGGACAACGCCCGCTGGCAGGGAAAGCGCAAGGATAACGAGGCGGCCGTGGCGCGCGCACCATCGCCCGGTGGGGTCGGCCACTCGCCATCTATGCAGCGCGGTAGCGTGGCTGCTCAGCCATCGCCACCGCCACCGGGCCGAGCTGCGCGCCCAGAGAAGTCGGCGGATGCTGCACCCAAGAGGGCCAAGAAATGGCCACCGAACTAGCAACAGTTACTGTGCTACTAGATCTGCTTGCTGCAGATAGCAAGACTTCCACAATAATGCTGTACATGTATAAATCGCTGCGTATTTTCCCTATGGATTTGTCACTGATGCATACTGAGAGGGATTCAATCTGGCTGAGCGGAATGGCTGCGGCAGACCCGTTGCCAATCCTTTTGTGCAGGCAGTGTTTGTTCTGGCTCGCAGAAATACATTTCCATTTTTCGAAGACAAGACAGCAGCATCATGGCGGCTGATATTCAAGCATGGCACAGCCACACTCCAAAATCAAATATCTCTATTTCAGCACAGAGCACGACTTCTGCACGACTTCTAGTGAATGTAGTATCTCATGCGTTTATCAAGAATCTACTGTCCTGGTTGTAGCCAACAATGGCACTTCGCCATGGAGAGCAAGCTGCTCCATGCATGAAGCTAAACTTAGTGCCCGGAAAGCAACGTAATTATTTCGTTGAATCAACACCCACCAACCGTCACGAGACTATGCTTTTTTTATTGGCCGAGTCCCACTGAACATGTCCCAAGTCACCTGATGATTACATGTACATTGTGCAAGCTGTTCCATGCATGAAGCTAAACTTAGTACCCGGAAAGGAAACTAATTATTTCATTGACATGCCCCTTCTCCAAGCTAGCCAATGGCAGCGAGGTGCCCCCACCCCCCGCCGGTCTCCCTCGTGCATGCTCATATAAAATTAATGTTCTCTCATGAGATACTCCATTTTGAAGCAATATCCTTTTTCAAATTGCATTTCAGTATACGGTAGCCAGATTTCAATAGTTTACGGCCTGAACACTTTCCGCCTCAGATTCACAAAATTTTTCTTTGTTTAGATCTGGCATCAGGCTGCTCCTGGACCTCAAGTCATAGCAATACCATGGCAACGCCATGGCAATACCATGGCAACACTTTACATGCTGTCATACCGTCTCGTACATAAAAAAATTCATTTATTCAAGTACATGTGTGTAGATAGCATTGAAGGTGGTTTCCCACGTCGGTTATTGTACAGTGTGATTGATGCATGCTCAGCTCGTAAAACAGCCTATGACATGTACTCGGCCGATATAGTGTACACGTGTGCGGCTGAATCGGTTAGCAGGCTAATAAGTTTACACCAGGGAGACGTAGAATACCTGCTCCATGGCTTACACACGCATGTCGTTCTCTAACTTGTTAAATAAAGCGCCGGTGTTCACGGCAATCACAGTTATTTAAGTCCGGCTGCAAGCGCAGGCATAGCTGTAGCATGCCATTGGCATTAGTGTCCGGCTGCAAGAGCAGGCGTTGCATGCCATTGGCATTAGCGTATCCACGTGGAGCAGCAGGAGTACGAGCAAAGTCTGGCACTACCGACGGACAACGCAGTGCTCTGGTGAATTGAGTGGAGCATCAGCGGTGCGATAGCCAACCAAACAATAGCTCACCTGGCATGCTTGTAGCAAGGACAGCAACGCCAAGTGCCTGGCAAAAGAGCAGGCCGGTACACTGTCAGCTTGGAGTAGGCGATACAGAAAATCTATCACAGACTAGTAGTGGTGTAAAGTTGTTAAAGACTAGGATGGAAGATTGTTAAATTGGAAACATTGAATCCGTCATCACTCAAGGAAAATGACGAGAACAAACAAAGACAATGGCCTGATACAAACACTGGGACAGAGAGCGTGTTGTACAATGCCATCCTGTGTGCAAGTCTAAGACGGGTCACAGTCGATCGCCTCACCGCCTCCTCTGGCCTTTAGCGGAGGCTTTGGATGCCTCCTTCTTGACGAAATGCGACGTGATGAATCGCGTGACCGCATTGTCCTGCTTCGGAGGCAGAGCAAAGCATGCGTTCAGGGACGTGGCTAACGCGTCCTTGTCAAAGCGTCCAGACTCGTCAAGCTGCACCTGAGGTAGCACACGTGCGCGCGCGCGCGCGTGAAAAGCATCCAAAAGTGAAATATCGCTGTCAGCCAGGATGAAAATGACACGAGCACTACGATTAGCACCAGCACTAGCAACAACAATAGTATGCAGTATGTTACCGGGGTCCGATTCGCAATTGCTTTACGCGAAAATCTGGGTCAAAATCGTGACCGCAGCTTAAACCCCGAAAATTTATTTCATTTAGTTTCATCTATGTACAAGAAAATACCACCTGGAATGTGGTGGTATGCCTCGAAGCGAGGAGTTCGACTCATACACCAGTGCAGATCCCAACCTGGACGGAATAGCCACAGTCCAGTAGTAGAATATGATATGGAAAGTTCCGACCTTGTCTTTCCGGCAGCCCTAGAGCTGCAAACACTGAGTGTGTTCGATTATGCACGCGAATCGATTCACGAATCGATTCATGAATCGATTCGCGCTATTCACATCACCCCACGTGAAATAGAGTGAATGGATTCCGAATCGATTCCAGGGCTCATGACATGAAAATCGAACGACTTGAATGCATGCGAATGGATTCATGAATCTATTCAAGTGCATAATCGAACGCAGCCACTGGCCTGTGAACTGGTGCACAGTGCACAGTGCAGGGACACAATCGGATTTCATTGAGAAGCACTGTACAGTAAGACCCTGCCCTAACCGGACGCCTTTGGTGCAGCGGAAACTGTCCTGGCATGACAGGATTCCGCTTGATCCGGCGATGCACGTTCGATCCAGAGCACTTTGGCGCATGAAAATTTGTCCGGTCGACACAGGATTCCACTTGTTACAGGTCAACCCTAGTTAGTACGGCATCGGACGAATCTCATTCAATAAAAGACAACGATCAAAACTCCGCCGACACATGAACCGCGTACATTGACGTCCGGATAGTAGATAATACTCGGTGCGAGCTTGAGTGACGCGACTGGATTTCATTGAGTAACACTGCACTTACCCGCACAAGGCTGTACCCGAGCCGGGACAGGAACCTCTCCTGCAGTGCCGTCTCGCCGTCCACGTTCAGGGTGCGGCGCACACACTGTTGCGGCTCGCAAACCTGGATGGCGATGGCACGGAACGGCAAGCCGATCCACTTCATCCTGAGCGTGAGGCATGCAGGCACACAGAGAGACACACACATGCACACACATACAAACACACACACTCAGACATGCCCATCGCGGAAGCGATGATAGCGAACAGCTATGTTAGACATAGCAACTTATGCTGGGATTACACCATTCAACAGCTTCCAAGGCTGATGAATTGACCGCCACTAATTTTAGACTGGTATCCACCACACAGCAGATTGAAGTGACTTTTTCTGGCCAGTGAATCCCTATTTTCCATTTTTCCATTTTACACACACACACACACACACACACACACACACACACACACACACACACACACACACACACACACACACACACAGATGATGTGCCAAACATAGAGATACAGTGCAAGAGAAAAATGAAAACATCAAACAAAACAATCAAAATCCAATACAAGGAGGCATACATCAGATCCTAGCGCCAGAGATGAAACAATTATATCACTTTAAGGTGGTAGGCATTTCTACTTCGTGTCTTATCAGGGAAAATGTGATGAGAAAATACCAGCAAGATGCAAACCATGCTTGCCATGCAACAAACATTCCAACGACGTGAAGCTCACCTCTCGATTTGCTCGGGCGTGAGCGCCTTGGCCAGTCGTATGCGAGTGGCAAGTGGCGGCGGTATGAGCGGTGGCGAGGCGGTGGACGGGTGCTGGGCGGCAGGTAGCAGACAGCCAACCTGGTCCATGACTATCAGCATGTCTATTGACTGAGTGAACAATTGTACCTGCAACAACAGCAGCAAGAGAAAAGGGAAGACGAGGAAATCGCAGACGTCATACTTCAAGGAAATCATTTAATATCCCAGTACGTTGAAGCATTAGAGTGGCACGCACACACACGCATGCACACAAATTTCTGTATACTTGTACATGACTATCAGCATATATATTGACTGGGTGAACAATTATACCTGCAACAACAACAACGACGACGACGACGACGACGACAACAACAACAACAACAACAACAACAACAACAGAAAAGGAAGATGAGACAGCCCGGTGAGGAAAATCGCAGATGTTATAATTTGAAGGAGATAGGTATTTTGAAGCGTTGCAGGGGCCTGCACACGCACACATGCACACACACACACACACACACGCACACACACACACACGTGCACCTAGACATACAGGCTTCTATATCAGGGACAGGCTTTTAAACAGGACAGCACTGAGTAGGGTGTGCACCACAAGTTGAGCTGCTGCGAGAAGGCGGAATGAAACAATGCAAAGATCTGACAAATACTCGTACAGTCATTCTACCCTAATCTCAAACGTAGTCTTACTCACCTCTGTGGCCACAAATTGATTGCCACCTGCCTGGTGGGCCACAAAGTTGTACACGTACGGATAGCGCAGGATAGAGCCCGGCGAGATCTTGCCGACTGGAAGCTGTCAACCATACAAGGTAGAAGAAGACAACAAACATAAACACAGTCGCAGGAATTAGACATGTACGCCTGCATGCGCATGAAGAAGAGCAATACTGTAAACCGCCCAATGTTTGCGTCACTAAATAGTTGCGATCTCTCACAAGTCAGAACCAGCAAGTTTACGATGGCAAATGTTCGCGGAGCACTGTGGCCACACATATACACCCACTGTTGAAGTTTGATTTCACGGTGGTTAATATTTGTGTTATGCTCTTCTCGCAAAAATAGCGAACATTAATACGTCGCAAACATTAGGCAGTTTACAGTAATCAGAGTCACAGCTATCACCTCTAGCACTGATAAGACAACATACTATATACACAACATCAACGCAATGCAAACGAACAACCGACACATGAATCACCATACAAGTGGGTGAACTGGCGGCAGTGCAAGTCTCAAGGGAATAGCATTGCATTTGATACCGTCACTATGTACTGCATTTGATACAGTGAACACTATACACTGCATTTGATACAGTGATCATTATTCACAAGCCCAAGGCATGCCTAGAGTACTCAGCCGTGCCGCTTACAACGCACCTTCAAGCTGGCGTCACGCAGAAATCTCCCCAGCAGCTGGTCAGACAGCAGTGGTGGCTCATTGGGGTGCGACATCGTCCACGTTATCTCCAGGAACAGCAGCCGCTCCACCAACCAAGCAGTCTCGTCCAGGTCCCAGTCAAACATCTCTGTACGCAGGGATGGGCAGAGTGGGACAAGCATACACATGCATACGCACACACACGCATGCATACACACACGTACACACACATAAGAACACACACACACATACACACACACCACACATACACACACCACACATATACACACACACACACACGCGCGCACACGAGAACACACACACACACACACACACACACACACACACACACACAATCAAGAGCAACAACAATAATTATAGGGAATGTAAAAGAAGCACACAGAAATAGTCTAAGAGGCGAAACGTTGCACAGGGTAGCAAGAAGGTATGAAGAAAAGAATGTGGTACAGTATTTCCCTGATCCTAAGGGAGCATCTCATAAGTTCGCACTTTTTTTGTAAACGTAACGCATTTCGAATAGACTTTACCCCCCTACCTCCCCCACTATTTGAAAGTCTTATCGCACATTTTCAGTGTAGATCTACTGTACTGTACATGTCCATGCCATGGTATGCACAATCATGTACATGGACATGGACATGAATGTTTTGCTAGTGTCTAAGTGAATGGCATACAGTAGTACCGCATCTACTGAGTACAAGTAAGTAAGTTACATACTTAGTTCAATCAATGACATGTACACGCACATAAACAGAGTTCCTCCACAACGACTGTACTGCTGTAAAAGCTGGCCAGGTAGGTCTACAGGGTTTGATCAGGCTGGTGTGACATTTGACACCTCTGAGTAGCCTGCATGCGTGTATTGTAGTGTTAGATCTACACCTAAAACACACCGCGTAGGCCGTACCCTGCTGCACACCGGCGTAGGCCGTACCCTGCTGTCTGGAGCAGTCTAGCACATGCACAGCACTGTATTGTACACATCCAGAAAATGTGCGAACTGTCATTTTTCTATCCGAAAAGGGCGCTACCCCCCCTACCCCCGTTTCGAAATGCGTTACGTTTAGAAACAAAATGCGAACTTATGAGATGCTCCCTAAGCGACATCATTATTCGCCAGGTCATGGTTCTATAGCTCTAGCTTGTTCACCTGGCAACACTCAACTCTAAGCCCTTCTTCGACCTTTGGCTCGCTGTAAAATTATTGAAAAACAGGTGCGGCTTATAGAGTGGTTTCACATCTGTCACATGACCATACCGGACAGCCATGTTGGTTACAACTCTTGGCGAGCCTCTGCATCTATAATTATATCACATGATGTCGGCCATGTTTGGTTCCACTGTCCACATGACATGATCACTTTCTACACAAATTTAGTCACATGACAAAGATGTGAAAGCACTGTATGTTTAAGGAAATGCATTACTCGAGCTTAAGTTCCCGGATAGCTCAACTACAGTGCCGTCGAGTGCCGAAGAACGGAGCACTGGAGAACGAACAGGCTAGGATTTCACCAAGCACAGCATGCCAATGTATACACGGTGACTCAACTGTGTACAGACCCTAGTGCACAGGTACATGAAAATAAGAACAGCCGGCTACAGTAGGCTAGGAGGCTGACTCCCCCCCCCTCCTCCCCCCCCCCCCCCCCCCCCCCCGGTTCCTTGGAACCTGACAGTACTGTACCATAAATAAGAATAGCAATGCATATCATTTGGCCCCTGAAATTCCACCGATCCCCTATCGCTCACGTTTGCTTGCCAGCCAGGCGCGAACGGCAGCGATCAGGTGCTGGGGGTAGAGGTCGAACAGCTGGCAGCAGTGCAGTATCTCCAGGCACTGGCGGCTGTTCCGCTGCATGTCGGGCGTGTAGCGCGTGACGGCCGCCTGGATCAGCGCCGTGTGAACGCAGCCTAGGTTGAACAACGACGTGACCACGTGATGACACGTGGCGTTTGTCCACGTCTCGCCGCCGCTCTGCAGTAGAGAGTCGGCGGACCAGGCCACCAGCTGCTCCGACCAGATGCGATCGAGTGACAGGGCGTGCAGACAAGACGCCAGGGTCCTAGCGTCAATCATCCTGTCGCCGACAGCCTCCAGAAGCCGACGGCAGCACGTGTCGAAGAACGAGTGGAAGTGCTTTCCGAGTCCGCCGGTTGCTTGCAACAGCGCCGTGACGTCAGACAGCTGCATGTGCGGCACCACGGCGTTGATCCAACGGCTAGTGAATACAAGAATGGGCTCGGGGATGGAGGTGATGTGCGGCACGCGGAATGCATTGACTAGGGCGATAACGTCTGCGGCAGTTAGTTGCGAGGCCATGGCCAAGAGATGCCGGCACAGCTCCTGCGTGTAATGGTCGTTTTCTCGTCCTGTTCCCTCACCATCCTCGCATGGATAGGACAGCCAGAGTGCTAGCAGCGGTAGAACATCAGCAGGCTTCTCAAACTGGCCAAGCTTCTTCATTGCTACATAATAGGCAGCATGGAAGCGCTGGCTAAACGGCTGTCCGGCGTCGACGAAGAGAACGCCATTCTGAGGGTACGCCATGCGAGCAAACTCGGCAATTTCCCCTGGACTCTGAGCGCTCAGCTCCGTGACCTGTACAGACCAGGCGTCGTCTTTCCTCAAGTCAATGTGACTGAGATAAGTGCTGACCGCTGAACAGCTCTGCACAATCGGCTGTGGCTTGTTCACTGCACAGCGACACAGCCGCACTGGTCCGCGTGCTAGCTTCGACCACATCTTCTAGCAATGTCAGCAACAGTCACAGAGCGAAAGCTCTCTTTTCTCTGCCGTGGCCTTGGAAGTATTCCTCGTGAGGAATTGATTCATTTCGTTCCAAATGACCATCAAAATTTATCATGGAAATGAGAGCTGTTCGAATATCTTCTCGTCCACGTGATCCGGCGCGTTGCCGGGTTGCTATGGATAAGTGTCAAGGAGATGGAAGATGGAGGACAAAAATGCTACGATTCGAGCGGACAAGAAATAATTCAAATGCATTTCAAACTACGAAAATAGGTTTATTTTGTTCATGTTTCTCTCATGCAGTTCAAGGACATGTCGACAGTCAGTAGTGATACTACGAAATAAAACTGTTTTGTCGTTGTGCTTCCTGTGATATCACTACGCATTTCTGCATTAGTTTAGCTGCGTGTCGAGGGATGTATAGGTCCTTTACCTTGTGTTAATTTCGGCGCCGACGATGGATGCCTGGGCTTTCGCTCGTGCGAAGGAGCAGTGCCTTTCGCAGGTGGATCGCAGCAAGAAAGGCTCCATAGACGAGCCAGTTGCTGAAGTAGTGGACACACTCAACGCCTCAGATCATTTCTTCACGACCAGCTCGTGCTCAGGCCGTGTTGCAATCTTCTGGCAAGGAGAAGAAGTAAGTCACATACATGTACATGTATCTGTTACATAATGCATTCGATACAAGAGCCCATCACCTGGGCTGTAATGGACTCATCGTAATATGAGTGGCTTCAGGCTGGGATGAGCCAGAAACGTCCCAACCTGGGTCTTAGTTACCATGTAATGCAGCATGATCACCACTAGAATGTGGAGGTGATAAGTTAGGCTAAAGTTGGAAAATCATTGAAGAGCGCCTCTGGCCACCCCACATGTTAAGGCCGATTCATACTTCATTTCGCTTACGGGAAAGTCATCGCGCGACCGTCGCGAGATGGCTTTCCCGTACGCGAAATAGTTAAGCTGAGATCAACTTTTTCGCGACGCGACGCGTTTCCCGTACACGAACTGAAGTATGAATCGGCCTTTAGGCTGTCCTCGCGGAAAATTCAGACTGGAAATGCGAAAAACCCGGGGCGAAATCAAGGGAATCATGGTGAAACGCGACACAACAGATGAACGTGTTGTATGTGCAGCCTCTGACCTCTCTGAGTATGACCTGATGCATGATGATTCCCCGCCGCCTGCGCGGGCTTGTGACCCTTTTTCTCACACCTCGCACTTGGCAGGGATGCCTCCACTAGGCTAGAGATGCATGTGGCTCCTGCGGCTGCCCCACCACCTGCACAGCCCTTGCACTGTTGACGACTGCAAAGACTGGGATGTGTGCATTGAGCAGCACTATAGGTCTGTGCATGGACATAATTTCACACAGCGTTGGTGTTGTGGTCCTTGTGGACCTGTTACCGTGGTACAGGTACTATCCTATGTTAGAACGTCTGCACTGTGCATGCCATGTGTGTGTCTACATTGTGACTGGATGTGGCACGGAGCCAAGTAGAGTATGTGGAGTAAAATACTTCGAAGTAAGGACTTGCGGGTGAGATGCGAATCCAGTGCATACCCCCACTTACAAGAACAGTGCCCTACTAGTTATGCTATGGGTGATCATAGGCACACGCACACACACATACACATACACACACACACACACACACACACCACTTACCATGTATATGCCCGTCGCAAGAGAAGCACGAAAATCTGCACATGCACTGGATGTGCGCCCACAATTTTCTCTCTCACACACACACACACACACACAAACAAACACACGTGTGTGCGTGTGAATTAGCTCCTTCACACGTGGGCTGTGGAGTTGATTGCTGCCAGCGTTCCTACACTGGACGTCCGGACATCGATCTATGCTGACATATCGATAATAGTATGTGCTTGTAGAGAAGGATGGCTTTCACTTATCCAACTGTTTTCAAATGCATGTTTCCACGCCTTGTGTAGACCCCTGCCTGAAAGGGAGAAGGGTAGAGGGGATAAGCAAAGGACTACCGCATACTATAGTATGCGCATGTAGTTATGTTGCGCATGGCTTCCGAGTGAGCATGCACTGCGGCGCACAGTTTGTACAGTGGCAGTTACCTTCTGAAGAGGTTTTGTGAATGACTTCATTCGTGTTATGGTTTGTACAGAGTGGCAATCCCGTGCTTGTGTCAAGTTGTGATGTCACTCTGCACAAACCACCAGTGGATGATGTCATCACATAATAATTTATGTTGTGAACAACTTCTTTGGGCGTTTTCTTTTGTTGAATGCCCTAGTAACTTAAAAACATGTGCTGAAGTAGTATGAAGTAGTATGTTGTAAGAAAGATATTGTGTTTGTGTAGAAAGTGTTATATGGCTTGGTGTGTGAACACATCTTTAATGGCATTGAGTCGTGCAAACTCGTCCACCGTGTCCGGCTCAATGTACGCGGACTCTGACCACTCGTTCCAGGCATTGATGGTCAGCATGCACCAGTCAGGGTCGCACGTTCTGTCCATGAACGCCTTGACGTTCTGCAGCGCCGTCTTCCACTGGTCTGGCGTGGAGGAGAAGGTGGCTCCGAACGGATAGCCACTGTCGTCGAACACGTCCGTCGGACAGGTCCTCGGTGAGGGGTCCCAGGACGCCGACACATTCGGGATGTACTTTATCGGATATGTGCTGTTCGCCGTGTCCCAGTAGGCCGTATTGACTTGGGTGGCGTGCTCGTACGACGTTACCGGGAACGAGTTGAATGTCTTTGAGTTGTGAAACCATGTGTAGCTGGTCAGGCTGGAGAACTTGAGCTGTTTCAGGAGCTCAGCGGCCTGCGGTGTTCGGCGCATGTACGTGTCAATGCCGTTGAAGTGCACGCACTCAGCAATGCCCTGCGCTTTCGTCTGGTTGACCATGTAGTCCAGTGCTTCCAGGGTGCTTGGCACGTCGTGGTGGAAGCTGTCCAGCAGCGTGATCACCTGGTAGAAAGACAGGTACGGACAGCCGCGCACACGATAGTAGCTGGGATGCTTGAAGTAGGTCGTGACGATGTGGTCGGCCACCTGGGTGAACCGCGGCAAAGGCACGCAGCCAGAAATTCACACACACACACACACACACACACACACACACACACACACACATACGCACGTGTACACACACACACACACACACACTTCTTTCGATACAGCTTCGCGGAAGACGGATTTTGTGTTTTTGACTGCACACGTTTGAACTGGATGACACTCAACATTCTTGCTTAGGTATAGTTTAGCATGACTAGCAAGCATGTATGCTCTAGTGTCGTTGCCATAATTATTCTGGTCAACTGCACCTATAATCTTGGTAATAAGGCCGTTTAGCAATGCGAAATTTCGAAAGAAAATTCGAGTCTGGGAATGAGTACAGAAACAAAGGTCGAAACTTCGAAAACTTGAACACGAAATTGCAATGGTTTGCGAAAGTTATTTTCTCTTTCCTCGGTACGCACTTGACGGCTGGGAGTAGTAAATTTACAGCTCCCTTCTTGAGACTGAGCTGCATATACGGTACGGTACTATAGAATCCAAATAACTTTCAGAAAAAGTCATTTCGGGTTGCTGAACCTCACAGGGTTTCCTTTTTTGAAAAAAGGTTTCGCGAAATATAATCCCCACCAAAAATTCGAACTTTCGCATTGCTAAACGTCCCTTATGTCATACGTGTATGCCTGAATGCTCACAGTGCAATCAGACCTCGCTTCTTCCCTTCCACCATCAAACCTACGAAACAGTGCTTACAGCTAGCACCATTGAGCATGGTGCAAGAATTTTTTTCCATGACCTCGTCCTGTATTGCATGCACCTGTTTGAATGCTGGCATGTCAGTTTTGCCATTTCAGGATAGTTGCAGCTAGCACCATTGAGCCTGGTGCAAAAATTTCAATTGTCAATTTCCAGTATTGTATGTGCATTGTACCTGTTTGAATGTTGGCATGTCGGTCGTGCCATTTCGGACCTCCACCGTCTTGCCGCGGAAGCCGTGTTTGGCCGGCATGATGTCGAGTAGTGGCTGATTGGCCCACATCAGCGCAAACTTGACCTTGTCGTTGTTGCTCGCCTTGAGATAGCCTTGCTCTAAGCCGCGGCTTAGGTACGGTCCGCTGCCTGAGGCACAGTGCGATAGAGCATAGTTGTGGACACGTGGTAGATGGCACGAATGCACACACACGCGCACACACACACACGCACACACACACACACACACACCCACCTTTCAATTTTTTCTTACTGAAGAAGTACAAGCGGCTTCTTTGCAGGGAGTCGTATAAACCCGGGAGAGGACACAGCATCGAGCTGAGTCAAACCGTGAGGATCCTTGGAAATCAGTAGCGTTTCCTCTCCTGGATTTATCTACAGGTATTACCAGGAGTACATAAACCAGAGTGTGCAACTGTGCGTATCTGATCTGAAACAGCTCAATTTGTGCACTACGTCACCCTGATGAGGTCAGCCAAACCACGACTTGCGTACAGCTCAAATTTTCGTGTTTCACACTCCGGAAATCAGCCAAGTTTGCATGATTTAGACGTCCTGTTTTAGGATTTCGGTGTTTTTGTGTGACTGCGTACGATGTGTACATCCGCTGGCAAGTAAATTCACCATGCTATCCGTATCAAAAAACCGAAATCAGGACAAACTCAGTGACCTGCACCACTGTGACTGGTTACGCTACTTTTCACCGTACCTGTGGCTTACCATACCGTCAGAAATGACGTACTGCACGGATTACGCTCCCACAGGAACCATCCCGAGTTGCACACTCTAGTTTTTGTATTCTTGGTATTACGATTCTTTTCTAGGAGGGTCACAGCGCATACTCCAAGAGAGCCCTGTCTGACTGCAGTTTTCACCATAGTCCACCAACACTCACAGTTCGTATACTATCAGATCTGATTTCGGTTCGCGATCATTGCAGACCATAAAGGAATGGAGGTGGGGGCTCACTACTGCCAACACCCGGAACGGTTACTTACTTCAGCGGCACTGCAGATGCACCTCCCAAAGCTGCTTGTGGGTGTGATCACAGATGTCACTCATTCTACAGCTACAATAATCACCTGTTGCACGGACGTGAGCTCTGTCCATGATCCAGTCAAACGGACTGTATAATACTGCACTGTGCAGTGCAGGTAGTCGTCGTGTTCTGGTGTTTTTGTGACTCCCCAGTACATGGTAGGCGATGCACGTAAATAAATCAAGGAGTCGATTTTGATAGTGGGCATACTACTAGTATTCCGTAGCCATGGTAGCCTACAGTAGTAGATCTACGTGCCCTTTGAAACACGGAGGACAGTTACTCGCTCACCTTGGTGCCAATACCAATCAAAGATGAACAGGTTCACTCCGTTGCTGGCCGCTGCATCAATCTTCTTCTCGAAGACGACTGGGTCATCGTCCATTTCGTATCCCCACAGTGGCACTTTGGGCATCTGATGACCTTGCCAGCGCGGCTTGGCGGTTTTCACCAGCTCCCATTCTGTCCAGTTCTTGCCGTGCAGTTGTTCGCTCAACGAGTCCACATGCCAGGCCGGATAGTAGTAAGCTCCGATGTCGTAAGTTCGTTCGGCAGCGTCCACTGCGACCAGTCCTGTGTCGAGGAGATTCAAGCTGGCGATGATAATCGTCGCTGCAGCTACATGTAGCGACAAACTCGCCATCTTGCTGTTTCCTCTCTGTGCAACGCTAGAAATTAATATGAGCCTGTTTTGTAAAATGCAGCTAGTGGCAGAGGCCCGTTAACGCGTTGTACCTTCGTAGCCTTCTGGACAATTACAGTAATTTTCAAGTAAATAATATTATTAGTTCCTAGGTAAGCTGGTAAGGGCCAGGGAGGCATCTCTGACTCGCCACACTCCCAGTTTGTTTCAGTGAGTTCTCCAGTCTCTGTGGTCTGCATGATTGATGTAGTCGCTAGTCCAGACACGATCAGTACAGTCCGGACACTTGACGTGAGCGAAAATGTCGTGTTGGCCAAGTATTAAAGGTAAAGAATGTTGGCTCGCAATCGATCGCACACTGCGCAGCTAGCTGACACACGCATGCATGTACGCAGTGACCAGGGAGTCGTAAAATACCGGTATTTTACGACTCCCTGGCAGTGACAGTGTCAAGACAGTCATACAGATACGCTGACAGCAAAGCGACTGTGTGCGTGTCGAGCCTAGCACTAGCAGTAGCAGTAACACTGACTGCAAGACAGGGAGTTTTGCTGCGAGTGCGAGACGCCAACAGGCAACACCATGGCCTATGCTCACAGGTAATCCAGTCATTATAGCAATAAGCTCCGGGGCTTACTGTAGAAGCAGAAATATTTGGCGGTGTTTTATTTTTTGTAACTTCGGTGCCGAAATTTTACCGAAAATAAAGCGCAAGTCGCTGTGATTTTTGAGTTGCGGTAGATCAAGTTTTGCATAGCAAACTGTATTGCGATACCGGATAAATTCATCCCTGGTTTGTGTGTGTAAAGTATTTACTTTCTTGGTGCTACTCTTTGTGTGCAGGATGTTGGTTGCGGTCGTCGAAAGGAAGGCAAGTGGCTGTACGTCTCTCATGATCCTGTCATTCCTGCTGATGTGGTATGTGTTCTTTATTGCTACTCTTGCTGCTGGTGGTCGGTCCCATACTTGAACACAGAGAGAGAGAGAGGGGGGGGCGGGGCGGGAGAGAGACTGACAGAGAGAGAGAGACAGAGAGAGAGAGACAGAGACAGAGACAGACAGACAGACAGACAGACAGACAGACAGACAGAGAGAGAGAGAGAGAGAGAGAGAGAGAGAGAGAGAGAGAGAGAGAGAGAGAGAGAGAGAGAGAGAGAGAGAGAGACAGAGACAGAGACAGAGACAGAGAGAGAGACAGAGAGAGAGGGGGGGGGGGGGAGAAGGAGGGACGGAAAGGGAGAGACGGAAAGGGAGGGACGGAGAGAGAGAGAGACAGACAGACAGAGACACAGAGAGAGAGGGGGGGGGGGGGGAGGGCTAGACAGGGCTAGAGTGACTTTGTTCACCCTTTTCCTAGATTGGCTGTGCTATGTATTGAAGAATGTGAATGCCGCTTTTCAATGCGCGAGGCCACTATAATCTGAATTTCTATCCGCTCGCTCTGTGCGTGGTGTTCTTTCTCACAAGGTGGCCGCTGTTGTGTCCTGCCCAGAGCAAGGCGATGCATGGCTGAAGTTTGAGCCGATGGTTCTTCACGTTCAGTGTCAGTCGCTGGAGGCCGCTCAGAAACTGGTGAGACTCCAACTGAGAGCAGCCATTATTTTGTTTTCATATAGAATACTGTAGAACGGGTAATTTTAGCGACTATTAATTTTAGCGTTTTCCCATTGTCAACCGGTTGGCGACGTTTTATTTTAGCGACTTGCAGCGATTTTACTCACGGATCACCAGTGCACTACTTATGTCTCAACGGATTAGCGACTTGAAACTTTAGCGAAAATGAGTCGATCGCTAAATTCGCTAGGGTGTTTACGTCGCTAAAATTACCTGCTCTACAGTACTGTAAAACACGTTGTTTCCGGTGAAGCTTTAATTTCGCTGATACCGGTAGAGAAACCACACACCTAAATTTAGATTACACCTAAAAGGCACTCGAGTATGCACTGTATGTGCGGGGAATGCTGGTCACCTAATTCTACATTGCACTTGAAACCTGCCAGGTCCCTGGCACCGGAATTTTAATGCGCCCACCAACTACACGTTTTATAGTACTAGGGTGTGTGTGTTTGTGTGTGTGTGTGTGTGTTGTACCCTTCCCTTTGGTTCATGAAGTATGTCATAGGAAAGGTGTTTGCTACCCGCACAGGAGCTCGCGCTTTTCCGCCGACTTGACTTGACACTTCGGCGGAAAAGCGTGAGCTCCAGTGTGGGGTGCAAACACCTTCCCTATGACATCATCGTCGACGTCGCTACCACTATCTCGTCCTGAAGCATGTGTTCAATGTGTTTTTGTAAACATGGCGGGCATGCTTTCTTTTACTGCATTCTTGAATGTGGAGATAGGGTCAATGATCAAATGGCATGAGCTTACTCTCCCTCCAAGGTGGCTAGATTGGTTGCGAATATGTTACTGTAGGCCATGTTGTTGTTAATTAAACTTATCGGTATGCAGCGAATATCGTGAACTGTGCATTGCACTTATCAGTTGGAAATAGGAAACAACGACTAGGAATGCATTGCGTTGCGACATATTTTCTTTCCAACGATGCTGTTGCCGTGTGCAGCTCGTGACGTCGCTGGGCTCTGGCTTTCGCAACTCCGGCATCGTTCTGGGCAGAAAGCAGCGCTACATCATGGTGAGCTGTCTCGTACTATGGTGTGCTGTACCGTGTGTGCCGTGGTGTGTGTGTGTGTCCTGTACTGGCATTGTGTACTGTAGTATGGTACTGACTGTGTGTGTGTGTGTGCGCGTGTGTGTGTGTGTGTGTGTGTGTGTGCGCGTGTGTGTGTGCGTGCGTGTGCATATGTGTGTGTGTGTGTGTGTGTGTGTGTGTGTTTGTGTGTGCGTGCGTGCGTGCACACACACACGTGCGCGCATGTGTGTATCTTACCCTTCTGTCCTGTGTATTGTGTCATGTGCTGCAGGCTGTTCGGAGCACACACGGTATGGATGTACCACTTGTAATCAGTGGGAAACGGCGGGTCTCTGAAGAGGTAAATGCTCTCCACAAGCCACTGATGCTTAGCAACTGATGCTTAGCAACTGATGCTTAGCAACTGATGCTTAGCAACTGATGCTTAGCAACTGATGCTTAGCAACTGATGCTTAGCAACTGATGCTTGTTGTTGTTTAAAAGTATCCGTGTACCTATGCTTTTACTCAATCTCCGGACAGCTAGCTTTTGCCTGTGCTGACAGGTTGTTGGTAATTATTATCGCTCTTTATCGTGACTGGCACGAGGGAAGCATGGATGCAGCGAATGGGATGTTCGATCGTTGACCACTTTGGTGGGTCTGATCTACTCGTACTCACCCCGTTCTTTCATTCGCCAGATGTGGAGTAGTCTGTTTGGCTTTTTACATGTTTTTTGCTTTGCCCACGATGCAGTATGTGAATCTCTTGTGTGACCTGGCGAACGACAAGATGTCGGAGAATGTGCAGCGAATCGATCGGTGAGGACCCGTTGTTGTTGTTGTTGTTGGTTTTTTTCAAGATTTGCAGACGTTTTGTCACTTTCTTTGTTCCAATCTGGTATGGGTGTGTGTGGGTGTGTGGGTGTGCATCCGTGTGTTGACGGAGAGGGGGAGGGGAGGGGGACGCACATCCTGTCTATACAGTCAACTGTAGTTTATCTGACCATGTTCGGAATGGGGCCCGGCAATGCTGGATAAAAAAATTCACGGTTTGCGTGAGACTCGGCTGGAAACTGAGTTTTCCGCATCCGTAGGAACGCCACCACCCTTCAAGGATCAAGGCGCAGATGCAGCTCCTAAAGCGGTGGGAGGTGAGGAGATCAGCTCACCAGCAAGTGGTCAAAGACCGAAAGTCCCATTCACCGCATCCGGATAACTGTCCTCAAAATTTCTTATGATTTGCTGGTTTTGTATGCAGAGATAGACGACGGTACGTATCCGTATTGCTTTTGATGGGTTGCTTTTTGTCACGTACAAAGCAACATAAGACTCGGATAGAGAGCCAAGGATTAAATTTAAAAGAAAGGACCAAAATGCTACATGTTATCCATAGTACCTTCTGACTACACAACATCTTGCTTATAACGGTTAATGTTGGACACAATCTACGGATAACATAATTATAACTTTGACTTCTAAAACTTAACTTAGAACCTTCCAAGTTGGAAGGCTGTTGGAGTGCGCATCCAAGATGTGCTAGAGCTGTTAGCCAGTTAGTTGCAGAACGTCAGTACCGTCGGTCAGTGTCGTGCAATGTTATCGCATGAGCTGATTGTTTAGTAACTGGTGGTGTTAGTGGACATTATAGCGTAACTTGTAGTTTCTTGGTCCTTTTTCTTTGCTTTAAATCTATCCTTGGCTCTCCATCCGAGTCCAAACATGTAACATGTTGGTCCTTTCTTACAAAACAACATACCGTATGTCAGCGCCTTTAAAGCCATGGCCTTATATTCGAAACGCCGCTGCTTTCCTAGCTATTTTAGATGCAAAATGACTCACCCACTACGCCAAGCCATAAAAGCCAAAGTCCACACAGAAATTTCAATCTAAATCTACTTGTTCACCCTTGCTGCTGGGCTGTAAGTTTGTTAGCATAGTACTTATTCCTTCATTTTTCCAAAACATACTTCAAATGTCATTTCATTTATGAAGCCCATGGCTTTATAACTGAGACTGGCTTTATAATCGAATATACCGCCAAGGCTTTAAAGGTGGGGGGGGACATACGGTGATAAAGTTAATAATATTTCAAGATGTGTGGTCAAATTATTTTAGCCCAGCTATGCTCCTCGATGTAGGCATTGGCATCATCTTTTCAAAATCAACAGCTTCACCACAGGGAGTCATGAATTTAGTACTCACAGTCTATCAGATTTCGAGGGTGCTCTAGTTATGTATACATTCATTTTACAGTGAAACCTGTCTAAGGCGACCCCTCAAGGGACGAGAAAAAGTGGTCGCCGTGGCCAGGTGGTCTTCTTATCCAGGTTCAGTGGGTCACGTGACCATATCCACATGTGATATAATCATTTTGATCAGTGCATCACAGTGCACACACCTATTCTACTCTAGCACGACTCATGTGCCTGGGGTCCTCAGACCTGTCAAGTGTCGTGCATGCACCATGTACATCTACACTTCCTGCACTGATGTGTAGATCTACCATGCCTGGTGCACCATGCAATGCATACATTTACATGACTAGCACTGTGGAACGCGGTCGCGGGTGGGTGGTCGCCGGTCGCGTTGAGCGAGTGATCGCCTTATCCGAGGTGTTTTGAATGTGAATGCGTCCGTGACAAGGAAAAGTGGTCGCCATGGTCGAGTGGTCGCCATATCCGAGTGGTCGCCATATCCGAGTGGTCGCCATTACAGGTTTTTACTGTACTTATACTTCTAAGCTGTACGTATTGTTCCACACGCAAATATTTGGGTGGATTAACAATGCATTGCTTGTAAGTGACAGTATCGATCTCCATACTTCGAAGTACTTCCTGCCGAACTTGACACTTGATTGACTCACGACTGCCATCCGGAGCACACGAGGAGCACATCGCACCTTCCACTCGGCAAACCTGCAAGAAAGCACCACTCCCTGCTCAATACACAGTGTTTCGGGGAACTCACCCCTCATCAGTTGAGCTTGAGTAGGCTGAGGAAGATTGTGCCTGAACGGCACCACTTATATTACTCTCCAGGCCAAACCATCACGAGGGATACAAACTTACAGAGACGCTTCGTTTCCAGCGCGACAAACACCTCGTGAGGCCCCTGGTAGCGGCGTGAGTCAGAGTCGCTCATGGAGTTGTGCTAAACAGACGTTGAGAGCCAGTAGCTATTCACAACCCTGTCATCTCCAACAACTAGTCGCACGTCCGCGTGAGGGACAACAATACGAACTTAGAAGTTGCGACTTCGGCGATATTAGTGAAGAAGAATACAATTTGTATTTATACTTTTCTTCATTTCTTTTTAGGTTATTGCACGGTATAGCCCCACTTATGGCTGAAATGCAATCTCAACCGCTAGCCTCGAATCAACCCGCTGCCAAAACCAAGAAGTCGAGGAAAGGCAACCGGCAGGCAACCGTGCATGCAGACACCGCGGACGCCTGTTTGTCGTCCTCGTCGCCCGCTGCCAATGCCGCTAGTGGTGTGCTTGCCGGCAGCTCGCCTTGCCAAGAGGTGGCGGATGACGGCACCGTTGGAACTGCAACATGTTCGCAATGTGGCGTAAGCGAGAGCTATGGCCAAGGCTGCGCGCCTAAACACCACTCGGGTGATTCTCATGCCCTGTCGCCAACCACAGAGGCAGACGAGCAAGTGGACATGTTTGGAGATTTCATAAATAGCCTGCCCGATGTGACATGACGCTGTATGTATCCCCCCCCCCTCTCCGTTAGACTTTAATACCCTCAGTTTATATTCTTGGGTTTTAGCCGAGGGTTTTTACGTTTCTTCACCGTGAATTGTTTGTGCTTACTGTTTGACTATACTTGTAAATTAGTAGTATTTGTAATTATTACATGCTGCTGGTCAGCCATTCTCTTTATTCTCTTCAGTATAGCCTACAGGTGGCCTTGATTTTGCGTTCCTGTTCGCAATGGACTGGCACATAGTGGTGCCACAACTCTCACAACCATGAGGTTGCAGGAGCATATCAGAGCTGTGAGCCCTGTGCTTCGGACGTAAACCGTAGTGTACATTAGGCATTTCCTAAATCGGCCCGATTTTTTCGCCTAATCGGCTTTTCGGAGAATGTCCAAATTCGGCCATGTTATGATCCCCAAATTCAGAATTCGGCTCAAGGCGGTACTTCAAGTCCCCTCTAGCAGTGTAGATGTACATTTACTTGCACGCTGCAGAGGCACTCAAACAACCCTTTTTAGACGAATTCAGCGCAACATTTGTAAATTCGGCTCAATTAACCGCGATTTCTTGACAGCCATTGATTTCGGCGTCTTTTCCTGCTGACCATTTTCGGAAATGCCTAAAGTCGCAGACACCTTTGGCAGATAGTGGCTACAAATTGTATTTGCATACTGTTGAGGCACCAAAACATCAATTTTGGGCGAATTCAGTGGGAAAATTGCATATTCGGCGAAAAGATCGGTGATTTCTTCAAAACCACTGTTTTCGGCAAATTTTTCGGCAAGCCGATTTGGGAAATGCCTAGCCTACATACAGTCGCACGGTCGGTTTCTCAACACGGGTTTTCACACACGTGTCCTTGGGTTCTTCAAAATCATGTTGATCCACGGTGAATCCCAGTGATGTTTCGGTGACATGATCTCGTCCTGGGCAGTGTATCATGCTTACGCTTGGTGTGACCGCGGCCTAAGGCCGCGGTCACACCAAGCGCGATTCAGCCATTCAGCGGGAAAAAGCGCTTTTTGACGTCATCGTCGCTACGGAAACGGCTGAATTTTCGGCTTCAGCCTTTTTCAGCAGTCAGCCGTTTTCAAAGCGCTGAATGGGAGCGCTGAATGGATTCAGCCTTTCTTTCAGCCATTCTGGCGCAGTACAGTGGCAGGAAAAATAAACTCGTTCAAAGCGCATCTTGGCATGATCTTGCAGCTTGCATCGTGTTCTGCCACCTTCCGGCTTTCGTTGTTGGTGAAACTTCTCTCCTTGCCTTTTTGTCGGTCATCATGGAATCCTGGACAGTAGCACTGGAGCGGCGACTACTGGAGCTTTGGTTTGAAACAAAAACCAAGTATGAGACCACTATGAAAAAAATACCAGAAAGACAGCGTGGATCTTGGACGAACTGAAGAAGTGTGCTGGAGAAGGCGGACGGGAAAACAAGAGAAAATCATATTCAAAAATGAGCGGGAAGAAAAAAAACTCTATCACACAAAAAAGTCCAGCCGATTTCGCGAAGTGGTGTGACCAACCACCCCATTCAGCACAAGCCACTTTCAGCGCAAGCGGGAAACGGCTTGTTTGGTGTGACCGCGGCCGGGTAAGAAACAAGGACATCCAAATTATCAGGCACCGATTTTACCCCAATCTCGAAATTTGCTCCGATTTTGCCGGCAATTTCCGCTTCTTAATAAATTCTTTGATATTTTGTCGAAAGAATTGCCGGCAGGATCTGTCTGGGCCTACAATCAGGGCTATATCATGTGACCGTTTTAAGGCCCTTGCCTTGGTGTGTAATTATTAGTCGGAGATGAAGAAAACAGGGAATATTCGATCGGAGAAAATCAGAGTACTAGAACTCGGGATCTCAGCGCCAACTTTCCCCCTAATGTCCACTGACTAACACCACCACTGGCACCAGTTACTAAACAATCAGCTCATGCGATGACATTTGCACGACACTGACTGACGGTGCTGACGTTCTACGCCCTTCCCCTCCTTGTTATCATAATAACTTAGAACCTTCCAAGTTGGAAGGCTGTCACGTGTGGAGTGCGCATCCAAGATGTGCTAGAGCTGTTAGCCAGTTAGTTGTAGAACGTCAGTACCGTGGGTCAGTGCCGTGCAATGTTATCGCATGAGCTGATTGTTTAGTAGCTGGTGGTGTTAGTGGACATTATACTCATGATTATAGTGTGACTATTACTTGTAGTTCCTTTATCCTTTTTTTCTTTTCTACATAAGTAGGGTTTTATTTTACTTCACTACAGTAATTTTATGATCCAGGGCCTACAATGTAGGGAGTACTACATGTACAGTGCTATAATCAGTACTGCTCCATTCCCTGTTACCAAGAGTTTCATGGACTCTTGCTGCTGGTTACGATGGACATGTGAGCGACGTTTCGTTTCGCTCAGAGAGAGACAGACAGACTGACAAACAGACAGACACACACATACCACACACACACACACACACACACACACACACACACACACACACACACACACACACACACACACACACACACACACACACACACACACACACACACAGATACATACAGAGAGGGGTCCAGGTCCATAGTCTATTATTATATTCATTTTGATTTTCACATCACTGTTCACGAAACGACGTTGAACCAATACGGAGGATTAGCAAGACGAAATTCGCGTTCGCTCTCCAAGGAAAGTCGAACTCAGTGACGGAATTCGCGTTATAAGAAGGATTAGGCCGAGTAAAAAAAATTACTAGATGATCGTCCTTTTTTTTGGAAAAATCGGGGAGGGCGGGAGGATTTTATTTTTATTTTTTTACTTTTTACCCTCTCATGCACACAGTGTACACAACAACATCAAGGTTTTTTTCTCTTTTTTTCTTTTTTTTTCTTTTTTTCTTTTTCTTTCTTCAGCAGATCGATACTGACGTTGTGATATACTAGTAGTATGTGGTCCATATAGTAAAACTCACGATTTAAAAAATAAAATATTTCTTGGGGCGCTGACAAAAACTGGGGCGGACGGGGACGATCATCTAGCTTTTTTTTTTACTTGGCCTTAGCAAACAGAATTCGCACATGCATGACGTTGACACGACGTACATCATTGTGTACAGACAGTACAGCGTGGTAAATTTATGACTGCCCTGACACGAATCCGCGATTCGTGTTCCGACTACTTTTCCGAATGAAAAAAGCGAAAGTTCCCAATCGCGAACTGAAAAATGTTTGCGAACGCGAATTTCGTCTTGCTAATCCTCCGTATAATGATCGCGATCGTGAGCTCGAGCTACCTTTGCTTATGCAGTGCACTACATGCACAGGTAGAGCATTGCCATTGGTGGGGTTTCTATTGTAACCCGGGGTCAAAAAGGAAACACAGCTGTAGCTAGCTTGCATATGGCCAGTGTTACTTGTACTGTGTAAGTTGTAGTAAGACAGTACCATCATGTACACGTGTAGTAACGTTATCGATGAGCGAGTGGACGATTCTCTTGGTGTTACGTAACGATACCTCTCCGGCCAACGTACTGACGATGCATGACAGTCACACGCAGGTGGAATTGGAACACTGCGGTTGTACGGTGTACGCTGGAGGAAGCATGCTAGCAGGCAACGAGCTACTAGTACTAATGTACTATTACTTGGTAGATCTACCAAGGATTATTGTATTGTTTGCCTTCACTTTTCAGAATACTCGCAGCTAAAAGGTTCAAGTGTGTTGGCCAGTAATATCAGAGATTCTCATCATCATGAACAGGCCAGACTGTGTCTCTTGCAGAAGTAGCAGCACGCGAGGGAAGCTATTGAAATGTTTTCACTCGGTATGCGTGCAGTGTTTGGAGACGCACACCAGCGACGATAGTTCTGTGAAGTGTCCTGATTGTGGAGCAACCACTCCACCGCCATCGGCTGGTGTTCCCTTGTTGCAGTTCCTGCCAAACAGTGATATTGGGGATGGGGCAGCTAGTGCTAGTGTCGGTGCAAGTAAGAAGTTGTGCGATGAGTGTGGCGAGGATACGGAAGCAGTCGCTGTCTGCATGGATTGTAGCGACTGTCTGTGTGCAGTGCATGCTGAGGCGCACCCTGTGTCTCGCCGCACCTACAAACACAAGGTTGTGCCGCTTACTGCTGCCACTAGTGTTACGACTACGAGTACAACGAACTCAATGGAGTTCGCTGCTGCAAAGTGCCCTTTGCATCCATCCTGTACGCAATCGCACTACTGCATGGCGTGTCAAAAAATCCTGTGTAACAGTTGCCTAGCGTCTAGTCGCCACGACCAACATGTGCAGGATTTGCTACCCATCGACGAAGCTGTTTCCACGATTCGAGAATCCCTTCTCACCAAGATTAGAGCCAGTTTCTCCGGTGGCGATAGTCAACTTGAACAAGCACTGGCTGCAACCAACAATGCACTTTCACAGCTACACAACCAAACTGAGACTGTGTCATCTCAAATCAATGACATTTGCATGGAATTGAAGAACGCCGTTGATAAGCGCCAGCAACAGCTACTTGACGAGCTGGATAAAGTGCAATCCGAACATCGCTCGCCTTTGGAAGTTCGAAAGTGCCGTGTCCTATCCGGTTTATCAGCCGGCCAGAGCGTCAAGCACCTGGCCGGATGTTGCCAGTCTGGCAGTAACTTCTTGAAGATGTGTGCATGGCTGGAGGAGGCAACAGAAGATATCATGGCAACTGTTGATGTGGAGGCTGAGTCATTCCCAAGTGTTAATCTGCTGTTCACGACCCTCGGCAGAGAGAATGTTCTCATGGCAATAGCTGAAGCGGGCTGTGTGAGTACTATAGACGCAATGTCCCATGAAAACAGCTCAGCGACCATTCCAGCTGAGGTAAGCGAAGGGCAAGATCTCTGTGTATACATTGACTTGAGGAACGACCATGGCGTAGAACTACGCGCAGCAGAGGAATATTTGGACACTGTGAGAGTGGACGTTACATCACCCGACAATACCATGACAGCTTGTCCTGTAGTCAAGGCAACAGATGCGACCTCCTCACCCAGTCGACTTGTCGCTATGTTCAAGACGGCTGGATTGAAGGGACAAGTCCGTGTGTCTGCCACGGCCAACACAACGCATCTCCAGGGAAGTCCTGCCGTGACAGCTATCGTAGATCCAGTTCTGTTTGACCCCTGGCGATGTCATGCCAATCTTGCCCTTTCGAACAACGGCAGAACGGTCACACACGATGGCCCAGTGGGGAAGCGCTCGGCGGTGTGTGGCTTAAGGCGGTGGAGGAGAGGCAAGTACGAGATGTCCATCCGCCTTGACAAGTGTGCCCCTCACTCAGCGGATGCGTATGAGATCTTCCTCGGTGTGCTCAATATTCCAGATCCCATCCTGACGGGCTACTACTCAACATTCGCCTGGAACAACTCAAACAGCAACGGTGGTCTGTTAGGGCAGCCGTGGCAAGCGGGGGACGTGATTCACATGTCACTGGACTGCGAAAGGCACACGTTAGTAGGTCGCCATGAGCGCACCGGAGCAACGGACACCAAGAAGAACGTCGCAGGGGAGCTCTACCTCTACGTGAGCCTGAAACATCACCGCAATCAAGTCACCATCCTCTAACACTTGACATGATATTTCAACAGCTACTCAATTTCTAGACAGATGATAAGTGTTCAGAAATGTTGTTATGTCTCTTTCAACGGGCAGAGATCCGGATACACTGAGTATGTAATTGCATCACTACAGGTGGAATCCTGATAATTCGAATATAGCTTACTTCGAACGTACCGTATTAATTAGATGTTTCTTCCAGGAACAATTTCGAGCTACTGTGAAACATTGTTAATAAGAACACTGTGAGACTAACTAATCGCTTTGTAGGTATACTACAAGAAGTTACTTGTTTTATGAAAGGTCCGTGGAAAAATAACACAGATAATTCATAGAACAGAAAACTTGGACCAAGGATCTACAAGTTACGCAGTGACTGGTGGTGTTAGTGGACATTATAGCGTAATCAATGAGCTGATTGTTTTGTCTTGGATTAGCACTCTGAACTTGATGGCCGATACTATAAGGGCTGAATATCTGACGGGGCACAAAGCCGAACGTTTTAACAGAAAAATCCATCGTTACCGCAAGAAACACTTCCGGAGCGCCATTCCTTCTCTCTTCTGTACTGAAGAAATAAAAGACGGGTGTGGTTGGCAGGGCCGTTAAAACCTTTGCGCCCGCCAATTGGGGGAAAATTTCAAATCGTGTTAGACGTAAGACTCGTCACACTTTCAACCCTTACAGTCACTAATTTGCTGTTGCATTGATCATTCTAGCAAGAGTACATAAACCTTGATTCTACAAAGTAGCAATATTATATAGTAAAATAATTAAAACTAAAAAAACACTCCAAAGTAAAATAATTCAATGTTCGTATGAGACTCAGCAGACGGAGTGTAACATACATGATTGCACGTTTAAATTTAAATATTGTGCAGCTAAGCATTTGCACGGTAGTTTGCATTGGCTCTGGACAGCACAATTCGTCCTTTCTACTTTTGCTACATGTACATGTACACGTACATGCAGAAATGTGATTGCATCCAGTACTAGGAGATGAAGCTAGCTACGTATAGTAAACACAATCACCAACAGCCATGCTATAATTATGGCAGTGGATTGTTCTGCTGTGTTTCTCGTTTGCCGTTGCACCAGCGATATCGTGCTGTGTGACGGTGATTTGGCCACAGCGGAGGCCGGATATCCGACCTCAGCGCAGCCTCGCTCAACACACACCATAGTACTGACAGTGCTAGGCCCTCCGGCAGCATGCTCATGAGGTCTCACCAGCATTGTTACATTGTAGGCTTTTGTAGTATTTGTAGCATGCTCGAAATGCTACAACTATAAAACGACTTTCCGTTTCACGTTAGTGTAAGGGCATTGAGTGTCCATTTTTGTTCCAGAAGACGTGCCTAGAAACGGAATTCTCTGGCTGCAGTATAAGTTGCACGCATTGCGTTTAGCATCGTTCAAGATTTGAGCTGCGGCAGGTCATCAGCACTCCTGTTCGTCATTAAGTTAACACTGTGTCTGCAGAGCGCTGTGAGCCCGCGAAATGAGCACAGCTGGGACTGACCGTGCACCCACTGGCGACATCGCTGATGACGTCGCTCTCCACATCGGCCTCGTTGAGCGAGCCGGTGAAGGCCCCCGACAGATGCATGAGTGTCATGGTGGTGGTGGTGATATTGGATTGGGTCCGCGTCGCCGCGTCCATTGGCGAACATTTGCGCGCTTTACGCAGTGCCGCCGCGGCCTCGTTAACTTCCCAACCGGCACCGTTTGCTTCGGATGGCCGGCTAGGAACTGACCAGGTGGCCGCTACGACGGACGGCCTGCGCCAGGTGGTCGCGCCCTTGCGCAGCGTGTGCAGGGGACTGCGCACCAGCTCTACCCAGGCCTGCCAGTTGTGCGCCGTGGCCGTCCAGCTGCACAGCACGATGCCCTCGCTGAAGATGCCCAGGCACAGCACCGAGTAGGGCATGGCGGAGAACTCGGGCCGCGACGGGCACAGGTGTCGCTGCGCGTCGCAGGCCAGCAGCATGCACGAGATGTACTCCATGACAATGGCCTTGCCGGACTGCGCCATGGCGTACTCGCACACGCCGACGGTGGCCTGCACCACCAAGTGAACAAAGCTCACTAGCAACACCAGGCCCACCTTGGTCTGATACTGGCGCAGGTTCTCGGCATTCTTCTCCCGCTTGCTGCCGCCGTTCCAGCAGTTGTCCATCACCTTCATCTTGCTGCGCATCTTCCGCACTGCCAGTAATCCGGACGTCAGCATTGGGCAGCCGACGGGACCGACAATTATGATGGGTAGTATCAGGAAGTAGAACCAGACGTCCGGGTTTGACGTGATGCATACGCCGTACATCGGCACCCCGCCGATCTTCTGGTTGCTGATGAAGCCGAGCATCATCAGGAACGACCCTCCCCAGCAGATCATGTGGTAGATGATCTCGCGCCGGGAGAACTTGCTGGTGAACGTGGGCGCCTTGTTCGGCTGATTGAGCAGCTGGAACGTGCACAGCCAGCCGTGGCACAGGCACAGCCACCACAACAGGGCAGCCATCAGGCTGTAGAAGAGCACCACTGCCGTCAGCAGGCAGCGCCAGGACCCCCGCTCAAAACTCTTCGGCATGTCGGAGATCAGCGAGCCGTCCTCGTGGCACGCTATCCTATCCCATCCGACGGACGCCTGAGCCAGCACGGCACCACAGCTGAATACGTAGCATATGCTGATGTTCAGCATCAGACGTGTCGGGCAGCGATTCCACCTCTGACGGTTCAGGAAGAACGACGCGATCGTGAAGATCTCCACGGCGAGCGTCACGGCCGCGGCCGTCACCGTCAACGTACGCATGAAACTCTCCTTGCGCCGATCGTACACCAGACCCGTGCACGCGGCCGCGCACGGCAGAACCGATTCGTTCCGCGACGTCTTCTGTCCAGGGAAAACGGAGCCGAGCAGGGCACGGAGCACCTCGGTCTGTGCGCGCACCTCCGGAACGTAGTGACCGGGAACCGTCGTGCTCTGAAGTGGGTACGTGCAACGCTGCCCAGACACGATGCACACTTGCTGCGACTGCTCCTGTGCGGCTAGATAAACTTCCGAATCGTTTTCCATGTCACACAGATACTGTATAGCTGACGGCATGGAAACGGGTGGACTATCGGCAGCCGCAGAAGCGTCCCCGCAATTCAGATCCAAGCACTGGGTTTCGTCGACGTCGGCACACCGGGTTACGTGCTGGATGAGTCTGAAGATGGCTGACGAGCGCAGCTTGCTGGTGTCCTGGACGAAGCTTGGCACGGCTCTCAGCAGCTCAGTGTTCGAAACGCACGACCAGTGACACGGGCGCAGGATCACGATTGCCGTCGTGGTGTCGTTTTCCGTCGTGCTGCTTCCATTGCCAGTGTTGTTGCCGCCACTGCCGCTGCACGAGCATGTCGGGAAAAGCGAGCTACACACCAAGAACAATGTCTGGTTGGCGAACCTCTTGCTGTTGGGCAGTGCGTGCTGAGCGAGGGTGACGGTGATGTTCGCAAGCAGCTCGCTGAAACCGGCCACGAAGTCACTCTGCTCTTTCGCCTGTGCGCCGAGCAGCGGCACGGCAGCAAGTGCTAACCGCAGATTTATATCCTTCTCCAGTTGCTGCGCTTCATCAGAGCTGAATGCATTGTTCCCGTGTGCCAGTTCCTGCGAGAACTCCGACAGAATGTCCCTGGCCACGAGACGAATAAGCACGGGCAGTTGCGACAGGGCACTCGCGCCCTGGGCGAGCAATATTTGGCAGGCTGGGCGAGCGACTGGAACCAGTCCATGCTGGATGGAGGTCAGGACTGCAGACACTGCTGCTTCACTGCATGAGTTTGTAGCTGCTTGGGTGGCGTTCACGCACAGCGTCGTGCTGGCCAGCCAACTCTGCGTGGTCTCCTTGACCGTGCTGCCCACCAGCTCAACACACGCATTTTCCGACAGGCTCTTCGCCCGCTCTCGGCTTCCCAGAGTGTCCATGCATGCCGACACATCCCGTACACTGCTCAGCGACAGGATAGACTTGAGCTGGGCCAGCGACGAGTCAACATGGTTTTGGCACGCCTGTTCGACCGAGCAGTCCCTGCTGTTGGCGGGCAGTAGTTCCTGAGCTGATGCAGAGCCTGCGAAGACCAACGAAACTACGAGGGCTGTTATAAGAAAGAGCTGTTTCATTATGCGACAGCGGCAGCCATAGTTGGCTGATTGCCCCGACATGATCCAAAACCGACAGAACTTGGCGGTTTGCGACGATCAAACGTCCATGTCGAACGCTTCCCCAGGGTGCGCATGACCTGCATGTGCTTCGGTGAATGCCAAGACTGCAAGAGCCACCATAGGCAGTGAAACTACGTAATAAATAGAAACAATCCTCGAAAGAACAACAACCATTGAACTTCTTTCAGTTCTTTGATTTGAACAAAACCTTGAAAAAGCGCCTCCTAAATCTACAGCGCCACAAAAGGATCTAGGAACTCGATTGAGCGACCTACCAAAAGCTAATGCGGGCTTGCCATAAATACGTCTTGGTTTCGACGAGGGAGTCGTAAATGGCTTTTAGGATAACGACTCCCTGATTTCGACAAGCCACAGGCAAATGCAGTATGCCTGTATGGCCATTTGATTTGGGGAGGGCGAGGGGAGCCTGGGCCATGGGGTGGGGTAATTGTCTACGCTGTGTATGAACATAGCCGCGTGTAAGCTTGTTGTAGAGCAAGAGTAGATCTATGCGCATATGCGGGAACTCCTGCCGTGTGCGTGTATCATACTATCAATCCTGCTGTTTGTGGTAGAACTAAAAATTAATGTGGAAGGCCGGTTATGGCGGTCACTGGCACGGCCATTTATGCAATCCAGCACCCCAACTGTGCCAACCAGGGAGTCGTCAAATACCGCCATACAAAATACGTACCGGTAGCGTCATTACCGGTACGTATTTGACGACTCCCTACTGAGTCCCTAGGCCCTGGTACGATATAGTGCAAACTGTCCCTACTTTTTATGCTTGGCTTTGAGCATTCTGGCACAACGTTGCAGCACATCGATGCTCGGTGTAGCCGCAGCAACCAGAAGAGCTGGTTGCTGGGGCCCACTGGCCCCAGTCCGGGCCATACGCTTGGAGACGTACCGGTAGTCCATGATGTGTTGGTGGAGCTTGATCTGCAGCGGCTGAGCCTCTAACTGGCGAGCGACTCTAAACCACATAATCATTGCCACCATCGATGACAGTCAGTGTTCGGTTAGGTGCAGTGAGTCGTTTATCCGATTCCCAGGTTAGGCGTGACTGCCAGTGGAGGTTAGGGGAGGTAGATTACCGATACATGTAGGTTTGACTTTGAGTGCACATTCTTCGATGCTTGGGTGTATTAAAACCCTTTGCTCGCTCACTGAACCGAAACCCTGCCTCCCTGGCCCTGGTGTCTCTCGTTTCCAACCATCAAAGGGAAACGCTACGCTATTGATATAATACGAGTCTCGAGTTTTGCATGGCTGACCGTCCGCACAGCAAACGTGAACGAAATAACCACTGAGACTCCCTGTTCAATATACAGTACCGTGTGTTTCGACGACCCCGCATAAGTTGAGTTTGAGTCTAGTAGGCTAGTGAAATTATTAGTTGTGCTCGGAGCGCACGTATATCGCCCAGTGCTCTCCGAGTCCAAAACATCACTAGGCATACCGCCTCATAAGTAATAATTACATGTAGTTTATAATTAGTTAGTTGTAGTGATGCTCCGTTCCCAGCACGACAAACCCCACAGTCATGATCGTAATGAGTAGATCTGCCAAGCAGCTGCTGCATAAGTGTGCATGAAACAGGGTCGCACATAATTATGTGGAGTTGTGGATACAGACGCCGAGGGTTGTTGACCAATGGCTGTCACTTCCGCGATCCGATCATAGAGGAGAACACAATCCCGCCGGAACTGAGAAAATGTATTTTACCGTTCACGCTATAACTTCGACCGTCGACCTGGACCGTTTTTTGCGTGTTTTCAAGACGTGGTTAGAATTTCGGTTTCTGACGGAACGATCGACTTGTGACGTAACTCTATTTGGAATCTTACCGTTTCGTTCTCCCGCTAAACAGAGCTTTCTATCGTCGAAACGATACCAAACCGACGGCATTTTGGGTGTTGGGTACGAGTACCGCTGGGTTTAGCGTGAATGATAAAAATTAATGCTAACCATGTCGATTTTATTATTTTGCGACTTCCGCGGTAATTGCGGCTGCTCCTAACGTGACTCCTGAGTCCTGACTGCACTCGACTGACTCAGCCTCTGGAGCACAGGAAAATAATGGCGGCCTGCTGTTCTTCTCCTGTATCCTCGTCATAGCATACAGCTTGCTCCTGCACAGCACAGCCGGACTACATGTCACTACATACACACTACATGCTTGGCGCTATAATGGATCTGGTGATATGCCTTGCCTCTTGTGTGGGGGTTGGGGGGGGGGGGATATACCAGTATATGCACTGCAGACAGCAAGCTGTTTCGGCCATAAAGGAAACAGCTTTTAAAAGGAAGCCGGAGTTGCAAAGGTGGCACCACAGACATTTTAAGTTAAAGACAACTCATTGCTCTAGCGCCAGAGTGCTCAAACTACGAAAGGCAGCGAGCGATGCGTAATGCTGCAGCACAAATCAGCCAACCGAGAGTGCTTAGAAACAAGACAAATGCCGAGGAGCGAGATACCCAATGCTGTAGACAGCATGCTGTTTCGGCCATAAATACCTCATCAGTATACACATGTAGCTGGGCTGGGTCCTTCCTTCAAGCACAAATTTCCAGCTTGGTACTATAGAGATTCGAGAGTACTCAGGGAACTGAACACTCGCTTGAAACACCTAGAATGTCTTAGATGCTCTCTCCGCAAAGTTACTTCGAAGTACAAGCAGTTCTTAAAAGCACATACATGCACTATAATTTATCAAGGCAGCACTTATTTTTAAATTACTATTCAAGTACAAGACAGTACTACAAGATCAATAGCTTCAAGGCATGCCGGGCATTGGCGGTCAACATAATAATTAGTGCTCAATGCTAGGTGCGACAGTCGTGCCAATACAATTTCATATCGATCAAAAATAATATGATTGCTTATCTAAGAAGAGCGCTGGTTACGAGCTCACAGAACACGCCGGTGTGCCAGTGGCATGCAGACAAGCAATTGGTTGTTACCTTAGCTGCCGTGCAGCACACCCCTAGGTAATCATAGTGCCACTACCAGAGACTATCATTACACTAGTTAAGTTCCTTCTACTCTCAATGCAACATTCGCTTGCTATTTGCTAACACCAGATGACCTGCCATCAATTCATGAACAGCAACTGGTTTCCTCTTCCGTCTCTGGCTCCAGCACAATCTTCTTGCTGCCGGGATCCAGTTTTCGCTCATCCTCCATCAGCCTGCCCAGCATTGCACTACATACGAGGGCACAGGCAGACGGGAATCAGAATGGAAACTCAGCATGATCTTGTCAATGAATGTAAAGTCAATAAGTTGAAGTCCTGTGAGGAAATACTTCTACCGAATACTTGTACTTTGTGTGTTTCCCCAGCCCTCATGTCCCTCGTGTCCAGCTAGATCGTATGTGTACTATGAAACACCGCTACTGAAAAAAAACACCTAAACTGACGCCTGAGATACTGGCAGAGCCCTTGAACAAACAGTAATTCAAAAGCGTCACCCCTTACCACCGCCACCACCGCCACCACCACCACCACCACTAACACCACCACCACCACCATCACCACCACTAACACCACCATCACCATCACCACAACCAGCACCACCACCACCACCACCACCAGTAGATTGTGCTCTTGACCGACCTGGTCCAACCGACCGAGTTCGGCCCCGGTGTGGTTTGTGTATGTAAGATGGCTTGATCGATCAAGTGTCGATCAAGTGTGGTGGTGGTGGCGGCGGTGGCTGTGGTGAAGTTTTTGAAACACTTGAACCATACTTGCCAACCCCCTGGCAAACAGTTTCCTTGACACTGATTACGTTTTTCCTTGATTTTGCCCATTTTTCCTTGATCCGCAATTTTTACATCATAATTGTGCAAAATATTGTATATGACATCATGGTGACGTCACCATGACCACAAAACATTCGCAAATAGTACCACATGTACGACAAAAAAGTACTTTTCATGCACTAACTCAAAAGTTCTCGCTCGCTACACCTTCCTTTTCCTTGATTTTCCCGGAAATTCCAAGTTTTCCGAGAAATTCCGAGTTTTCCTTGATTTTCCCGGAAATTCCGGTAGGGTTGGCAAATATGTTGAACTTGAACTTACGTTGTGATAATGGCACAGGATTCGCTGACACCATAACCCTCCGTGGCACTGACCTCGAGGTACATAGCTGAGCTCATTTCCTTTGAAAACACAGAACGACCAAGCAGCGCAGGACAGATGGCGAGTGCTAGATGCCAACATACCCCAGAGCGAGAGACCCAATAATAGAAAACACACCACTATGCATTCGCTCCAACTGATTCCACCGGCTGGTGCGTGTATTGTGAAGGGAATTTGTATAACCGAGAACCGGATGTGCGGGATCTCCCTGCATCTGATCTTCGCAGTACTGTGGCCAGTGCTACTGCCTGCCTACTGCCTGCCCTATCAAACAGATTCACTGCAAAGAACTATCTAGCATACCATGAAACTGGATACGGGCCTGGTTTAAATCTGGCTTTGGAAAATTTATTTTTCATTGCTACCAGGTTCGGCCTCATTTCCTCTGTGCTGCGCTGATGAGTCCACAAAGGACGAAATAGTTCTGTCCGCAGATTGAGTACCATGGATATTACAGGAGCAACAACAACAGCAAAATTCACGGTTCGCGTCAGACTCGGCTAGAGGCCGAGTACTGTGGGTAAAAAACTATAAAATGTATCATTTTTTTACGGTAGCTCATCCCATGATACTTTATGAGTCATTTCATCTCAGATGACGATATAGAGCACCTTGGCTGTAAAATACACGTTTTGTGGTTCTCTGATGTACATTGTACGTTGTACCAACGTTTCACAGTGATTGCTGTCGCACAAACTCACACTTTGCAACATGCATGCACCGTAATTATTTCCGGAGTACAAGCAGCACTGGAGTATAAGGCGCACCCAATTTTTTCACAAATTTTAAAAACATCTGCCCTGTATTTCACCGTTCATTGGACCATCGTAGTATAAGCCGAGAACTTCTTTTGTTTTGGTCAACTACGAGTATTTAAAGTGTGGCTTATACACCGCTTAGGAGCTGCATCTGCGCCTTGATCCAAGAGGGTGGTGGCGTTCCTGCGGATGCGGAAAACTGGGCCTTTGGCCGAGTCTCACGCGAACCGTGAAATTTTTTTTTTTTTTTTTATACGCCGGAAATACGATATGTTTCCCTTTCTCACCTGAGCCAGGCTGATGGCTTCAGCCATTGTCACGGCATGACACTGGTCCTGGCGATTTGCCAGATCAACCTTGTTGCCCAGCATAAGGATAACGACATCGTCACGGCAAACGTCCTGTACGCAGAAGAAGAAGAGCAGACAGTCAGTGCCATAGAGCTCGACAAAAGCCACTCCGAAACTGACGGCCATCGTCAACAGCTGCGCTGCTATTTGCCTCCTCCATGCTGGCGTGTACATAGCACAGTCTCAAACAGTTTGAGCTGTGGGCAGGCAGCAAAACACATGCCAGAGAAGAGGCCTTACGACATAGAGATTTGCTGTGATAGTGCGCAGCAGTTAGAGATTGTGCATTGGTTGCTCCCGGTGAGAGCTCCCGCTTTCCTGGCGACTTGAAATGACACTTGACTGGACCACACCGCTCCTGTACTAAGTTATCCCCGAAGTCGCTACACCCATTAGAAGGTGAAGAGTCCAAAAAATGTTGAGAGCATAAGCCAGCTGGGCCACTGATAACACAGGAACAGATAAAAACGTGCCTAACAAGCCCAGACAACTCACCGCTATGAGCTCATACCAGGACTTCACTCTGTGGAAAGAGCTGCGATCTCCGACGTCAAACATCAGTATGATGCCATCGCAGCGTCGCAGGTAGTTGCTGGTGAGACTGCGGAACCTGGATGTAAAAATTGATCATGGTGTCAGGATAATAAAAGGGAAAGTAGGAGAAATTCAGATAGATCGAGTGGGTTGGCACAGTCACAGGTGATTAAATGCTGAAAAAATCTGCATAGTAAAACCAATTGCTGAGAGGGCACATTGACATAGCTCGCTCACCAAAGAGAGGCAAAGAGCACAAAGAAAATGTAATCTCCCTGTTCCATACAAACTAACCTTTCTGCACCAGCTGTGTCCCAAACCTTCAGCGTGACGTCCGCTCCGCACACGCATGATGTACACACAACAAAGTCCACACCTGTTTCATAGTTTAGCCAAAAAGAAGGAGAGAACGGCAAGGAGAGATGTCCATTGTGAAGGTGATGGCACTGATGGCCCAGTGATGGGTATGTTATGTATAGCTATGTCATGGTGATGTCATCGCGATGTCATGATGATGTCATCGTGATGTCATCTTGATGCAATGTCTCATATGGATAGATACATGTAGACGTATGGCTGGGCGAGCAGATGGGTGAATGGAAGGGCTAACAGATACATAGTAGGAGAGAGACACAAACACGATGCGACGGAAAGATGGATCAAAGCAGCAAGAGAACAAATCTGTTTCAAAGGCCTTTGCTAACCAAACCTAGAACAGCCACTGCTACTAGTACTCTAGTCAGTTGACCATCGCAGCACGCACGGTGAGCTGGCAAGCGCATAGGCTTGTATGCCTACTTACCAATCGTCGTTACTGGTAACCCGGGGCCCGGTTGTCCTGCAGTGCCTGCTCCGAAGCGATGAACAAAGCTGGTCTTGCCAACTCCGGACGGTCCAACCACGGCAATGTTGAAGAGCTGGACCTGCGGTACGTCATAACAGGAGTCAGGCAAAAGGGATTTATATACAATCAACTTTGCATATAACGACACTCGGCGGGGCATCAGAAAAAGTGTCTTTACTCGCGAAGTGTCCATGTACCCGAAATCCCATAATACGTATTACAGTTCGATGGGACTTTGCTCTGGGCATGGAAGTTCTGTCGTTATTTGCGAATTGTCGTTATATCCGCAGTCGTTATTAGCGAAGTTCACTGTCGCACAAATCCTTCCGTCGTTATCGTCATCGAGCCCGGCTCACAGTACATGTGCATGGCTCAATTTCTGCACAGCTGGCTCCAGGAAAGAATTGCGAAACGGGAACCATTTGGTATGGCTGTCGGGAAGAATGTGTGAAGCAAGAACTGAGATGGTGAGCCAATGAAATATTAACCCTTTAAGAGCCACAGGAAATTTTCAAAAATCTGCATTTTTTCATGTTCCTCGGATCATAGCTTCAGTTCTACTCACTCAATCCTCACAATCTAGGGCTTCCTGGAAAGGTATTCGCGAGAGGAAGAGAATGAGGTCGATCATGATAGCCAGCACACCGTCTATCCAGCGCTAGATCGCAGCGACAGTACGAAAAATGCCCCAAATGCGTCCAATTGCGTCCCGCTCCAGATATTTCATTCTACTCGATCGTGGAGTTCCAATTTTTTTGCTGTGTACCCTTGACAATATCAACAGTGAAACCCGTGCAAATTCGAGTAAACCAGCGTGACGAAAAGTCTCAAAAATCTCAATACTAAAGTTGCACTGCGCGCTTTTGAAATTGCCGCGATCGCGGCTCAACTTACGAGTGATTTATCTCGGGAACCGTTGCTTGCAGCGCTTCGCAAATTGTTTCTCCCGACAGGTGAGAGTTTTCTCTTCGCCCTGGATATTTCGATCGATGGATTTGAGCGAGATTAGACTGAGTTACGATCTTTTGAAGTTTTGCATTTGAATGCGTCGTTTACGACGCATTCAAGTATGGGGCGGCTCTTAAAGGGTTAAAATAATTGATGATCCACGTGGGTCAATAGAGGGTGGTGATGTTCCTACGGTTGCGGAAAACTTGGCCTACAGCTGAGTCTCCCGGGAAGCGTGAATTTTTTGGCTACAGTTTTGGTATGGTTCCATGCATGTTTGGGTGGTTTCCCTTCACAGCAGGGTGACTGACACATCCGCCGGTAGTAACCAGGTAACTGGCCTGGGCCCTACTGGTTGGTGTGTGTGTGTGTGGGGGGGGGGGGGGGGGGGGGGCTCCTGGTTTGGAACATGTCACATATGCGTGCGACGCAAGGGGTCCACCCACCACACAATGAATGTACTTCGCTATGAGCAGAGTGGATCCAATTTTGACCCAGAAGTCGTTTTTTGTCGTTATCTGTTGACTTCTGATGGCAGCACTTGCAATCCCTATGAGCAATCACGCATCCACAGACAGCTTGATTCCTACTATGCATATTGCACATGGATTGTACTCAGCTTTTTTTCTGGCGGAAGATTGGTGGAACACGCTTCCTCCTAACTGTCGTCAGGCACAACCTACTCATTCTTTTGGGCACAGCACAAGTCTTTACCTAGGGTTCCCGGTAATAAGGCCATGCCTCTTGGGACTTCCTAGTAAAAAAATGATAGACTTTACTACTACCACAGTGCTGGCAACTGAAATCCGACCCCCTGAGCGGTGGGTTCACATTCTTTGCGATGTGAGCGCACCGCTCAGGGGTCGGATTTCAGTTGCCAGCCCTGTACTTTTAGCTAGATAGATCACTAGAATTCCCAGCACATACCGCTATCCAGCTGCAACTCACATCTAACTGACGTTGTGGGGAAGTTGCTGACACGGATTTAGTCCCGGCCGAGGGCGTTCTCGGTGTTGAGTTCCTCACCGGGTAGCTCGGGCTGAGTACAGGCAGCCAGTTGATGCGCGAGACGGCGGCGGAAATCTCCACTTTGGCCACGTTGGACTCGCCACGTCCGCCGTAGCTGTGCGAACGAAACCTGCCGTCCATTTCATCATCCCCACTGTCCGTGTCGTCATTCGTAGCATACTGTCGGCTAACTCTCAGGCTCGATTTCAGCCCTGGGCCTGGAGTGATCGGAATCGCTGATGATGATAATGATGATGATGATGCTGCCACGTCAAGTGAGATCTCTGGGCCGTCCACAGACTCTGTGGAATCTTTCTCGATTATGCTCTCCAGCCTTGGGCATGATTTGCTCCTGTAGACTTTAATGCTGTCGATAGGATCTGGGTAGGAGATGGACAGCATCGTCATAAGATGGCTGTGCTGCATCTCACTGTTGCCACGGTGACTGGATTTTCCACTGAGATGTTCGGCCGGTGAACTAAACAGACGTGCGGCAGAGATTGCCTTGAGTTCAACGGCTGCCTCCTCCGAGTCGGACGGCTCACCGGGCGTTGACAGCACATTGCGTTCGCTGTCGTGTGTTTCGTTGGCGGCTCCTAGCGATGTGCTTGCAGGTGATGAACGCCGGCCGGGCTGTTCGCCGGTCGGCGTGAGGTCATCGTCGTTGTCGGGGCCAACGAGCATGACTGTATCGACTGGCACCAGGTTGCTGCGGTGCATGGCATGATCCGCCGGCAGCGTGTCCGCAGTGTCCAAGGTGATCACTGGTTTATGCTTCAAGCTGGCTGCACCCTCAATGACGGCATGGTTGGCAACGTGTTCGTCGTGGGATGCGCCAGTCGTATACCTAGTCGTACTGTCACGCTCCACCGTATCATGACAATTCGCATCGTCCAGTGCCAGTGGACTCGGAGGCCTTGCCAGGCGTTCCGTACTCCCCCGGAACGAATCCGTTTGCGACACATCCATGTTAGCAGAAGGCAACTGCGACACGAACCGGTTGACGACACTGGGATGATCTTCGTCCATCGCACCCAGGCTGCTGGTTCCTAGGGTCGACCTAGGGTCAGTGTGGATCGGCAAGTGAAGTGAGCTATCTCCGCCATCAGACCTGGCAGCAATGCACAGAGCATGAAGTGCACAACACCACCACAGAAGGAGCTGATGAGTTTGCAACAGGGAGTAGTAAAATACCTACTGGGAGTAGTAAAATATCTACTCCCTGTTTACACAGTGACAGAGCCCATGACACTTCTGAATTACAGTTTTTTAGCATGAACAAAAAAATCAGGTTCTACCGAGATTTGAACTCGGATCGCTGGATTCAGAGTCCAGAGTGCTAACCATTACACCATAGAACCCTGCATGTGTGTAAAGGTGAGAAATATTCACAAAACCTTTCTTTGCAAACTGGGTGTACTCTCTGACAGTAGGGATGTCAGCGAACGCACTGCGCAGGCCTCTGCGCATGCATTGCGTCATCGATTTTTTGAACGTGATCGCGGCCGACAGAGAAAACATGGCCGCGGTCTGTTTGCACCGCTGGGAGTCGTAAAATTACTGTTCTTCTGTCCCCGCGACCATTCAAATCATACGCGATACTCGAGGACCCACGAACTCACCACGTTCTCCCCGGTCGATTTCTCTGAAAGTTTGCACATCGTGAAACACCAGTATGAGAGGTGTTCAGGCCAATTTTCAAGGAATTTCCCTGGTTGGATCGTTCCAAAATCGGACTTCCATTTCTCGCTCGCGGCCATTTCTTGCGCGATGGAAGCGCCCTGCCCTGGTGAGTAACCAGCATCGCGCTTGGTAGAGAGTTGCTGCAATCAGCTCCCTGATGTCTTCGCTGCCATTGTCAGAAGCGATGGACCATGAATTTGTTTGAGAGTCTCTGGATGCTACTATTCCTCAGCCTAGTTTTCAGCCATTCCGTGCATCTTCTTCGCACGATTTATTTTGCAAAAAAATGAAAGTGTTCATGAGTTTTCTTGTCGGCCGCGCGTAGATGGGCCAGGCTGACCTGCGCAGATGGGCTGCGCAGTGCGTTCGCTGATATCCCTACTGACAGTTAGGAGCTGTCTATCAGCTGAGAAAAAAGTCAGTGGACTTCCACCAACCTCAAACCTGGTAGGGCCGGTAGAGGAACCAGTAGAGGCAAGTAGAATCTACCGTTGTGGGTAGAGACAAAGGAATGCATCTACCGAAAGTTGTGATGTGAAGTTCTGCCGTCGCAGCACTGCATAGAGCGGTTGTGCAGACAGTTGCACACTCTTGGCGGTTAGGTGCTCATGCTTGTAGTGACTTTCTACTGGAAGGTGTCGGATCACCACACCCATGCAAAGTATACAGCACATTTGCACCACGCACCAGTCACCGGCGACAGAGCTTCCAAATTGTATTCAAATTGTAGAAAAGGAGATCGATGCATCACTATTTGCATTACAATAATGCAATCCACAGCAATACTTAAAATTGCACAATCCCATGGCCCAGTGCTGTTTTGTCGCACGAATCTTCCCGAGGTCAAGTCCAAAAAACTTGCCCAAAAAAGGTTCTACCGAGATTTGAACTCGGATCGCTGGATTCAAAGTCCAGAGTGCTAACCATTACACCATAGAACCCTACACATTCTGCATCAAATATTTTTTCAGTATGTACACCATGGGGCTTGATCCTCCTCTACTTAAACGTTTCCCAGTTTGTGTTCCCAACCGATGCAGAGTGAGGCCGGGGGTGCCAGGTGGGGGTGAGGGGGTCAGGGCATGGTAGTGATTGTGATCATAGGTGTGTGTGTGGGGGGGGGGGGGGTACTGGCACAATCTAAAGCTCCACTGTTAGCAGGGCAATCAATGCATTACCTCCCACTGTGCTCCACGTCCTGGAGATCGAGACCGTAGTCGAACAGTGCCGAACCTCGGTTGCCGATGGAATTGTAATCGTACGATCGCTACTCCACGAATGACGATTGTCATACACACGTGTGAGACACACACACGTACACACACACCCGTGCGCACCCATGCACACACACATACACCCACGTACAAGCACACAAACACACGCACACACATACACACACACACACACACACACGAGCACATTGGAAACAAAAACACAAGACCAGGACGTGCAACTACACTAATCTACACACTGGGTATATTCCAGCTTCCCAAAAATCGGTTAACATACTTCGGTACAACACAATCAACTTGGACGGAGTTACCACTCGTAAGGCGGATATATGTGTGTGTGTGTGTGCGTGCGTGCGTGCGTGTGTGTGTGGGTGTGTGTGTTGTACTTACCACTCGCACGGCGGATCTGTGTGTATGTTGCTCCATGTCTGTCAGGTCTTGGTGTCTCCTCTGCAATGACAAGAGCTCGCTTCTGCAACAGATCAAAAACAGAGCACAGGCCTCATAATGCTACTCTGCACAAACTAGTATCGCATTTTACCAGTTATAAGTCGACCCCAGGTGCGGATCCAGAGATCTCTACAAGGGGGTTCCAGTTTAGTTTGTGCTTTGTACTGTTGAGGCAACGAACTGAAATAATAAAAACCAAACCAACCAACCAAAGTCAAACTGAACTGCTGATACATGCACATGTACATGCATATGGTTTCCTGTAGTACATTTTCAAAATTTATGGGGTTCCAAGGAACCCCTGGAACCCCCCCCCCCCCCCTCCCTGGATCCGCCCCTGGACCCCCAATAGTCCTTATGCACATTGTACAGATGTACGAAGTTCTGTACTATGGCCGTAGGTGTGTACATACCCGGTTGGGTGTTCATTGTGTGCTATACATGCGCGTTTGACCCATTTAGCCTCACAATTCATGGCAAACGATCACTTTTCAAGCCTTCTTCACTTTGGGATTGAACTAACGACTAGCTAGATCTCTGCCGGAAAAAGATTTCGTATGAAATGCCTTCATGGCCCATTTCATAGTGGAAATAGCAGTAAACACAATAGGGTCCTGCACATTCAACACCCAACCGGGTCTACGGGATTCTACAAGATTATACGGGATTTCGTGCATCTGTACAATGTGCATAAGGCCTATACTTGGGGGTCCAGGGTCGGTGACTCTATGGACTGGGCAGATGATATCCAAGGTTGATTCATCCACAAGAATCACCTAACAACACCGATAGCATGAAGCGTTGTGATATTGCCGTGCCTATCAAAGGGCTGGTAGTCTGTTCCAGCTAACTCGGCTCTCTCTGTCTCTGTCTCTCTTTCTCTCTGTCTCTCTCTCTCTCTCTCTCTCTCTCGCTCTCTCTCTCTCTCTCTCTCTCTCTCTCTCTCTCTCTCTCTCTCTCTCTCTCTCTCTCTCTCTCTCTCTCTCTCTCTCTCTCTCTCTCTCTCTCTCTCTCTCTCTCTCTCTCTCTCTCTCTCTCTCTCTCTCTCTCTCTCTCTCTCTCTCTCTCTCTCTCTCTCTCTCTCTCTCTCTCTCTCTCTCTCTCTCTCTCTCTCTCTCTCTCTCTCTCTCTCTCTCTCTCTCTCTCTCTCTCTCTCTCTCTCTCTCTCTCTCTCTCTCTCTCTCTCTCTCTCTCTGCCTCTCTCTCTCTCTCTGCCTCTCTGTCTCTCTCTGTCTCTGTCTCTCTCTCTCTCACACACTCACACACACACACCAGGCCCATCGCACCGACTTTGGAGGTGGGGCGGCCATGGAAGGGAGTCCGGGGGTCGTCCCCGGGAAAAAAATTCAAAAATTGAAGCCAATTGCAAGCATTTCCGGGTATTTGGTGCCATTTCAGTGTATGGTAACTACAATGAAAGTCTTTTTGATTCTGCAACAAACGAAGAAGACGCTACGATCGGGGACAAACGTTACCCTCCCCCTGGAAAAAATTCAAAAATTGAAGCCAATTGCAAGCATTTCCAGGCATTTGGTGCCATTTCAGTGTAACTGCAATGAAAGACTTTTTGCAACAAACCACGATCGGGGACAAGGATTTTTCACGTTTGCGCTAAGCTGCGCGTGCGATCATTGTGCTTTGTTGTAATGTGCTCAAAAAAAAAAAAAAAAAAAAAAAAAAAAAAAAAAAAAAAAAAAAAAAACGGTCGAAAAAGTGGGGCGGCCTCAGCCGCCCCAGCCGCCCCGGCTGTGACTGCCTTGCACACACACAAACACACACACACACGCATGTACAGACACGCATACTTCGAAGTACATACATATGCACACACCGACACAAAAACACACACACAGACACACACAAACAGAGGAAAGACTTCTTCCCACAGAAACAATGATTATATGTTCACACACTGTGCAGGGAGCATCCAAGGGACTCACCTCAACTTCTCTGCCTCGTCTGCCTTTTCACTCGCCAGGCTGCACGAGAAAATCACAATACGAGATCAACACACAGTTGGTGAAGAGCTAGAGTTCTGTGTAATTTTTACAACAGCCAATGTCCGGCTTCACAACACATACCAACTGCCAAGCGTTGCAACAATCCAGGACATAGACCACTGTAGGTGCCGTGCTCTCCTATGTGTCTCAATCTGCCTTCGGTGAGGCTCCGTGTTGGGTTGTATTGTATTGGTATTTATGGATTCTCCACAGGCCTTAGCCTACATTGAGGGAGTCTCCGTGTCGAGGCTTGCAAACGTGCTACCGGCATGGCATGCAGGACTTTCAACGCTGGAGAGAAGTAAACTGTAGAATACCGAGTACGTTTGACAGCACAGCACTGCACCAAGGTGATCTTAGTCTAGTGCGGAGTAACCTGGTCCATGCACTCACCAAAAACCAGCTGCTATAGAATCATGATGAACAGGCCGAAAGCTGCTGGTTACCCTTTGAGAGCTATAGAATCATGCTATAACTACTAATCCTGTTCATTTTGATCTGTGGATCCAATCACCAAATCGGTGCATATACATGTACGGTGCGTGTACTTCATGTAGAGCACACCAATGCAATGACATTGGCCTTCTTTCCGAACAGTTCTACTTCGAATACTAGTGTGTGTGCTGTTTACAATTCTACAATACTCGATCGCTACACACCACTACTTGCCCCCAAGTGAGTGATAGAAGGAATGAGCTGTGTGTTTGCCAGCCGCCTTTACGCCAGTTGGGCAAAGCCGAGCAGCAATCCCGTGTATCATCCGCAACAGCCAGTGGATCGTGTGCATTTAGCCAACCCTAAATCTAACGCTCCGAAGCCAGTCCAGAAGCATTAAGTATGGGTGAGTAAGGCATACGCTTGCAATGATACAAACGGTGTGCTTTTCAAATCATACAGGAAATTCACACATAGCCGACACATGCCATAACCGAGGGGTGTCACTTTACTGAATGTCCCTTCCCTTCCAACACTTACTGAAGGTTTCGTCTGGGGGAAATCCCCTGATCGTGTTATAAATAGTGTGCAGTTCAAAATAGATTCACTCCATGGCCATGAACCATCTCTCTGATAAGTGATAACACGCCCTTGGAAAATGTCTCTGGTGCAAATAATTGCATGTTGACTATGCTGCATTTGGGCGCTTGCTAAGGTGGTGGCTGGTTGGAGAGGGAGAGGCAGGATGGGAGAGAGAGAGAGAGGGGGGGGGGGGGGGCAGGAGAAATGGAGGTGAGGTGAAGAGCTGAAGAGTACGAGCAGTCATGGTACTACACTGCTAGTACTGCTACGTCACAACAACGCCTTTACTATACAGTGAACTTTGCGTATAACGACACTCGGCCGGGCACCAGACAAGTGTCCTTATTCGCGAAGTGTTCTTATACCCCAAGTCTCATTAAATGCACTACAGTTAGAAGGGACTTTGCTCTGGGCATGGAACTTCTGTCGTTATTCACGAATTGTCGTTATATCCGCAGTCGTTATTAGCCAAGTCACTGTAGTACAGCAGTCCCGTTTTGGGGCACTAGAATTTTCCTAGGGCCTTTGGTTTTTCGCACCGAGAGTACCCGATGCTACATTGAAATAGATGAAGGAGCATGTTCAGAAGCTGAATAGATCGCGTCAATCCCTCTGTACAGGGAGGATATGACTGGAATGAGAACCGTGTTCTGAACTGTAGCGGACTGTGTGAAAGTGCATATCACACAAGTTGAGATCGTCTGATGAGGGGTTTTGAACACGAAACTCGGAGTCACAAGTTTAATTCCTGTGCATGTGTATTACTTTGATAGTTGTTCCAGTAACATTGAGCTGGGTCTTGAGGCCGTCTCGCCACCAAACCGCTTGCGCCTCCGCAAACTCCTCGTCTTCACCTCGACAAGCTGCGTCCGCAAGGCGTCCACCTCGTGAAGCAGCTTCTGCTGACCCTGTTCAGTCAGAGGAAAGGACACGATGAGATTCATCTGTGCTTGTAGTGTGGATACAAGCCAGTGCACCGCCTCGTAGGCATGCCATTACTATATTGAACGTCATACAGTGCTGGCAACTGAAATCTGACCCGGCCCTGAGCGGTGGGTTCACATTCTTTGCGATGTGAGCGGACCGCTGAGGGCCGGGGTTGGATCTCAGTTGCCAGCACTGTGCTACAGGTGGTGTATGCACACCACAGACCCAGTCACGGATGCTTACTGCGTAGAGCACACATCGGTTACATATAGGTTGGGCCTGGCAGGCTGCACAACGATAGTGTACGTTCGTGTTCTGCAGAATGTTTCTGTGATCATGTCATATTGTGATCATTACATAATACAATACAATCCCATAGAACATTGAAATTATTCGGAGCAGTTAGCTGTCCAGAGATTGGATGCCATATTGATAGAAGACAAGAACACAGAGGTAAGGACTTCGGCGGCGAAAATATGATACTTTGTAAAACTGCACTCCTTGATCAAGCTGGTGTCTTAAAATGGCTCCTCTATGCACAGAACGCTCCATTGAGTGTCAACTCTTTGGCCTGGTAAACATGGATGGGAATCACAAAGACCCTTACGTCTTCAACATTCCTGAGATTATCTGCGTGCTGCTGCTCTTTATCTGCCAACTGTTGCTTTAGCTGTATTCACAGACAGACGGACGAACGGACGGATGGACAGACGGACTGACAGACAGACACATGCATCTTCCCTCCTTGTAAAGCTGCCGTGTTCTGCTACGGAGTCCAAATGGGACAGATTTTGGGAGGGGGGGGGCAGTGTTGTCTCTGGGAGGTGGTGCAGGGGTATCTGTGGTGGGTGACACTGAAACATCTATGACGGTCGGAAGTACTTCGAAGTAGTATACACAGCCATGGTGTATGCATCGTTGAGTCATCATGATGATGATTATGTGGACATGCTCTTTGCCATACCCATACTTCAAGTCTACACAATCATCATGCACACACAACTGTGTGTAGTTTCATGAAGGCAGAAAGAGATTCAGTCGTGCAACTTGATATCCACACAACGCCAGTGCACATGCCGTTGAAAAAAGATGTCACTCCCCTCCCTCCCCCCCCCCCCCCCCCCACACACACATGCTATTAGTAATAGCTGCTAAAATTCAATTCAATCAATGCCTTGGCAGTACCGGTACTCGGTGGATATGTGCGTGGCGTCTATCGACTTGATGCCTCATCAGGCACATTGCCCTTGCGCAGCGGCCTCCAAACAAGCCGCTCCAACCTACCTAATCAGACCTGCCTATATTATAATATATCTCACCTTATTTTGTTCATTCACCATGTGTCGCATTAGCAGCTCCTTTTCCTGAAGCTGCTTGCTCATCAAGTCAACCGTATCGTCGGGATTGATCTCAGTCGCAAAATTCTGATAGCAGGACACAAGTAAACAGCAAATGTACGCATTCATGTATTTATGTATTTATGTATTTATGTATTTATGTATTTATGTATTTATGTACGTATAAAACTGAACTGATTGTTTAGTAACTGGTGGTGTTAGTGGACATTATAGTGTAACTTGTAGTTCCTTGGTCCTATTTACTTTTGTATAAAACTGAGAGAGAGGATCCACGTGGAAAGTGTTGTAGCTCAAATTTTTCATGTGTATGTATGCATATCCCATAGCCATCCTGGTCGTAGGGGCGTGAAACGTGTCATACGGCAGCAGCAGACAAAGTTGAGGTGCTTGTACTTGTAAAGGGAAAGGTCGGTAGCATGACAACACGCGTGGATGTGTCTAGTTCTGCAAGGCAAACCTCAACCAGGGATGTTCCCATCGATGATGTCATGCTCGCGGACTGTACAGTCTGCATAGTGAGGCAGTGAATCAGCGTACACAGCTATTTGACAGCCATTCGCTCCATCTACTAGCCCTACTCTTGATCAGTACAATACAGGCACTATAGTCATATACTAGGGAAGTATGACGGAGGGGTTTGTAGTTTGTACCATGCTTTCAAAGCAAATGGCAAAGGTGTGTGCAATAAAACTTGAGAATAGTCAATATGCCGTCTCCATTCATATCATTCATGTCGTACGTGTTAAATGGGTATCATGAGCTACTGTACAGGCAGAAAATTTCGTCGGTCAAAAATTTCGTCCAACTCCAACGAAAGGGAGTTCGTCCGGTTGTAAATTTTGTCCATGGATCATAAGAGTGTATTGAAAAGCTGGACAAATTGACATTAGTCCGGCATTAAATTTAGTTCAAATGCTCCTTGGACGAAAAAGACGAAATTAAATTCCAGACGAATATTTCTGCTTATACAGTACTGTATATCATACCCACACTGCACTCTCGCTCACTGTACTGACCTCTCTATCAACCTGATCACTGTCTTGGCACTTTACGTCAACAGTTCGTTCCCCATGTGACCTTTCCTGCTGTCAGCCCATGTGAAAAGGTAGATACTGCCATATCTGGTCAGCGACGCTAAACAAGTCGCCTTCTACCAAAAAGAAAGCCAGTGGTACTGAAATCGGCAAACTGAGGTTACACAGTTCCCCCGTGCCGCACCTACCTGCAATATTTCAGCTTGCCTCGCCACCGTTAGTTCATGCTTGGCTTTCTCGATTTGATCGGTGGACAGCTCTTCCAGGTACTGGACGTGTTCGTGTTGCTCCTGTTGCCTTCTGTGATGCCAGCAAGACGTATGCATGCACGCAGGTCCACCATAGTCACGACCTAAGTTATCGTTGCATGTCCCACACCAGAATGCTCAATGCGCATGCAAGAAGTGCTTCTACTGAAGTATGTAGTAAAGAAAGGCATTATTTAAGGCAGAATTTTATGAAGAAGTGTGTGTTGCTCCCTACATGGGAGCTCGCGGTTTTCCTGCCGACTTGAATTCTCACTTGACAATTTTTTGAGACATTTAATATGGTACTCAAAGTGAACTTGTGACAAGTGAGTCATTCAAACTTTACACTTGTGGGCCTTCCATCAACATAATTGGCCTTGTATTGCTGCTGTAAATCAGTGTACCCCTTGCTGACTGAAGTTGCTGTACACCGCACATGCATGGTACAGGCTGTATCACAGGAGACTCCCGGGCCAGAGTGCCATTGCTGTGATTCAACTTAACGCAACACAGGCACACTGGACTGCCCAGAACACAATGTGTTTTTAAAAAGGCCCCACAAAACCAGCCCAACAGCTTCTAGAAGTGGTGAGGCAGGATCACCAACTTTCCTGGCAAATTCCACAGATGGAAACTGATGTCTCGGCAAACGTGTTGCGCACATTGGCAATTAGCAGCCGGCCAGTCATACAGGGGCCAACAGCTTGCCCCCGACGGAACTGAAAAAATGTTTTACCGTTTCATTTCGTGCTGCGTGGACGTCAGCGCCTGCTGAAGGCTGCGGCGCTCTCGGATCAGCTCGGTCATGATGTCGATCAGCTCCGGGTGATCGTCCATGACGTGTCCCACACTCGGATGCCTGCAAGAGAGTGTTTGCAGAGCAGGCAGCACGGTACAGAGTGAAACACATACTTGCCAACCATCATGATTCGGCCGGGACCGTCCCGATATCGAGGGTGGTAATAAGCACCCAAAAGTGCATTTGTCGCATGCCTCATAGCTAAAGTGTGTGCACATTTTCATACCTACCTTGTAGGTATGTCATTGTCCTGATCTCAGGATTGCAAAGGCTGGCATGTATGATAAAACCTCTAACAGACTGCGTGAAAATCCGCCAGCTAGACAGAACTGCAGGGTGATATGCACTGCATCGTTTTTGTAAAGATTGTCAAAGCCATTGCATAATGGGGTATTCACATGACAGGCACTTGCACGTTTTACAGGGAGTGACCTACGAGAAAAGTGACTGTGTGGATTCAGTGACCGATTCACACAGCTGCACTCGACGACAGGCACGTTTGCATTTTTGAATGCTTCACCGACCAGTATCCATGGGCATTTCAAATTTTCAAAACACGCACACAATAATTATCATGCTCTAAAGAGCCGCGTAAAAAATCAAGTCTTGTTTCGCGCTTTTTGGTGTAAATGTACTCGGACACGCCAGGATTATCGTGAAAGTGGGCCCCCAGCTCGCTTGCACCTTTCAGCCACTTTCAGCCACTTTTCTCGTTCACAGGTAAAATACCATAGCAACTTTCCGGCGCACGTGGATTTGCCTGTCGTCTGAATACCCTATAACCGGCTAAGGGAGGAGTGTGGGGCGCAGAAATAGTACTTCAAAAGTATCTGTACAGTAAAACCTGTCAATGCGACCACTCGGATAAGGCGACCACCTGTTAAAGAAGACCACTGGAACCAGGACCAAGGGATGCTATTTCCAGTCAATTGCCCCTGGATAAGGAGACCACCTGGCAACAGAGACCACATTTTTGAAGGTCCCTTGAGCGGTCGTCTTAGACAGGTTCCACTGTACAGTAAAGCATGCCCTAACCGGATGCCTTTGCTGCAACGGAAACTCTCCTGATGTGACAGGATTCCGTGGGATCCAGGCATGCACATTCAATCCAAAGCACTAGAGCTTTGGTGCATGAAAACATGTCCGGTCGCTACAGGATTCCGCTTGGCACAGGGTGCAGTAAGCACAGGGTTTTACTGCACAGCGTTCACTCTCTGTCTACTGTTTGTTTGTTGTTTGTTTGTTTGTATTCTTTATTTGGAGTGGGAAGTCCAAAACAGGCCCTGGCCTAATAACAATGGTCCCACTACTAGTGAAGTACGGCCAAAATGGGTCAGCGAGTCGCTTTTAGGACGGGGGGGGGGGGGGGGGGAGGGCATTTGCCCACACATATGCTCAGTGCAAAGCATTTTTACCCTCTACAGTACAGTCATGTCATGCAGGACAGACGGAAGTAGTTTTCAATTTATTTATTTATTCAACATCTTATGGCTTCCATAGGCAGCCAAAACGGGAAGATGTGGGTGATAGCCAACCATGGTAAAAGAAGGAGAAGATCATATACATGAAAAGGAAACAGCCGAAGTGTTCCGGTGGTATCATGGCCTTTCATACTTTGTGTATGAGTTGGCGGGTATACATGACCTCCACAGTAGGACACATTTGTTGGTGGCCAAGACCTTAGTCCAGTGATATCCTGACCAACCGGACCAGTTGCGGCAGGCCTGCAGTACATGCCATTGACAGGTGCATAATAATAATTTTAAGAGCATCTGCTCAAGGAAGGGAGGCGAACGACCACATTCCTCTGCACTCTGCAGTTACCCATTTCACCTACATGATGTTCGATGTCATAATGATGCAGCAACAAACAACTACAGTCGACTCCTGATGTAACGAACACCATTGTGCAGGAGAATTAGTTCTTTATGGCCGAAGTTCGTTATGACAGAAATGCACTCTCACCATGCAAGCAGCAAGTCATGACTGGCAAGTGGTCCATGGCAGTATGAATGCACTTTGTTTACATGCGGCCCTTCAAGATTTAGTTCGTTAAAAACGAAAAATGTTCGCTATAATGGGTTAATTTTGTATGGGTTCAAACAGGGACATGGACAAGGGTTCGCTATATCGCGAAATTCGCAATAATGCGAGTTCGTGATAAGTGGAGTCGACTGTATAATGTTCAGTTTACATGGCAGGGCCGAGGGGCGGGGGGGGGGGGGGGGGGGGGCGGAGATTGCAGGATCTTTCAACCAAAGGTGAAAGTGATTAGTGATTCCCATACTTTTAAAAGTCAGAGCAGATCTTATCATCATGACATGAAACATCTTGTAGACGTCTACCTGGAAAACATGTTTATGTATTTGCTACAAACAAAACACGTGCCATGTCACCAGTTTCCCATCACAGCAACCTAACCTGTCAAGCCATTCCGTAGCTCTCAGATGATCACTGAGGTCGTCGCCTAGCCGTGTGGCTAGAGAATTCGTCAGCAGTACTTGCCGCTCGCTTTCGCTGGCATCGAACAGCTCCCCGTGACGATGATGGCGAGGTGCGACTGCGCTCCGGGGTGTGCGCGCCGTCACGGTCGACACCTGCAGGTCGTCTCCGCCAGACGGCGGGGGTGCCCCCAGTGCCAGATCCTCACTTTCCTCATCCAAAACGCGCTGCATGTCACTTTCGACCAAGGTTTCATCGCCGTCATCGCTGTCCGCTCCCTCGTCGACGCGTCGTCCACTGCACGATCCTCGGATGCTCCTCCATGCGTGAGCAGTGCGTCCACCAGCAATTCCGCCTGATTCGGTTCAAGATCTGCACCGCTGTTTCTCAACAGGTCAGCCAGAGCGGACCTCAGCGACGTAGCGTAGCTCGGAGTCGACGCTTCCACATCCAGCCCCTGGCTTTGCTGAACTGCCATGATTCTGTCCTACCTGTCTTGCCCGGACTCCAGGCAACAGTTTGGAACGCTCTACTTATTGTAAAATGACTGTGCGTAACACGCGTGGTGGGTCGGAATGCACAGTCAACTACTACTGAGTACTAGTACTACTGTACTAGTACAAAAGCACAGTCAGGAGATCTACACTTTTAGTTTTACTGGCTCAGCTGGCAGATTGGTAGACCTACACAGCAGTACAGGCTACAGAACGTGTATGTAGTCTCCGCACTGATCACATCGCGCGTCGTAGATCTACCACACCTGCATGCTGCAGGCCGCATGAGCTTCGAGCTGGAAAAGTCCTTCCACGTTTACAAGAAGCATTCCAACATCTCCACTCTAGTAAAATCAAGAGAGCTTATTCCTGGGACAATGGGTAGGCTAGCTTGTGATTGACCCTGGTGGAGTCTAAGACTGTCGGGCATTCATTTAGTAGATCTACTGCTGAGCGCTGCTAGTGAAGGGCCTAGGACCATCTGATTCTGAATCGGAAGCAGTGAACTCAACTCACTGAACAGCTGATCACTTACTTCTTTCTACGCAGGATGGTCTCACACATGCATAAAATAATAGTTTGGCTCATGACTCTTGTGTTGTGACAGCATGCAAAGTCGACATTCGTTCAGTTTTGCTTGGAGCCGCCAGTGATCACGGCTCCTGAGACTTAGCAACAGCAGGAATTCTGTTTTTGACAGGTTGCCACTTCGCGGGTCGAAACTACTGCCGGTGCTTGCGACGATCTGCACTTGAGACTTTGAGAGATGAGTTTGCGGTGATCTGTACTGGTACTGCAGCCTAGTTTAGGTGGCTTGGTGTGAGCCCCGGCCCGTGGCCGATCGAGGCCAATGGCAATGGCAATGTGGCAATGAGGGACTGAGGTGAGGAGTGAGGTCACTTACTCACTGAGAGCAGTGCACTAGTGGTGAGTAGTGTGGGTTAGCACTAACAAAATAAAATACTGTGTAAGTAAAAGCAGCATGTGCGCCCCCCCCCCCCCGGACGGTCAGTGACTGTCTGTGTAGATGGATCTGCCGGCCCCACTCGCGTTACCCCGGATAGGAATGACGAAAATATTCACGTGAACCGGTAACCCCATTCAGCCATTGTACTACTGAGCAGGATGCCACCTGTTCTGTACATCTGGTGCATTGTCATGTTGCCAGCTAATGTCTATTATCACTCTCTTACTAGTAAGACTCTTAGTATTGACTCCCATAGATTTTTGCCATACCTAAGCAGTCAAATATTCCTGCATATTTCACTCCTTAGGACCGCTTATATTTGACTCCTTTTTAGCGATTGAACACAGGCTTTGGCTAGTCGTGATAAATCTAATATTGACTTCGTACTTGGTCAGTATAGGAAATAAAAGACCTCGTAAAAAACCTCGGCTTCGCCTCGGTCTTTTAGGGGCCGTCCGTAAATATCGATGTTTTTTTAGAGACGATATTGGTGCTTCTCTCCCTTGACCCCCCTCCCTCCCCCCAGAAGACGCACATGTACATCTACACATAAAAATAAAATATAGATCATGGAATCAATATTTTTGGATGCTCATGAAGTGCCCAGGATGTTGAGGGTCCGGTGTATGTAGGCGTGAAAATCCCGCCGCACTCACGCAATAGCTGCATCGCCTGGGCCTGGGGGGAGCGAGCCGGGTTGGCGCTGCAGTGCTCACAGCCATCGTGTACTGGTGTAGCCAAAGCGGCTACGCTCGGGCTTGAATTTTTTCAAATCCTTGTTCAGACAGTGAAGACTGGAAACTCTTGTGGAGTTCGTCCGTGTTTGTTCGCACTGCCTCTACGTCTTGAAAAAGGTCTCCTGCAGGCATCGTTCGGCCGATTTCCACAATCAATAGCTCATTCTTTTGCTCTTGAAATTCGCCATGGGCGTACAGCTTCCAATTTTTGATTTTGTTCTTGTGTCGCGAGTTTTAGCTCCGCGAACGGAAGCTGGTTTCACATTTCTTGTATAGCCATTTAGACGTCCGCGTGCAGGGATCGGCGAAACTTCAGATATTTACATCGATATTTTTCTGATGCTCGAAAAGACGCACATGGCTCAAACCCCCTCCCCCCCAGACGCACCAATATCGTCTCTAGAAAAACATCGATATTTACGGACGGCCCCTTAGTCGGCTTTTATTTCCCATATTGACCTCGTACTCAGTCAATATTAGATACGTAATGACCACGATGTAGTAATCATGGGGAGCTCTACTCTAGTAGTAGGCTCTACGGCTCTACCGGTAGGCTCTAACTGGGGATTTACCACCGACACGAGTGAAGGACAAGAGACGTCAAGAGTACAGTACAAGTCAAGAGTTCAGCGCTACATGTACAGTCATGTATCTATCTGTGCCACAAAGAGCCCCTCGTGGTGCAACTACGTTGCTAAATAAGTTACAACCACAATAATAGAAAACCTGACAGGGTCGCTTTTCAAAATGTGCCAGGCAGCCTTGTACAATATGCAGCTAGGCCATGGAGAACATCAAACGATGCACAGCAGGAGATCGTTTCTGTGAGAAGGTGGCCTGTGCTTTAGACAAATATAAAACAATTATTAAAAATACCCTTGTCTCTCAAGATTGAATAATGTGGGTGGAAGACTGCACATGCAGCTCTCTCTCTCTCTCTCTCTCTCTCTCTCTCTCTCTCTCTCTCTCTCTCTCTCTCTCTCTCTCTCTCTCTCTCTCTCTCTCTCTCTCTCTCTCTCTCTCTCTCTCTCTCTCTCTCTCTCTCTCTCTCTCTCTCTCTCTCTCTCTCTCTCTCTCTCTCTCTCTCTCTCTCTCTCTCTCTCTCTCTCTCTCTCTCTCTCTCTCTCTCTCTCTCTCTCTCTCTCTCTCTCTCTCTCTCTCTCTCTCTCTCTCTCTCTCTCTCTCTCTTCTCTCTCTCTCTCTCTCTCTCTCTCTCTCTCTCTCGCGCGCGCGCGCGCGCGCGCGACATATCGTCGACTCGCTATGACTATAATGCTACTTTTAGAAGAGGGTCAATATAATGATTCGGGTCCACTGATGGCAGGCCAGTGTGATGCATGTGCATGGCTAGCACCAGTCATGAGCAGAGCACCAGTCACTCTGTTGCAGGTGACGGTATGCAGCAATCTTGAAGCTCTGCAGGTGTTTCGGGGCTGGCTGCTTGTCCAGAACTGCCTGGTGTGCATAGCAATTACATGATTATAAAACAACAATACAGTTACAAATTATGTACTTCGAAATAACAGTAGAAGTAATCTACCATGGCTAGCCCTGTCTCCCATAGTACTACTTCGTATTAGTAGTACTGTAGTAGCTAGCCCTGTCCCCATGGTCTCTCTCTTCCTCAGTTTTTTTTGGCAGCAGACAGATGGAACATGCTTCCACCTGGATGTCGTCAAGCTAAGCCCCTTTCTGCATTTGTCACAAGCACCAAGTCATTCCTACTATCCTCGGGTTTCCAGTAAAAAGGCAACGCCTGTTGGGAGTTCCCTAGTAAAATATTAAATTCTACTAGTACTACTACCATCGGTACTACTACTAATTCCTGTACTACATGAAGATGGTATAATATAACCCGATACTCCAAAAAGAACTGAACAAGCATTAGATCAACCTTGTTATACTTCGAAGTAGTTCACGCATATTGTTAGATTGACAGCATGAAACAAGGTGGAGGACATTGTGTTCGGAAACAGTGACCTTCCCATTCCGTTTTTGCTTTGGTGTAGCCCTGAGGTTGATTGCTTATTTATTTCTACCCTTCCTCTCTCCATACTTCTGCCCCCCCCCCCCCCTCTCTCATTCCTTCTGTCGTCCACATGTATCAAAGGAGGCGAAATCGCCTGTTTGTGGTGCGACGTTAAATAAACTTCTACAACAACAACAACCTTACTACAACCTTCCGCGGTTGGCAGAGCCCCGGTCCCTGCGGACCATTTGAACCATATGGGTGTCCCGTGTCGCACCCGGTTCTGACCCTCATTATGCTAGGGTGGTAGGAGACTACTCCTGACGTCCGTCGTGTATTCTTTGATCGCTCCTGGATGTCGTCCTGGTAGTCATGTAGCTACTTAAACCTCAACTTCTTTTCTTCCAACTTCTGCCCATGGCGCCCTTCTCTCAGCTCGTCAGCTGTCAACAGTTACTGCCACCACCATGACACTGTCGCGAGAAGGTGCTCTCTATAGACGGGGTGATGTCCCGGCGTGGCCATGGGTAGGCCTTCACCACGTCGGAACACCCTGGTTACACTTTGGTTACCTCCACTCGTTATATAACTTGTTTGTTGTTGATGTTGTCACGTAAGCTAGTACTGGTCAAGAAAAACTTGAATTTCATCTACAAACCTGAGCAACTGCTTCAATTTTGCTACACGTTGGTTACCTTCATCAGTAAGTAAAAGTAAATTATCGTGTCCGTTCCCGAATCCCGAAGGGGACTCACGACGGCCGCTGACACCCGGCAAACCCTTCAGCAGTACCGCTTGGAAATAACTCGTATACGCGTATGTTGCTGAAGATCTACATCATGTGAGTCTGAGCAGACTGTACTGAGGTCCCAAGTGTGCGTTGGACCCAGTACCGCGACCAAACGCGGTACGCGGTCCAACGCACTGATCTGTGCTGACCCAGTCGCTGACCAGCTCGGTACGCTCGTATACGCGTACTGCACTGCCGCGCCGGGCCGCACGCGCGACTCTCGCCGTCGACGTCACATCACGTACATGCATATGCAGTAATTAATTCTTTCTTTCTTTTTTTTGAAAATGCAGGATGAATCGATCAGTGAGTGAGATTTCATTTTAGAAGTGCAATCAACTGTTTCTCAAGCAGCTTTCGTCTCAAGATTAGCTTTAGTAGGTGAGGGAGGCATGGCGTTCAAAGATCCCCTCCTGAACGCCGTTTCCAATTTAGCCCGACGTCGTGGGTTTATTTTTCCAACATCCCATCATTACGGAGGAGTTGAAGGGCGATACGAGTATGGGCCTTTGGGAACTTTATTGAAACAGAATATTGCCAAAGAATGGTGAGAAATAGGTAGTGATAATCATAAATCACGCAGTGCTGATGTTCTCGCTCCAAATTCGTATATGTACATTGCAGAACATGCTGACGAAGATTTATCATTCTTCTTTGTTCGTTCGTTTGAGGGGAAGGTGCAAACGGAAATTCTTATTAAATCTTTAAATTAAGAACTCAGAAGTCTTTAAATATTTAATTTATGTGTGGGTGGGTGGGTGAGTGTGGAGGATGTACTCACACTTGTAGGAAACCAGATTTCGTTTGAACAGAACAACAGGGGCAAGGCTAGTCTGTCGCCACTCTGAGTTTCATGGTTCTGCAATCATCAGGCCACACCTACAACATCTTATAGATTTAAACAAAACGAAAAACAGTTCTTGCAGCTGCCAGGGTGAAGCGCAGGATGAAGCTTTCTGCTCAAGTCACAATGATTTCCCTTGCTGCACCAGGCACGATCTCTCACCGGCTTACATGGCTATTTTTTGTACTATATCGCCGCGTCTTTCAATGTTTCGCCTTGCTGTGTGTTGCCCAAAAGAATCGCACGCGCTTCTCTTATATCACCATCACAGTTCGGCGATGTGCTGGAGAACCTGCAGTGTGACGGGCTATCCAGCGATTCATGATGACCGTACCATACAAATTTGTCAGTGGAGTGGTCTTGCACCGCATAGATTTGGGGTTGTGCACTCTGCTATGCACCGTAATGCCGCGTATTACAGCTGGGCTTATTCCAGTGGAAGCCTATGTCAGAGCTAACTCGCACTGCACTCGCTGACTGTATATGATCTGGTTATGTTGGTGAACAGTTAGGCAGAACTCGTGACATTTTGTCCTTTCTCTTAATCTTAGATAATTGAACTACTAATGTATGAGGAAAAAGGAAAAGCTCACTTTTTTTTAACGAACTATACTGTATGTCATCAGCATGTTGTTGATTGCGACTTGCCTTTTTCCGATTGCTTGATTTTTAACTTTCTCCTTTGTATGTTGTAGGTGGCGTGCGACCGTCACGGACAAGGAGAACGGGTTTGCGATCGACTCTTCTGTTGTGCAGCACCCGCAAGTTTGGGAAACGTCCGGCCACTCCAAGGTGTTCGGCGACAGGTGGACCCGGGATCTGTTGACTGGGGTGAGTGGATCTCTGGTGAAATTGGACAAGGCCAGCCCTACTAGACATTGTATTTCCGAAGTACTGTAAAACGGCTAGTTTTAGCGAAAGGAGTGTTTTCGCCAAAGTTTTGTCTCGCCAATCGAATATTTGCATGTACAGTACAGTAGAAGTGATCCTTCTTTAGTCTCAAACTCGGATTGCTGAAATATTTCATCGTGAATTGGTCCAGATTCAGAAAATGCTTTAAGGGGAAGTATACCCTAAAATCAAATTTTCACCAGTTGTAGTCTTTGGTGTGCTGAGTCGAATGGTCTTGGTCCGAGGAAGCTGAGACGCTCCCTTCCTCCTTTATTCCCAATCGAACTCGCGCACTTCCACCGAAACTGGGTGACTGCGCCCTACTAGATAGGGATTTGTATGGAAAAGTCACTAAAAACGCCGTTTCGTTCTTATAAAAGCGCGGATGACCGCGATTGGTCCATATGTTGTAGTCTTTTGGCCGCTGAGTCGACTGGTTTTGGTCCGAAAAGGCTGCGATGCAGCATTCGGCCCTTATTCCCAATCGAACACGGTTGAGTAAGCGGTCACGTGCTCATTTACAGCCTGTTTGGGCCCGTTTATGTCACTCGAGTTGAACCTTTGAACCAGGGAGTCGTAAAAGCCTCTTACGACTCCCTGCTTTGAACCTTTGAGTTGAATCTTGATGTGAAAATTGTACTCTGCGGGCACGTGACCGCTCACTCAACCGTGTTCGATTGGGAATAAGGGCCGAACGCTGCATAGCAGCCTTTTCGGACCAAAACCAGTCGACTCAGCGGCGACAAGACTACAACATATGGACCAATCGCGGTCATCTGTGCTTTTATAAGAACGAAACGGCGTTTTTAGTAGGGGTCAAACGGGTGTACCTTTAACTAACGAACGGGTAATTTCCTTAACGGGCGGGTTAACGGGTACCCTTTAGCAGCCATATTATTTTTTTGCGCATTTCTCACATAAATCATGATTTTAATTTGTATATTCTCAGGTTGTATTTTGATACTACATTACGATTCGCAATTGATTCGTGTATCATAATATTATTATGGCAATAAAGGTTCCAAATGAATGTCATCCGTGCATTTGCCCATGTACATAACTTCACAGGCAGTAACTTACAATCGTACATGTAGATGGTCCTACAAGCTACATGTATTTTGATACACTACGCAAATCAACTGCAGATCGATGTGATTCAAGCCATGCAAGGACAGAGTGGTTTTGCAAAACTTCCGTGATCTCACGCAATCCTATTTGCTATGTTCGCAGAGAACTGGTACTCGTTGCATTCAGAAGATGTTCGCGCCCATAGCTAGCTGGGGTGCCTGACACAGCTGATGTGCTGCTGGCCAGCTAGCTGCTAGTGCTAGCTTGTTGAACTCGTGAAATGAATCTTCACAAATCCGTAATCTTGTATGCAATATTTCGAACTACTTTTCAACTCGTCGATTGAAGGAACAAACTACAACCATGAGTATCATACATGTAGCTACCACCTACGGACATCACCGTTTGTGACACTCCGACTGGTCACTCAGCCTGGTGACACTAGTTCATCAAGTACTGTGGCAAGTTCGATGTCGGAGAACCATCGTAACTAAGTTACTTTCTAGTTACTCAGCTGCCACCTCGAACGAGTTTCAAGTCTTGCATTTTCTCACATCACAATCAAAAACCTCCAGTACGAGGATTTTTACTTGCACTAGAGTGGAGAGAACAACTGTCAAGTCTGTCTTTCAGCCTGCTCCTGCCTGATAAAGTCGAAAGCGGGAATGCACAGGAAAAAGGAAAAGAGTATCCGCACTCCTATTTTGAGTCTTGGAATACGATAGGATCACCCTTTTTTTTTTTTTTTTTTTTTTTTTTCTTTTTTTTTTTTTTTTACAAACGGGTACCCTTTTACTAACGGTACTTGAGATTAACGGGCGGGTACCCGGGTACCCGGTACACCCGTTTGACCCCTAGTTTTTAGTGACTTTTTCCATACAAATCCCAATCTAGTAGGGCGCAGTCACCCAGTTTCGGTGGAAGTGCGCGAGTTCGATTGGGAATAAAGGAGGAAGGGAGCGTCTCAGCGTCGTCGGACCAAGACCATTCGACTCAGCACCACGAAGGCTACAACTGGTGAAAATTTGATTTTAGGGTATACTTCCCCTTTAACTATTTTCCCGGTAAAATTAGCCCTTCTGCAGTATGCGGCTGCCAGGTGGGATTACACACGTGAAGCATGTTATAGTAGCTGATGCAAAGCCCCCAAGGCACCTCCAGATTGGCTGGGGCCTTCCACGTGACCACTGCTGGTATGTTTTCATGTTTGGCATTGTGTTCACTTGTCCCTTCTTTCACATCTTTCTTGTTTGTCTATTCATTCTGTGTGTGTGTGTGTGTGTGTGTGTGTGTGTGTGTGTGTGTGTGTGTGTGTGTGTGCGTGCGTGTGTGTGCGTGTGTGTGTGTTGGTCGTGTGTCCGTGTTTGTGTGTGTGTGTGTGTGCGTGTGCGTGTGTGTGTGGTGGTCGTGTGTTCTCCAGGAGCAATTCAAGTTGACGAAGGGGGAGAAGGTGAAACATCTCCAATCAGATCTTGTCATCAAAGCACCGAGCAAGAAGGAAGCGCAGAAATGGCGAAATATAATCAAGCAGGAGCTGGCGCCCAATGCTCGGGTTAGTTCTTGTTACTGTTGCTGTTGTTACCGTGGTTACTGTTGTTACCGTGGTTGCTGCTGTTCTTGCCACCTCGCAGCTGCAGTGCATGACTCACAGGACAGTCTGGTGGTCGCTTTCGAAAGCAAACTGCACCCATCGTAACACCAGAGATGGCAGATGACCGCAAACTCAAAAGTGCATGCACCACAACCAGTGGTTTCCTACTTTCCAAGCAAGCAAAGCGAAAAGCTCGTAAACGAATGCGATTTTCTGGTATTTTTCTTGGCAAGCACGTTGTTGCGAGGTTACCTGGCCAGTGACGCCCTTCACATTTGAAATAGTCATTCTAGGGCTGAATAAAAGTGCTAAAGTATTCCAGGTTGGAAACTTTCCTAAAACCACTCCCGATAATGGAGCCCACTGGAGGAAAAATGCACATGTCCCAAGACCAAATGTAGACGAGTTTGCTGTGAGAAAAATTTACTATTAGACGGGTCCTAGGCGAGTGCATGTACAATACTTCAAGTACTATAGTGGTGCTCAATGAAATCCAGTCGCGTCACTCAAGTACGTGCCGGACGTTTTGCAGCCCTGGACCTGCGAACACTGGGCTGCGAAATGATGCAAGCCTCAGACTCGAGCGACGCGACTGGATTCCGTTGAGCAGCACTGTGGTAAAGTTATAAGCGGGAATCTTGTATTGACCGGAAAAAAAATGTCATGCGCCAAAGTGCTGCGGATCGAACGTGCAATCCCTGGATCAAGCCGAATCCTGTCATATCAGGACAGTTCCCGTTGCACCAAGGGCGTCCTGTTAGGGCAGGTTTTTACTCTACATGTGTAGTGAAACAGCTGTCTAAGACGACCGCTCAAGGGACCTTCAAAACGTGGTCTCTCTTACCAGGTGGTCTACTTATCCAGGGCCATTTGACTGGAAATAGCAGCCCTTGGTCTTGGTTTCAGTGGTCGTTAAGGACAGGTGGTCTCCTTATCCAAGTGGTCGCCTTGACAGGTTTTACTGTACAGTAAAACCTGGTTTAAGCGACCACCCCACGGTGCAAGCAAAAGCGGTCGTTAACGCCAGGTGGTCTTCAGAAGCAGGTTCAACAGTTTCAGCGTAGAGCTGTCCGTGCACGGAAAAACGGTCGTTAATTAAGAGCAGGTGGTGGCTAAAATCAGAGGGCGCTTTCACCAGCTTTTACTGTATGTTATATCCAGGGTGCTTGTACCGTATTATCTCTATTATAAGCACGGTCCTTTATTTTTTCAATGTACCTCCGCCCCGTGCTATTAATGGAGACGTTCCTTTATTGGAGATTGTTCCATTATTATTTCAACCTCATTTCAGAGGCATGTTGCCATGCCAAATTTTAAAATTTATATGTCAGACACACACATTTCAGGGTTTTTTAGCCGGTACAGATAATGAATTTACACAGTGTGCTTATAATGGAGACTGAGCACTTTATTTTTTTAATGCCACCCCAAGGTGTTCTATTATTGGAGACATGCTATTATTGGAGACTGTGCTTATATTAGAGATAATACGGTATGTAGAAAGTTGACTAACTCGACTCGTGTATTGGCTTGGTGTACTCTTCTTTCTCTGCTTCTGTGTCTTTCCTGCTGATAGACCTTCACCCAGGGAACTGATATCACCATGAGAGTGGAGTCTGTGACCGACAGTCACATCATCCTGGCGGGAAATGACGGTAAGAAGACGCTTCCAGAGCATGGCAGAACGGTCTGGGTGTGTCGTACGGAAAGGTGGCAGGCTTAAATCCCTCCTTATCCGGGCTGGCCTGATTCGGACACATCTATCGAACCGGTCAGTCTCTGCAGCGTGCACGGTCATGTGCATGACTTCACAGCTGTATACAGTGAAACCTGTCTAAGCCGACCGCTAAAGGGACCTTACATATGTTGTCCCCGTGTACAGGTGGTCTCCTTATCCAGTGTCATTTGACTGGAAACAACACCCGTTGGTGCTAGTTGTAGTAGGCCGTCCGGGACAGGTGGTCGCCTTGACAGGTTTCGCTGTATGTTCTGCCTTCTCTGCCGTCATGCATATGGCTGAACATGTACCCTGGAGAAAAGTAACTTTTAATATGTCCTGTAAGTTCACAAATATTCGGCACATATTTATTTTCGGCTACTGTAATTTCACAAATTTTCGGTGTGCTTTTATTTTCGGTACTTTCGGTGCATCTGTTTCATACCTAAGATTTTAATACACCGAACAAACTTTAACACACATAATCCAATAGGGAACTGCTTCTCTGTACCGAAAATTTCTGTTCACCTAACCTACAGTCCATTCAGAAAAAAATGAACTTCTAGCTTTTGGCCATAAATGGGTCAAACGTTGAGTTTTTTTAGAATTTTTTTCTGCAATCCCATATGGAATCCACTTCCAATTATGTTTCTGAAGTTTTTTTGTCCAAAAAGCAAGCCATAGCAAGAATAGGATTTCGGCCAGGTTTTGCCCCAAAAGCACTGAATTGGGAAAAACCATCAAAATCCAGGCCGTTTGACCCCGCCTGCAACAGTGCATTCTGCGGTTCGAACCCCAGTTCAGGCACCCTTTTTGGACCCTTTTTCAAATTTCAAAGTTCGCAGCACTGCACTGTGTACGATGAAATCACGAAAAATCGCCAAATACGGGAGCTCGCCAGAGCCAGGACCCATTTTTTTATGAATGGACTGTAGCCTTTTGCCCTCATACCGAAAATTTTGAGCACCGAAAATTTCTGAAATTAGAGTATTTTCAGCCTGATCATATTTTGTTTAGGAATGGGTTTGCTCCCACACTGGAGCAACCCCATTCCTAAACAAAATCATCGCCGAAGTCGCAACCTCTACTTCGTACTGATCATATTTGGCGGCAAATTTGTTGCAGCCGAAATTTTGTTTTGCAAGGTTCAGTGTGACAGTGTATAGACCATATCCAATAACGTCACGGATCGCGCGGCCAAGGGGGCTGCAGAGTCACTGAGTGGCAAAAGAGATCAGCTGAGAGTTTTGAGTTTGAAAGTACATGTACAAACGGTCAAACCACTGAGTTTGGGCGGAAGAGATTCAAGACGAGAAGAAGAAGGCAGCAGTTAGTAATGGATGGCGAGCAAAGCGAGGTAGTGGAGTTTTCATCAGAGTACAAGAAGTTGGATGAGGCTGCAAAGAAAAGGTACGACGAGAAGCTAAATTTGATCGCGATGGGAGCGAAAGACCCGTACTGCATCAGTGGCCATCAAGGCGATCATTTGTCAGACTTGCTTCCTCTAGTCGAATATCCGGACTTGTACAACTACTTAATTACAGCCCCTAGCCCGGTAACGAAGGAAGAACTGAAGGCATATAAAAGTCTCGACGGTCACAAGTTCTTGGTGGCAGGGTGGCTGGGAGATGTGAGTGCGTACGAGGCGACATCGGATCATGAAAAGAGAGTTGTGAAAGCAAAGGTGAGACACTCCCAGTCAGTCAGCAGCGACCCTCTCACACCGTGGATAGCTGCAGAACACAACGGCACTATTATTTGCGCCCACTGCACCTGCAAAGCGGGGCTGGGTGAAGCATGCGCCCACATCGCTGCTTTATTGTTTGCCTTGGAATCGCACACTAAATTTGTGTCTGACAACGCCTGCACATCAAAGGGATGTGTGTGGTTGCCACCGTCCATAAAGTCAGTTGACTACAAGAGAATAGCTTATATAGATTTCACCTCCCCCAGCAAGAAGTCAAAGACATCCAAGTCGTCTGCTGCTTTACCCAGCCCAACATCTCCTGTTATTTCGGCCAGTGCACCAACAACGTCAGAACTGGATGGATTTTACAGCAAATTGTCCGAGGTGGCAATGCCAGCCCTGCTGTCCATCGTGCCAACTTACGCAGATGCATATGTTTCAAAGCTACCATCTGATATTCCTGCACCACTGTCCAACTTGTATGAGGAGTCGATGGTCTCAGCCAATTACACTGACTTGCTTGACCGATGTGATGCAGTGTTCTCGACAATTTCTGTGACACCAGATGAGTGCATGGCAATGAAACGAGCAACGCGCGAGCAAGCAAAGTCAGACTTGTGGTTTATGTGCCGTGCGGGTCGCATCACTGCCTCAAAGTTTAAAGCCGCTTCCCACAGTGACCCCCATCAACCTTCTGTATCACTGGTGAAGGCAATTTGCTACCCACAGAGTATGAAGTTTACATCCAAAGCAACAACGTGGGGATGTGAACATGAGCAAATTGCCAGGGATGCCTACAAGGTACATGTGATCAAGAAGCATAAGGCATTTCAGCTTTGTGACAGTGGTCTTGTGGTCCGTAGCGACTATCCTTACCTTGGCGCCAGCCCAGATGGTGTTGTGTCTTGTGCTTGCTGTGGCAACGGTGTAGTGGAGGTTAAGTGTCCCTACAGCTGCTGTGACAGTTCCTTCGACGATGCAACCGAGAAGTCGGGCTTCTGCCTTGGTCGAAATGCTGATGGTTCTTTCTTTTTGAAGAAAGATCATGCATACTATTATCAAGTGCAGGCTCAAATGTTTCTGTGCCAAGCTGCGTATTGCGATTTCATTGTGTATTCTCATACGGATCTTGTCATTTCTCGCATCTTGCCGGATACTGATTTCATTTCTGGTGCCATTTCTAAAGTCTCTGACTTTTTCAAACTGGCTGTGCTGTCAGAGTTAGTTGGCAAGTTCTTCAGCAAAGGCTTTGAAATCGCCGCAGGACATGCAGCATCAAGTGAACATGCAGGCCAGCACGAGCCTCAGACTGGGCATTGCTTCTGCAACCAAGTGAAAGATTCAGAGACGGTGACGTGTGCTGGTGTTGAGTGCCCTGTCAAGACATTCCATGTCGTCTGCTTGCGGATGAAGGGAATACCGAAGCGCAAATGGTACTGCCCCACTTGCCGCAAAACAAGGAAGGCCGAGAAGGATGCCAAGAAAGCACTGTGACGGGAATGGTCTTAGAGACTGCTTCTCCCATTCCCGTTGGCCTTCCAATAACGTAATTATTTACACTCTTCCTGCATGCTCCGAATTACTTATTATTATTCAGGCATAATGTACAACTATTACTCTACACACTTCATTTCTACACATCCTTATTCTACCTCCCACACCGTACTCTACACACAGCGGGGAGTCGAATACGACTCCGTGCATTTGATTATGAAAAGATGAAGCTGGCCACGACGAGGTTTTCCCCTCAGTTCTTGGTTAGTCCAGAAAAGAGTGAGATTGATGTGTCGAGTGAGCTGGGTCTCTTACATGGTGTCAGAACTGATCTAGAGCATTGTTCGTCAGGCTCTTGTATCCACGCCCGCGCCGTTCGTCGGCCACGCCGATAGCCCACTTGAATATTTCCGTTTGTCGGAAGGTTTTTTGTTGTTGTTGTTGCTGTCAGTCAGCATCGCCATAATCCCATGGACTTGGCGCGATTAGCATTTGCTCGTCAGGAGCTGCTATAATTATTATCTGTATCCCTGTATTCCCCTGGATTGGCTGTGGTTGTGCCTGGTTGGGGTTGGGTCGTTGTGCAGTTGGAGTCGCGTTCCGTTACAGCACCCACTTCTGGCATGTACACACGTGCACACTTCTGGTCTCATATGCGTACTCTACCGCATACTCACGCATTCTCAAAGAGAGCGAGAGAGAGGCTGCATTATTGCCTGGACGAATGAATTGTCCAAGCTATCACTGCATGACCAATAAAGGAAAGAAATAGTACATGTGAGTCAGGGTAAAGCATGCAAAGATAAGAGAGAGGCAGAGAGAGAGAGAGAGAGAGAGAGAGAGAGAGAGAGAGAGAGAGAGAGAGAGAGAGAGAGAGAGAGAGAGAGAGAGAGAGAGAGAGAGAGAGAGAGAGAGAGAGAGAGAGAGAGACTGCCTTATCGCCTGGACAAGTGAATCGTCCAAGCCATCACTAAAAGACCAAGAAAGGAAGAAATCATACATGACAGTCAGGGTGAAGCATGCAAAATTAGAAAGAGAGAGAGAGAGAGAGAGATGGGGATTTTATGAAGGACTTTGACATGAAGTTTGATGCAAAAAGGTTAGTATGATGAGCCCTCACGGGGTCGAAACAGCTAGCTGTCCGGAGATGGAGCAAGCACTACTATACACATCCAGCTATCCAGCTCTGGCTTTGTCTCAGAGCTAAGGATACATCCCTGCTAAGCCAAAGGCACGACTGACTCACAGCAATTGCACAACGCGCAGCACACAGTGGCAATCTTGTCAATGACAGCAATGTTTGCATCACTGCTGTCACGCATGAGGAGGTTGATCGGCAATGTGGATTGCAACAGTGTATACTTGTTGCGTAGCACACCAATCACACGCTCAACATGAATCCGGACTCGGGAGAGCTGTCTCGCTTTGTCAATTTCAATTCGAGACAACTGGCTCTTCCCTCTCATGAATGGTGGGATCACAAGCTCAGCACAGTACAGACCTACGCTGTCTTGTACAGTGAAGCCCCTATCTGCCAGTACCTGGTCACCCGGGAGGAGTTTCTCCAGAAAGCCACAATTCTCGGTGATGTGCTTATCTGATGTCCTCCCACCCCAGGCTTGTGAGATGAACGATATTACACCTTGCGGTGTAATGGCAATGAGGAACTTGATCGTGTTGTGCGATTTATGATGTGAGTATGACTGCGCTCTCACCATCAGATCAGAGGGACGCTAGCAGAATACTTCGAAGCAGTCGATGATGCACACACACTTCTTGAAATTCTTGGCGAACTCTGGCGGCATTGTCTTGCCTAGATCACCCGGATCTGGCCATCTTACAAGTGGCTTCATACGCACATACATAATGTTCACCTACTTCAGCACATACCTCGACACGGTACTCTGGGCCACACTAAAATGATACCCAAGGTCAGAATCATTTAAGTTCAGGCGGAGCTTCATTAGCGTCATCAAGAACTGCGTGAACAATGAGGTTGCCGAGCGGTGGTGACGCTCAACGTCGCTGGAAACAAACTCAAAAACAGTGATGAGCACAGCGTACGTTGGCAATCCGGTGTAGAGCTTCACCTTGTCATCATTACATATCAGATCGTTCTCAGAAAGTGCTGCTCCACCACGGAGAGTTGAGTTTTGGGCCCTTAATTTCTTCACCTCCTCTCTCAGCAGCAAGTTCTCACATTTCAAATTATCGAATTCTGACTCGTGATGACAGCATTTACCACCGGTGTCTGGACTAGCTGAGTCGGTCCTATCGCTGCTCTCCACAGGGATCTCCACAGGTCATCACTCTTCTTTCCACCAACAAAATGTGCAGAGCACAGCCAAGTGTTTTGATTTGGTGACCACTTGTCACGACGAACAGCTACAGTCCACTTCTTCCGTTTCACAGGGTCTGCCGGAAAGCGGTAGAAACTGACAACCGAACCAACCTTAGACCGGTTACTGCAGCCAACAGCACAACAACTTTTGACCATCGTACTAGCAAAACTGCAGAAGGAATGACTCTTCCACAACGAAACAAAAAATGCCCCCTCCCTCATAATAATCAGATCAGCAGCTGCTTCTCAAGTTCAAAAATTTAGTTTTTTGCCACTCAGTCCCTCATGATGAGCTCAGCTGGGCACCGTTACTATGGAGATTGCAGCCTGTGACGTGTATTGCATAAGGTCTATACAGGCAGCAGCATTACAGGCCGAACATGTGTTGCAGCCGAAATGTGTTTTAGCCCTGGGCCCACATTTGCGCTCCTTTTCAAATGTGGTGTTCTGCCCTTTCTGGCCCTGATACTTGCTTCTTGGAAAGGGTTTGTCTACTCCCCACTTCTCTTTTCTTCGTGTGAGACTCTCGAAGTTGTTTTCGAACCCATGCGAATTCACCCATAGTCCATCGTAGAGATTCGGAGATTGACAATGGTCTGATTATTGCTGCTCCCCTTGTGCAGGACCAGTTCATGTGGTGCACCACGGTTACCTGGCGCCAGGCTCACGGTCACCGTTCCTTCACGAGGTCAGTGTTAACCCCTATGCTGTTTTCTGTCACGACGGCCCTCGAGTGTACACTCCGGTGTGTGCGGGGGGGGGGGCAAGCTTGTAGTCGGCTGGCGGCTAACCTGCGTGCTGGGAAGGCTCTAGCAGTACAGCACTGCCATGCGCCGAAAAACAAAGCAGGCTAGGATTCCACCACTCAGGGCAAACTGATGTATACACGGTGACCGACAGTACTGTAGGCTTTGCAAAGTTTGAATGGCTGGCTTAGTGCAGCTGGCCATGTTGGCTGTGCATCTTGACGGAGCACTGCCTGATATTGCTTTTCTAGTACAGATAGACGTTGGTATACAATCAAGCACTCTTATGATCATGAGAAAGTGTGGAGTACAGTGGAACCTATGTGTAGCAATTATCCCAGGGTGCACTGAATACGCCCGGTCCTTCCAGACAGGTGGTCTTTCAACACAAGTGATCTCTCAACACAGGTGGTCTTTCAACACAGGTTCGCATGTATGTAGCAGCGTAAGCTGGATCCTGAACTGACCTCTTGCACAAGATGGGTGCTGTCTGATTACAGTGGTCGCTAAGCGCAGGTTTCCCTCTTGGTGTGTGTGTGTGTGTGTTTGTGTGCGTGCGCGCACGTGTGCTCGTGTGGGTGTGTGTGTGTATAGCTAGTTCGGTTGGTGGGTACACTTATGCCTGATTGTGTGGGGTCTGTGGGGCCAACAGGCTCGGCTGCTTGAAGGTGTATTGTTGTATCTGCCACCTTTGTTGGTTACAGGGTTCATATACTTTCTATTTGAAGTATACATACCTGTTAACCATGGACTGCTTCTGGCTAGATTAACTCTTGTGTAATCAATGGTGCTAGTGAAGTTTATATCAGATCCACTCTGATTTAGCCACCCACATTAGTAGCAAGTATTACCTTCACTGGGGGCAGGGGTAACTGCAGTTGGATCCCAGGACGGATACCCTGATGCCGTCAATCCATTTTCTGCATCTTTTCCTCACCCACTTACTGAGGTGTAGGCCTCCATGGAATGTGCCGGCATAATTTCGGGAATTATCGGTGTGATTTTTTAAACGGCAATTATTGGCAATTTTTGTGGAATAATCGGTAAAATTTGAGCAATGCCCCCCTTTTTTCAATTTGTTTCCATTTATAACGGATTTATAACACCCTGATTTGTACCAAAAAGCTTGTGATCCTGAAGTTTTCAAAAAAGAAAGAAAAAAAGCTTCCAGCCGAGTTTCACGCGAACCGTGATTTTTTTGCCCGTACAAGTGGCAAAAACCCCGTACGCGGTACGGTATCTGCAAAAAAGGGAAGAAAAAAGCATTATTGTGAGAATAATTGGTGGAATTACGGGAATAATCGGTCGAAATTTTGAGCAATGCTCAAAGGAATTATCGGTAAAAATACGACCATATTCCGCGGAGGCCTACTGAGGTGTGGTGAGCCCATAAGTGGGATCATTTTCAAGTCCACCCAGAGTTGGGGATTTCAGGGGGTGTCGGCCGTTGGGCAGTTCAATAGCCAATTGAGTCATCTTTCTAAGATTCCTTTTGAGTCTCTCTCCCCTCTCCCGGGGAGACCCACGTGACCAGTTTTGGCAGTGAGCAACAAGTACAAGTGTGTGTATGTGCGCGCGCACGTGTGTGTGTGTGTGTTGTGGTTGTGGTTGTATTTTATGTAATTTTTTCATCTCCTGAATAGCCTCGAATGCAAGGGGGACTGTCCTACTGTGGAGACACCTCGCCTGAAGAGATGGCGGAGGACTTTGTCAAGATCGTTGAAGACAACTCGGGTGCATCTCGGTGAGCTGCTCTCCATCTTAAACTTGTCTTTCTCTACCGTATGTCCCGGCATCTTTGCACTGCTATGGATGGCCATTGTTCGAAGTGATGGACAAGTTTTGTGTTGAAAGCCATACCCGTTGGCACGCGGCAACGCCAAACACATGTATCACGTTGTCATTGTGTGTTGCAGGGCGACGTTGAAACAGTTGTTCACGGACAAGTACAAGGAGCGTAATCGCCCGCTCCGACCAGAGCTCGCCCAAGGTACAATGTGTGTGGGTTCAGTCACTGATCACGGTCATGGTGACTCAGACCAGTTTTTGGGGCTTTACCCACGTAGTTCATTGAAGTTCATCTCTCTCTCTCTCTCTCTCTCTCTCTCTCTCTCTCTCTCTCTCTCTCTCTCTCTCTCTCTCTCTCTCTCTCTCTCTCTCTCTCTCTCTCAATTAAAAGCTGGGTTGGGCAGTTAGATGTCACATTTACTTTTGTGCGCTACACTAGTGCCAGTTTCTCGTGTATCACGATATTGTATGGCTGTGTCCGGACAGTTTCGCTTGAGTTTTGGTCAAGTGCTGGATACCGACTCCTGATGATGGTTTCTAAACTTTGCGTGATCCCTTCAGGACATACTTGGGGGGTCTGGTATGTGTTCTCTCTGCTCCGGTGTTTGTTGATCATTCTGCCAAGGGAGTGATTACTGTAGTGTCTTGTATGAAAGCCTGTCTCATCAGGGACGTCGAAAGGTATTCTATATTGGTGCGACTGTGAAAAGGTGTGTGTGTGTGTTGGGGGGGGGGGGGGGGGGGGGGGGGGGGGGGAGGCTCCCTGGAGAAAATCTTAGGAAATTGAGCCCAAATAGCCCATACTAGTATTTCATTGCTTCAAAAGTCACAGAATATAATTATTGGTGCGGCCAAAGCTACACTGACGCCCTTGCTCATAGAAGCCTGTTTTCAAAACTAGCCTGATCCTCAAGATGGACTGCCAGCACACCAGCTTAGGTTAGTGGGAGCATACATGGAAATACCTGCTTTTAGTGCAGGCCTGAATTAAGTACAGGTAGACTCCCTCTAATTCGAATACGGTATAATTCGAACATTCCGTGTAATTCGAACTTTTTCGTCGTACCGATCTTCTGCAAGTCACTTCAAGTCAAAATCGAATGCATAATTCGAAGTACGAAAAGTGCGCCGGTTGGATAATTCGAACCCAGTCTTCTTACAGAAGAGCTGTTTACAGTACATTGGCTATGTCCTTTGAACGCTTATTTCGAAGTGAGATTGAGTTGCTATCCTTGTAATTCGAAGTTCATTCTTTTCTCCTTCTCTAGCCAAGAGTAGCTCAAAAATCGATCGATGGTCCACTGCAGGATCGACTATAGCGCTCAAGAAACCCACCTTCTCTCGAAATTTCTTTCAAGCTCGTGCGAGGCAAATTGCAAAGGTTTGATTGAAGACGATGTCTTCCAGGTGGCTGACTCTCTTCGCGGATCTCGATGGCCTTTCTTGCCGCGCCAGCTCGTGCGCGGAGATGTTGGCGCACAAAAACACTATTGTCGTAAATATTGTCTATGCCTATGCTCCACTTCCGTTCTCCAGAACGACGTGCTACTGTCCGACGGCCTTTCATGACGCGGATTAGGCAGCGCAGTTCTTTTCCGTTGAAATTGTTTCAGGAAAGCTGCAGTGACTGACAACTTCTCCACTAGAAAATGAAGATGTCAAAATGATTTTGTTTCGATCCAGTGGTTTGATGATCCGTTGTACACGACCGGTACGACCACCTTGCACCTATGTTTCGTTGATGGAAATAAAAATGTGCAAAAAATATTCAGCATGCGATTTCAAGCATTTTGACATACATATCAGTGCATGGGGCTGCATTTGGATAATTAGAAGTTCTGGATAATTCGAAGTTAGGGCCTGGCAATTTGAGGTTCGAATTAAAGGGAGTCTACCTGTAGAAGCTTAGCACCGACTTCTACAGGAATAAGCCCGGCTTGTGTGCAATTACAGTATGCAGTTGTTCCTACGCATTGAGGGTACACAGTAGAAATACTCCTCCTCCCCCCCCCCCCCCCCCCCCCTCCCCTTCCTCTGCCCCCACACAGCGCTCAATGTCGCAATGGACCGTGTTTCCTTGCCCAGAATACAGAACCGGGTTAGGACTGCTAGTTGAGTTACACGTGACGTTATGCGATCCCCAGGCACAAGATCCCAAAATCATCCGCATTGAGGGTATCTTGTTCTGGATGTCTGTTCTTGTGCATCATGTGTCCAGCGGCTTTTCAACAGTTAAATTTCGTATGCAACAGTATTGACAAGCGATTTCCTTTCTCCCTGGCGCAGATCGGTAAGTCGAAGATATCTGCGCTGTGGAGCAAGCACGGTGGAGACGGGCCTGTTTTACTTAGCTAGCTCTTTTATTAGTTAATACTCCCTCAAACTTGTGATGTTTTATGTATTGGGACTCCCCGTGTGCTAGTTTGTGTGTGACGTGTGTGGGTTACAGCGAGGGCTGCGTCCCCGCCCGCCTGTGTGGATTCACAGGAAGTGTGAGTTTCAAGGTCTGAAGAGAATATTTGTCAGTCGCTGCTTGGATGACGACTTCACCATAGCTTAGTGGTAGAGCATCGCTGGCCATTAGCAAGGGCCCCCTGGTTTGAGTTCTGGTGGTGGCGGTCAATTTTTTCTTCCAACTTTTCCCGTTTTCAACTCCCTCAAACTTGCGAATTACTCTTTCTTCCTTTGTTTCTAGTCTGCCTCTTACTGCTGCATATCGTCTGGTACTGTATCAAGTCTACAAATTTCCGGTCCACTCAAATTTCGGCTTCCCAGGGCTAAAACACATTTCGGCCGCACTAAATGTTCAGCCTGTGCTGCTGCTGCTGCTGACCACTGAACCTTGCAAAAGAAAATCTCGGCCGCAGCAAATATTCGGCCAAATATGACCAGTCCGAAAATGGCCGAAAATAAATATGCACCGACTATTTGTTGACGTACAGTAAGTGTTTGTTTGGTCTGCTTGTTACAGGCAAAGCATTTCGCAATGAGTTGTCATGTGGACCATTCATTTACAGGTAAGAAAATGTCTCCTGTTAAGTGTGAACTCGACGAGATACTGTTGACGCGGACGTTTGTCGTGCATACCCTGCTTTGCTGACTTCAGTTCAGACACATGGTGGTGGATGGATAAACGGTCAATCGCGAACAACGACCCTCGCTCGTGCCTGAGAAAGGTTTCGTTATTCGCGGGTTGTCGGTATTGTCAGGAAGAAGGTGTGCAGTCGAATGGCCAAGATGTGTGAAGATCGTGTCGTTATTCGCGAGTTGTTGCTCTGCCCGAGGTCGTCATTCATGCGGTTGACTGTAAACCTGTCCGGCGGCATCGATTGTGTGTAAAATTGTAAATATAGTGCCGCATCCCTGCCCCCCGTATATCATAATACAGTAGTCCAGGGAATTTTCTAGAACCGCCCCAACCGGTTTTCGACCGGTTGAAATTGTTGGCGACCGGTTGAAAAGTTACAAATCAGTTCCAACCGCCTGTACTTTTTTACGGGGGGGGGAACCCCGGACCCCCGACTCTTCATTGGACCGTAACCGGTTGGAAATTTGTCCTAGAATATACCCTGACTACTGTACTGGAAATGCCCCTCCACCAAAGTGTCCGATTTGGGAAATGCGGAGTATACTTGGACTACCCCTTGGTTCTGATTGTTGCAGTGCAGTGTATGTATGCTGTAGTCTAGTCATCAGCATTCTAGAAGCGAGGACGCATTCAAGTCGTTTGATTTTCATGTCATGAGCCCTGGAATCGATTCGGAATCCGTTCCCCCTATTCACATGGGGTGATGTGAATAGTGCGAATCGATTCGCGGGCATAATCAAACGCACTCAGTGTACTGTCCATGTCAGAACTTAGTGAATTGCCTAACACTTATGGGGAAGTGTCATGGATCGAGCATTTCGTGATCTCTGGCAATGTCATTCTTCCCGACTCTTTGAGGGTGTGTCCCTGAGAGGTTTTGGAAAACCACCACCCCACCTCTGGGAGAGCGAAGTTTGTTGTTTCCTTCCTTATGGCCTGATGTAAACAAGCACGTTTGCTTCTGTTTCGTTCTGTCTTGCAGGCTAAAAGAGTTTGAGCAAATGGAGTGCTATCATTTCCTGGAGACTGAGAACAGTGAGCGTCACGCTCTGGACTTGAGTATCGACCGCCTAAGCTGGTGGAGATCGGTGAGCTCTTGTGTTGCTCGGTAGAGGGCTACCCTCATCAGTCGATAATCCCGGAGGCTTCAAATTGTTTGTCTTATAACCGGTGTTGTGCTTGATAATCGAGGGTAGACCTGTTCTGTCAAATGACATGTTTTGTCCCCTTGTTTGCATAGGGGGACTAGCTCACATGGTAGAGCGCTCGCTTAGCATGCGAGAGGTACCGGGATCGATACCCGGGTTCTCCAGGCAATCATTTTTCTTTTTTTCTTTCAAGGAATATATTCAAGTATATTCCTTTTGTAATTTCGAACCAGGGAGTAGTGAAATACCGGGAAAATTCCACGACACGCAGGAATACCTTCCAAAGTGATACCACTATTGCCAGACTTCCATCGTGAAATCCAGTAGGTTGGTGGACTACAAAACTTTGCAAAGGCAGACAATTGTTGGAAAATCTCAGCGTTAAGAGTTTCTTCAGGCTGTAGCGGGAGTCTCTTCGGCGGTAGGGTAGGTATTTTAGTCGAGGGAATCCTGATCCGCGTGCATAACTTACCTGCATACTTTGGTAACCACCTTACCCCAACCTCACCCGCTGGGTGAAAACGGTTCTGAGGCAATTGTCAAATTGGTCGTGTATGCTTGTGTCATCTCCCGGTATTTTACTGCTCCGTGTTTCGAAGTACTTGTAAATCCGGAACCAAATGCGAGCTGAAGCTCAACTGAACTGACGGTCGTAGGCGATTCACACGACTTGCAAATCCACATTTGCCAGATGTCCGCGGGAAGTGAAACGTGAGTTCGCAGTTCAGAGAGGGCTGCGGTTGGTGGCCAGAGCATCCACAAGTATGCTTTAAGCATTCAGAGTTACCGTGGTGATACCGTAGTGATATGGAACGAGTAGCTTTCTCACCGAACCGCCTCCGGTGTGTGTGTGTGTGTGCAATCGTTTTGTTTTGTTTTTGAAAACTATTTTTTTGTTCGGGTGCCGTGGGCAGATTTTATCAGTTTCGTTTCCAAAATGATTGTTGACTGCAAAATCATGGAGAATGCCTAGGCACTGCTTTGTGCCGAGAATTGAAATCAATATTTTGTTGAAGTTCATTCTACCTGCAGACAGGCTGGATGGGTGTGTGGAGGGTGCTGAAAAAAAGACTGCAACTTTCATTTTTTTTAACGATCTGTAACCCCGGACGGCCTCTAAAATGGTGTCAGTTGCTCAACACTTTCACTTATGCCTCAGCGCCCAGTTCCCGAAGTGGTTGGTTAATGACATCTGGTTATATATGGTGTGCTTCCTGTCTTCACTTCATTTCTAGCTTGCACGGAAACGTTCCAATTTCAAATCGGTGGAATTGGACAAGGACGACCTTGCTCATTATGCGACGAATGCGGTGGATATCGAGGTGAGGCAGTGTGTGTGTGTGTGTGTGTGTGTGTGTGTGTGTGTGTGTGTGCGTGTGCGCGTGCATGCGTGCGTGTGAAATTTTAAAGCGCCCGAAATGTGTTTTATGCTTAGGAGACCAAAGTTTATAAAAAAAAATAAAAAAATTTGTAGACTTACAGTATAACATCCTATAGATTGCACAAGCATTGCCGTCGTGTGTTCAGACGGTGTCGAAAGCTGAATCTTCTTGGGGCTGGCGGAAGGACAGTTGCCAAACATCTGCAATGCTAGCAGTGACCTACTCTGAGTACGTACTACTGGTATTGTACTAGTATAAGCAGAAATATTCGTCTGGCATTTAATTTCGTCTTTTTCGTCCAAGGAGCTTTTGGACGAAATTAAATACCGGACTAATGTCGATTTGTCCAGCTTTCCAATACACTCTTATGATCCATGGACGGAATTTACAACCGGACGAACTCCCTTTCTTTGGAGTTGGACGAAATTTTCTGCCTGTACAGCAGCTGATTTTGCTTATAGTGGTAGTGACCAGCGAGTCAGTGACCAGCGTACTGAGTTCCCTGAACACACCGTGAAAGTACCGTCGATCTACCCCTGCTCTAATCCCCGGCCCCCTGTCGAATTTCCACCTGCGAAGCGATTTCAGTGTACTCGCAGAAGCATGGCGTTGAACCGCCGCTTGCACTTCTGTGTAATGTGTGCCAGTGCAGGTGTGCATTTGGATGAGAACGTGCGTAATCCAGCGCGGCAAGTGTGGTCTTTTGTGTAGTTGTACAGAGTACATATTCGGGAATATTCTAATTTCAGAAATTTTCGGTGCTCAATATTTTCGGTATGAGGGCAACAGGTTAGGTTAGGTGAACAGAAATTTTCGGTACAGAGAAGCAGTTCCCTATTGGATTATGTGTGTTGGCGTTTGTTCGGTGTATTGAAATTTTAGGTATGAAACAGACGCACCGAAAGTACCGAAAATAAAAGTACACCGAAATTTTGTGAAATTACAGTATAGTGGACTTTCGTATAAAATAAAAAAATTAAAAAGTACATGTACTGCACTTGACAGCCTTGATCTGACTCTCCCGTCCCCTGCCGAGAAACCAGCTGGGAAGCACCATAGTGTGTGTGTGGGGGGGGGGGGGGGGTACCGTACTGGCTTCAGTTGTCTCCACAGCAATGCTGACCTGCACAGTCCACCACCACTGAAGCTTCCAGTCCAAGTGCATGTTAGTGCCTGCCTCAGGTGTGCAGGGGGACTAGCTCACATGGTAGAGCGCTCGCTTAGCATGCGAGAGGTACCGGGATCGATACCCGGGTTCTCCAGGCAATCCTTTTTTTTGTAGAGTTTTCTTTTTTTGTCAAAGCGAAATATACCACGAACATGCACAGTTGGTTGCTGTTTCTTTTCTTATCCTATCTATTGTTTCTTCTCTGCTCAGTATGAATTTCCTTGGGGCTCTGAAGAAGTGGAGAGCATCGCGAATCGCACAGACTACGACATCCGAGCGCACGGGGAGGCATACGATAACACGTTCCATGTAAGAATCGAATGGGCACGATGCGTAGCTGCATTGACTTTAGTTACTGTGTTCTGTGATGAATATAGTACCTTTATTCCGGGGTCTTGGAAAAAGTCAAATAACTTTCTCGTGTGATCCACAAATGCTGTATTTCTAGGATATGTCAACTACCCAGAACAGTGAAATGTAGCTTTTCCTACTGATTGGCAATCACTGTGGAAAGAGACTGCCCATCTTCATGGATTTCTTGCGTAATCACTGTGGAAAGAGACTGCCCATCTTCATGGATTTCTTGCGTGTGTGTGTGTGTGTGTGTGTGTGTGTGTGTGTGTGTGTGTGTGTGTGTGTGTGTGTGTGTGTGTGTGTGTGTGTGTGTGTGAGAGAGAGACAGACAGACAGACCGGCAGGCAGACAGACATAGAGGAGAGGAAGAGAGAGAGGACCGCCTGTCACTAGAAATCGCTTTCCCATACACGTCGGGGTGACAGCTAAACCCGGGCATTGGCTGTACGAGTCACGCATGTGTATGTGCGTTGGTATCCTGTGTTCCTGTTGCTATGTTCTACTGCTGCTTATGATTGTGCTGTCTGTAGCATCATGACGGCACAAGATCCTTCGTTCCCCATTGTGTGGAGTCCTCCGCCGGCCTTGATAGAGGTACAGTTTAGACCTTTCACGCATAGATTACATGCAGATGGAGAGTTGACTCGATATGGTCTTTGATGTAATTCATTTATTTACACATCTGCCCTGCACGGGTTTTCCTCGCTCAGTATGCGTTCCGGCCTCTCTGGGCCTCCACTGTGCTGGCTCCAGGGATGGTCTTCGTTGTACTGAAGTATTTATTCTCCTAGGTTGGAAGTTTGTACGGTCAAGACGGTTATACAGTCAATTTTGCGTATAACGACACTCGGTGGGGCATCAGAAAAGTGTCCTTATTCGCGAAGTGTCCTCATGCCCGAAGTCTCATTATATGTATTACAGTTGGATGGGACTTTGCTCTGGGCATGGAAATGCTGTCGTTATTCACGAATTGTCGTTATATCCGCAGTCGTTATTAGCGAAGTTGACTGTAGTTCTGACTGCTGAGCAGCCCAACTCAGCACACTCAAACTTCCCTTATCCGGACCTACCTCATACCCTCTTCTGCTAACCAGGCACTCTGCCGAGTCAGTTGAGTGGTATTTTAATGACTGCTGCATTCACACATGCAATACTGCCGTTATTCTTTGGGAAGTGACTTTGAATAGAATGCATCACAGAATGTCCAGTGTTCTGAGGTACGGAGACGCCCTTCTGCCCCAAGGTGACTGGATAGGCTGGGTTTGAGTGTATTATGCACGCTGTATGGTCATGCTTGTTGTTCTTGGGCACCTTGACCAAGGCCGTAGGCTTGTGGGGATTTCCCTTTCAAGGTACAGTAGGTATCGGGTACAGCGTGGGTGTTTGAAAAACGACTTTCTATTCTTATTTCCAATATTTCTCACACACGATAAATCAAGTTTGACATATCATATGCATGTGTGCAGAGGCAGGAAGATCATCGTACATGCAATGTAGTGCTACAGTGCATGCGGCTTGTCATAGTCCCATAGGCTTACCATTTGGCTATGCAACATGAGTTACATGACCACAACAGTTGAACCTGCAGCACTACGACCCAACGCGAGTCAGATTAGAACTGCATTGGACGGATGTTATTACTACAGGCGATATACTTTGTACTAATCTGGCATGTTTCGCTACACAAAGTCCATTCTTAGGACCGATGTAATATTCTACTGTGCGATAAAATTACTTGTAAGAATAAATGTGCACTTGAAACCCATGTTATGATTATGAAAACATGAGAGTTCATTCTTGTAGGCAGTATATTCTTTTACACGACCACGCTATAACCGATACGCACTGTAATTGTTTTTGCATAGTGTGCTTGTTCTTGGGTACCTTGAAGAAGGCCGTAGGCGTGTGGGGGTTTCCCTTTCAAGGTTTTTAAAAATAGTGGTCTTTGCCTGTTGTGCTTGTTCCCCCCCCCCCCCAGCGGTCATGGCTTATCTGTGTGACGCGTATGACCAGCGAAATGCGGCATCAGATACGACGCGTACGGTCAGACCGGTAAGAGCTCTGGCCTCTAGATTATTTTATATATTTTTTTGTTCACAGTCCAATGGCAAAAGCAAAAGCCGATACAAAGGAGGAGGCTTTAGCCAGGCATGGCAAAGAATGAAATTGTTTGCTGATGAGCTGTTTTGCCTGCTCTTGTGACTTGAAGGCAGTCCACAACGGGCATGCTTCCTATCACCTCTTTCATTCATCCATTCTTTCTGTCGTTCTTTCTCCGTTGCCTGGCCCATGTGGGCAGCAGTGTTTTTTAGCTGCCTGTTTTCACTGCTGGTCTGTCACAAATGCTTTTCACGGGGAATTGCCTGCAGGCATTACATGATCATGTGTGATTTGAAGTGATTTCCCGTCTAAAAGTATGCTATTCGGAGTTAGGGACATTTCAAAGTTCTGAGCAGTGCCCTATCCCGGACCGTCAGGATAAGTGAGGTATGAGTGCACTGTGAAGCATGTATTGTCCCTACAGTAGTCCTTGACGTATGCATGTCTGAACTGATTCAGGTCTTGAGCCTCCACAAGCGGATAGCGCCAGTCAAGGTCGCCGTCTTCCCCATTGTTCACAACAAGCCTGAACTTGTACAGGTGAGACAGCAGGGTCTGTGTGTGCATTTTTGGCAATGAGACGATTTGTTGTGCTGCTTCTGCCTTGACTGTGGATGTTAGGCGTAGTGGTGTGTGATTGTGTACTCTGTGTGTGTGTGTGTGTGTGTGTGTGTGTGTGCCGCCCCCCCCCCCCCCCCCCCCCCCCCCCCCACCAGCAGCAGGACCTAGCCAGACATTTGCGGTCCTGGTTGTGATCCGACTCCCGTTTTCTGGTCCCCTTTTCATAGGGTGACACTTGCCCATCTGTGCAGTCATGCTGCTAGTAGTAGTAGTAGTGTGTGTGTGTGCGTGCGTCCGTGTGTGTATGTGTACATGTGTATGTGTACATGTGTGTGTGTGTGTGTGTGTGTGTGTGTGTGTGTGTGTGTGTGTGTGTGTGCGTCCGTGTGTGTGTGTGCGTGCGTACGTGCGTCCCCGTGTGTGATTGTGTTCTGTGTGTGTATGTATTCTGGTATGCGCCTGTAGATTGCCAGGGTGCTGGCCAAGGAATTCCGCGCAGCCGGTCTCTACACGATGTACAGTGAAGTTAACAGCATTGGCAAACGCTACGTGGAGTGAGTTGACTGTTGCTTCTGTACTGCTTTAGGGGTCGTCCGCAATTATCGAAAGTTTTTTCCAATCCGTAGTAGCTTCAAATTTTTCCTCACCCACCCACCCCCCCCCCCCCAGTCCGTAATAAAATATTATTGATGGACACACAACCCAATACTCGTCCATTCCTTTTTCGCTTCGGCAAAGAATACATCCTTGTTCGTCGTCTTGGACAACTGCCACAAGCAATTTATTGTTCTGTAATATTAAATCAGAGTCACCAGCGGTTTTGAAAAAGGGCTGCTTCTTCACCGCCTTTCCAAACAACGTCGCCTGTCTGGACATAGTCAATAACAGTCGCAGCGCCAGCGCTAGACGGAAGGACTCCAAAGGAGTGCATGGAAGACGGTACTCTGGACGAAGGAGACAGTGAAACTCAAAAATAGAAGGGTCGACTCGCCGTCGAATGCGCCGAACTGTATGATCCCCGGCCCAGGAGCAACCAAGGAAGCGCGCGCGGGGGCGCAGAAACTGCCAGAACTACAAAAATATTTGTAGTAGACAGTTCGCGCGCAGCCGCGCGTGGAAAACAGGGGCTACACGTAGACGTACACGTGGCACGCGCACGTGTCATTTCGGAAGTTTTTCAATCCGTAACTGGCCTTGACCCACCCACCCACTTTCGAAGCTACCACGGATTGGAAAAAACTTCGATAATTGCGGACGACCCCTTACTGCACGACTGCATGTAAACTATAAACCTCCCTTAGAGAACTTAGTGGACTCCTATTGATCAAGGACGGATCGGATTCACCCGTTAATAAAAAAATTTGTGGGCAGCAGTACGTTTGAGTTGGAATCTATTTATAGGACTTAGGGTGCATTTAGCTGAACACGTTAGTCCGATGGATCCGGTTCTAGGTTGTACCAATCAGACACATCCTTAGGGTATGGCACCGAAAATACAAATTAATATTGTGTGTACATGCATGTGCCTGTGCGTGTGTGTATATTTGTCGTCTACGTGTTTGTTCGCAGTCACGATGAGATGGGCACTCCGTACTGCATTACCATCGACTCTGACACCATTGAGAAGGGTACTGTGACAGTGCGCTCACGCAATACTATGGTCCAGGTAAGCATCAATGAATGAATGTCTTGCGCCAATGACACCCATGTTGAGATCCATGTTGAGAAAGTTGTGTTTCCGAACAGAGTGCTGCAGGTGATGAACGATTTCTTGAATATTTATGTTCTGTGTTCGTTGTCCACTTCTATGTTCATGCAGTGTGCTGCCATCTGAGCATGAATGCTAGCTGTGTGACATCTGTTTTGCTCTTGTGACCGTGTGTGTGTGTGTGTGTGTTGGCGTGTGTGTGTGTGTGTGTGTGTGTGTGTGTGTGTGTGTGTGTGTGTGTGTGTGTGTGTATGTGTGCTTGTGTGCAGGAGCCAATGCTAGTAACGGACGTAGTTGGTGCTCTGGTGACGTTTTACAGTCGCGATGATTTGAGCGCCAGCTGAATAGCAGATACATAGCAAGCAGGTGGCAGCTCGTTCGCAGAACAACTACCAGCACAATACCAGTCAGTGTAGGCGGAAGCACTCATTCTTTTGTTTGCAAGTGCCGTCCACATCCTACGAATTTATGCCAGCCGCAATGGGAGCTTGGCATGTAACTCCAGGACGATTTTCACATCGCAGCTGCCAAGCCGAGACTCTCAAATCGCCATGTGATTGTGGCTGGATGAACACAGTGTAACTTATTCTGCCCCAGGCCAAGATTTTCCATTCTTCTTGAAGTCGTGGCTGAGTGGATACAGTGGTGAGAATCTAAGTATTCGGCCCCGGGTGAAGACTATCAAGTAACATTGTAGTGCCTGGGTGAATACGGTGTATTCTTCCCCAGGCTAAAGACTCTGCAGTCGACTTGTTGTGGCCGGGTGAATACGGTGCATTCGACCCCAGGTGCCATTCAGTCGCCTTGTGGCTGTTGCTCACTGAATACTGTGTATTGGGCATCTGATCCCAACGCTTTACTAAGTCCAGCCCGTTGACGACGAAGTCACGTAGAGCCCTGTTAGCGCTCTGCAGAACTCTAGCTTAGCTTCAACTTTACAATCATTGTGATGTTTTGGGAATAGTGTGTTGCTCCCTACGTGGGGAATCACTCGTTTCCTGCCTCTCTTCACATTGTGATATTTGCGTGCGAAATTGCCTGGTGCTGGCTCGTCAGGCATGCACATATTCTTTTTTTTCATTGCTGGTATTTTTTCTTTTCTTTTTTGTTAGTCTGATGTGATGGACTGATTTGCTAGAGCCTTCGACATTCCAGTGTGCCTCGGAGTGGCATGTAGGCACTGGCAATGACCGAAGCTGGTGGGCCTTGCCCAGGAGCTCAACAATGTAGCACTGTGTGCATGCTATCAGCCGTGTGTGTGTGTGTGTGTGTGTGTGTGTGTGTGTGTGTGTGTGTGTGTGTGTGTGTGTGTGTGTGTGTGTGTGTGTGTGTGTGTGTGTGTGTGTGTGTGTGTGTGTGTGTGTGTGTGTGTGTGTGTGTGTGTGTGTGTGTGTGTGTGCAGTGGTATGTGCAGCGATTTCCAATCGATAGGTTGCGGGTTCGATTCCCGACGATTATGGTCACACACGTCTTTCTTCTCTTTCTCAGACTCTTCCTGACTTTTCTTTCATTCTCCTGGGTGGTTACCAACAGCCAGTGCATGCCGGAGTATGTGGTGTGATGTGTGTGCGGGAAAAAAGAAGAAAAAAAAGAAAAAAGGAAAAGACCAAAAATAGGGATTCACTGGCCAGAAAAAGTCACTTCAAATAGCTGTATGGTGTAGACCAGGCTGAATAGTGACGGTCAATTCTTCAGCCTTGCAAGCTATTGAATGGTGCAATCCCAGCACAAGTTGCTATGGCTTCTGCCGTAGCATTGCTATCATCGCCTCCGGCGATGGGCGTCAAAGGTCAAAGGTCAAAGGTGTGTGTGTGTGTGTGTGTGTGTGTGTGTGTGTGTGTGTGTGTGTGTGAGTGTGTGTGTGTATGTGCAAGGGGACACGTGACCGTAATAGCAGTGTTTACCAGGATCAGGTGTGTGTGTGTGTGTGTGTGTGTCCTTACCAGTTGCCTAGCAGCCTGGGGCCCGTCACTGTGGAGTTTGTGACCGCTGGTTTCAAAGCGCTGGCGGTTTTGCATTTCATTGTTGCGTGGAGCGACAGACATCGGACGAAGTACCAGCTGTTCCAACGAGATGCAGCCTGAATTTGGACTGCTGCCAGCACCATTGCTCGACCTGTGATCACTGCATGAAGAGTCATGGTGGTTTTAACCGCCGTAATTGTACTCGAGGCAAACGATAGCGAATGCACCAAAGGACTAATTTGCCCATCCAATGTAGCCTACTAGTAACAGTGGCGTAGCCAGGGGGGGTGCTTTGGGTGCCCAAGCACCCCCCTCAAAAATTTCAGGTACCATTTTCGTACTGCTGTGGATCTACGCCCGCCCGCGATCGAGACTCGACGTCGACAAGATCGACGCCACACGACGCTGCGCTGCACGACGGGGCCCGGCCAACTGTATTACTAGTAGCGCATGCAGGTTGCACTTGAGACTGCATGCATGGCTGCACATGCAGTCATGTTCTCGCCGGTGACAGGCGCAGTAGTGCTAAATTATTAATTTTTAGTACAATGTAGTACTACCGGTACTGTAATTTGAACTAGTACTACCGTGGTAGTATAGTTGTGTGTAGATCTTTGCCTTTGAATGTGAGTTTGGTCGTTTTCGGATGCACTGCGCATTGTACAACTACCGGTATATAGACTCACACTTTGTGTAGCTAGACTTGGTAGAAGTGAAAGAGAAGTGACAACGTCGTTTTGTGATCCGCAAGTCGAATGGATTCTTATGAAAATGTCGATCTTGAAGTATTTCAGTCGAGGGAAGTCGAAGAGACCAGATACCAGTAGCAGCAGTGCCAGTGCCATTTCCGAATCTGACGAATTTAATTGCGAAATTGTTTATCTGACTTTTTATTGAATCATTGGTGGAATGGAAAATAATGAAATAGATGCAAAAATGAAGGATTTGGCACTCAATATCGAAAAATTTCCGGGGGAGGGCCCCCGGACCCCCCCATTTTTCTCGCCCTTCGGGCGCAGGCCCACACTTCCAGTGAGCACCCCCCTCAGCCACAATCCTGGCTACGCCCCTGAGTATGTAGCAAACGATTCTTCTGCCCACAGGACCTCACACGCCACCTGAGGCCGAAACACTGTGTGTAGATCGGTCCCCTTTCACCTCAATCATGTCCAATCATGTCCTTGGAAAAACGCGATTCCGCGACCGCGGCAATTTTCGCAGAAATTGCCATCGTCCTCGGAAATCACGGAATCCACACTTTTGCCCGCGGAATCTGAACGTTTGTGGGTAGATCAGTAAAATTACTACTCGTAAAGCAGCAAAAAACTTGAAAGCTACTTTGCGATATGTTATAGCACGTTGCAGTTGCCAGTGTAGGTGCATGAGTGCAGGTCCCTCCAAGACTCTTCACTCCCATTCAGTTGGTGACGACAAAGGATATAAAGGACAATAGTGTGAAAAGTACTCCTTCAAAGCACGCAACTAGTTGCCACACCGGTATCCTCAAAGAAGGTGACACGCTAGCTGCAGAAAGTGTTCCAGATTTTTTGATTTTACTACAGAAAAAATGCAGATTGACCCCCTTCCCCCCCCCCCCCCCCCCTCCGCGGAATTTAGAATTCGTGTCCGCGTTTCCCCAAAGGGACAGTCGATCACTCCCCTTGTTTTCCTTCCGTTCTTGCTGTAACGAGTGTTGTCTCCCGCTTCTGGGAGTGATGTGGCCATGTTGTGGCAGTTGTGCACAGTAGTATCCGCCATCATACAAAACTATTACTCAAGCTGCAAACAGCATATTAATTAAAAATACTGTAAAAACGTTTTGAAATTATATAAAAATCTAGACTGAGTTATGAGTTATGAATCAAAAATATCAGGTCTGAGGAACTAGTATTAGTTACATCTATGAGAGTAAAATTGGATAGGACTAAGGTCACAGTGTTGCAGAACTGAGAGACTCATTAAAAACTGAACTGAACTGAACTGAAGGTAAATTAACTGGCAATTGAAATGTAACATAATAATACTGAGTATCTAGGTAAGGATCGATTGACGTTTGCCTGGTGTTGACTGTCTAGTCCCGTACATGTACTGCCATGCACACATGCTCAGCTGGGTAGTGAACCTGCCATTCAATAGATGTCTGTTATAGGGTCGTGCTGCCGGTTGATTGGGAAATCTAGCTGTGTCATGCGTACGTGACAATGTTCTTCGTGAATTTCTGCCTCGTCCACTGCTCTTCGATGTTCTGCAAGAAGTCGGGGCGCACGACTTTGCCGCGTAACCGCAGCCAGGGGCCTGCTTCCGATGCACCAGCTCCGGCAGACCTGGACGCTTTGCCTTTACCTGCCACAGTGCCAAGCAGAGCACCCACATACACGCACGCAGACACACACACACACACACACACACACACACACACACACACAAAGGCAAATGGAATGTGCTATCAGTTAGTACAGTGGACTTGTGATCGGAGTAGCCCTCCACAACACGACTCGCACAATAGAAGTTGCAAGAATGACATCATTGTGCACAGGATACCGGCATACAATTATGTCATCGCCCGGGGTGTTCTGCATGCAGTGGGTGACATCACACGTACATATTTGTTACTACTGTGTAGAAAGCATACACGATGACCTCATTCACAGTACCTCTGTATGATTTAGAAAAGTGATCCTGTCAATTTGTATGGAGTGGCAAAGGCAGTCCTTGTGTTGCCACTCCGTACAACTCACCCCAAAATGAGATGATATCGGCAAAACCTCTATACTAACGCTTAGGTTATAACGTAAATTCCATAGCCATAGGCCTGATACGGAGGCTGTATTTGTAGCAAGAGATACCCTCCTGTCAGAGTGCCAATTCCCGCATGCAATGCTCTCCAGACGGAGTGCCCAGTTGATGTCATGTTCACGATGCACTGCACGTTGCAGGCGTTAGTACGTTGTTGTAAAATGATGTGTTGTTTTCCTGCATTCCCCAAACTGTCTCGTCTAGTCGCGTGCATGTGTGATATGAGCATGCGCGATTTTGTAGTCGAAAGTCCTTTTGTCAGTCTTCTTGTCCGTGTCCTTCAGTGTAGTCTGCTTTTCCGTCATGTCAATGATAATAATGTAACAAACGAGTACCTGTCCTTTGTGTCCTGCGTCCCGGGGAACGGAATGGCTGTGATTCCGTTACAACGTCCAAGTCTCCTTCTCCAGTGTAATTTGACTGGAAATACCATCCCTTGGTCCTGGTTGTAGTGGTCCTCTGGGACAGCTACAGGTGGTCGCCTTATCCCAGTGGTCACCTTATCCCAGTGGTCACCCTGACAGGTTTTACTGCATCCGCTCAAAGCAGAGAGAGAATATTCTCTCCGGCACCTAACCTTTCTTTCGCCCATGGCTATCTGCCAGCGGAAGTCTCATGGCCGTCGTTCCCGGCGCATCCTCGTCAATGCGTATGTACACACCCTCGATGGGCCCGTCGTAGAACCGAGACTGCTCCTCCAGAAGGTCCAGCACCTACATTGCGTAGCACAGAGTTCACACCGCAAGACCCTCAGAGATTAAACAGTAAACACACATTAAGCACATATACCCCCCCCCCCCCCATACACACACACGCCCACGCCCACGCGCCGCACACACTCACACACACACGCACACACACACACACACACACACACACACATGCACACACGCACACAATATGCCCATCCGGAGATGATAGCAGGTCCCGAAGTGACCAACAGTGTTCAAGTCACGAGCGGAATCGGGCGTGGCGAGTCAAGTCCTGGCGACAGCGATAGCGCTTTCCACAAGTGCAAACGAAGTCTAAGGTGACGGGCTCGGTCGGAGGAATGGTGCTGCATGCTGATCTCCACTCTCTGCGATCCTGGGCGACGTCGTACCAGTCCACTATCTGGCGGTCCTTCATGTCGGACACGACATTGCCAAAGTGTATCCTCTTCGGCGAACTGGACAAGACCCGGCCACGTCATGGGCCCCGGAAGCGGGACAATGTTGTGTCCGACATGAAGGACACACACACGCACACACACACACACACACACACACACGCACATCTCCCCACACACACACGCACACACACACACACGCACACACACACAAACGCACATACACACACACACACACACACATACACACACACTACTACTACTACTACTATGTACAGCTACCCTATCGGGCCACGCCGCTCCCAGAAGCGGGAGACAACGACAAGAAGAGAGAAGAGAAGAGAGAGAAATCGCAAAGTCAACAATATTTGGCATGGCGTTGCAAGTCCTGTGGCCTTGAGAACCGTCTTTCGCAATGCTCGCATTCATGACAGCAGTTGTTCCTGGCTGCACGTGACATCCGTTTCGCACGGTCACAGTGATGACGGCTCAAACCAGAACGAGAGCGGAAAGAGCGGCGACAAACATCACATCGCAAAGAGTCAGATTCATGGCGAATGGATACAGTGGGGACATCCGTGGACACAGGACAGCGATGCACAGCCAGTCCTCCAGCGCTCCTCAACCACCGCATGCACTTCATACATTGCCTGGCACCCTTCTGTTGTGACACAGGCAACTTCCGCTGGGCAATGCACTTGTGTCGGGCCATGTCACACACACATACACACACACACACAACCCCCCCCCCCCCCCATACACACACAGTCATGCGTCAACAACATCAACACCCCCACAGGTTAGCTACTTACGTGCTGTTTATTGCGCAGCAGTCCGCTATAGACGAGTCGCACCGTCGACAGGCTAGTGGATTCACTCAGGCGCCGATCACGCTCTCGTCGGCTACAGAAGCGCTGTGCCCGGCGGTCGAATAGGTCAAATGCCAGAAAGAGATCGGGCAGGTTGGTGTAGTGTATGGAGTGTTTCGCCGCCAGCCATTCGCCGTACAGGATGTCGTTGCCTGGCGACAGGAGATCGTACAGCTCTCCGCGATGCTCCTCCAGCCAGCCGTCCAGCGCACTGAACTGCTTGTGCGTGCTCGAGTCGACGTAGTGCGAGCGATTCTGCGCCCTCAGCTGGCCGCCGTCGTCGATCGAGATTCCGAGGTTGGCCCCGTCGACTTTCTCCTCCACCTCCACGATGATCTCGCCGGCCGCAGCCCCTCGTCCTCGTTCTGGCGTGTAGAACAGCTCTGCCGTCCCGGAGTCCATCACCAGGTCGTCGCGCGACACACCACTGCCGCCGGCGTCGAACAGGTGCTGGGTGCGAGGGAACTTCAGCAGCTCCGTGTCACAGTCTGGAGAGGCCATGTCCCAAGTTTTATCAAGTTCTAGGTTCTATTTAAGTTAAACTTAAAAGTAGTTACCCAGTCTACGAGTTGGTTGATGAACACTCTCGTGCGACTTCTGGATTCAATAGCAGCTAGCTCGGTACTACTATCCAGTACTCTGCAGTGGCTGGTGGTTGATGCGAGCGCTACTAGTCAAAGTCACTTCGTTCTTCTCTGCCCCGGAGCCTTGGCTGGGCGCAAACAGTACTGAGTTATGCTAGCCTACAGGTTGCAGTGATCTTTCTGTGCTGCAGGGTTCGCAGTTTTCACGACCTTCACGTACCATCCAGTTTTTGCACTTCCATGACGCAACCAGCCGATCACCAAATTCGGAAATCCTTCTAAAAAGGCAAACAGAGATTGTGAGTTGCACTCTTCAACTTCAGAGAAGAAAGTGTCAATATCAATGATTATGTTTTAGGAAGGTCTTTACTCCTTTCTTGCTTCGCCAACTCGTACTCACAGACACAGACAGAAACACGGACTCGTACATTTTTTCCTATTGGTTTTTTGAAATACGCATCACATTCACAGAATCGACGTCATGCTAAGAAAACAGTTGTAATAAGATAACTCAGCCAGTAGATCTACGAGTACGCTAGTACGGGGGTAGATCTATGAGTATGGCGAAAGGCTAAATTAAGGGACAAGCCCAACTTTTTTTGCGGATTTTCTGTCATAAAAAATAAACGTCACAGGCTGCTCTTCGTAGGTGTCCACGTAGTAATATAGGAGTCCGCGTCCCAGCGGTCCGGGCAAGCGACCGCACCTCAGTGGGACACTTGGCCGTGGCTTTTGTACTGCAATCTGTGGGAGCTCCCGCGGAGAGCCTTTCCAGGGGTAGTACACACCTGGCCTGGGTACCGGGTATGGACGAATCCCTGGTGTTGATCCTTTTTTGTTCCTTTCCTTTTTATTTGTTTTTGCTGAGAAAGAAACGTTGCTGTTTCTGTTCCCGCCAGCGCCTTTGCTCTAGTAAAACATTGCTGGCTGATAAATGGTCATTGCTCGTGATGCCAAAGGTGAAGGGAAGCTGGGTTTCTTGCCATTTGCAACTCCCTGTCTCTGAAAATGTAGCTTGTAGCTCCGAGTATTTTTTGTTTTTCGACGTGCCAGACCTATTGGTATGAGCTGCAGAGATGAGGAGCAACGAAGGCGTTGGATTAATGCGTTGGATTGATGCCAATAATGGTGTTTATGGCCGGACAACGCCAGCGGTTTTCACTTGTCAGGAGGACAGTCAAGTTGGAGCAGGCAGATGACAGATTATTAATTTTGGCGCATTTTTTTGCAGAGTGGGTGGCTTGCCGAAGAGAATCATCTCAGTACCTCATGGTTACTAGTATCTGACAAATGCCTCTTATTGCTAGTCTGCATTAGAGCATAGCAGAATTGATCATGTCACAAGTACTAGTAGTGTCAAGACTTGATGTGCTACGATTGTACTCAGATCATGTGGCAACTTCACGGTAATTCGTCCTGCCACTTTACGCTCTCCCGGAATTCCCTGCAGAAGTCACGTGCCTGTGCAGGGGACAACGTTTTTGCATTGCTTACTGATGCAAGCGGATGGAGTGCGGAGCAGATAAGAAGACATAATCTGGCTATTCAAATAGCTTCGGCTGCTAATAATTGGCTGGACTCCTGGAAACGTGGGCAAGAATCTAAACCAGTCCACGGAAACGATGTGACGACACACAGGAAGCTAAATGGCAAACCAATCAAGTTCTTTGGTAATGAAACCTTTCACCAACGTTGTCCGGTTGCATGCCTAGTGTCACTCACACAAGACCAATGGATGCCACATGTACCTAAAAGATACGCTGTTGATCAACCACAACTCCAATACCACTGAGCAGCGTCTTCTATACAGATCCAATTAGATATTGAAGTATATGAGTCGAAGTTGCTGGTATAGTCTCTCCTAATGACCGCGTATTTGGCATAATTTTCTCTATACTGCACTCTAGAGCTACTTACCTTTTCCGACATTGAACTCAGGCAGTGACCACTCGCCCACAGAATGAGCCAATTGACACAGACACCAAGTACCATGTGCATTTGTCGCAAGAGAGACACGCAAGTTTGCAAGTGCAGTGGATGTACACCCACTGATTTTCTCTTATGCCAACGATATCAGACATGACCTGAGTGAAACATATCAAGACTAGCACCGCATTACTGCCCAATTCCGTAATTATAATTATTGCGATGCCTTGTGAAAGGATTCTCAATGCACACCTGGTCTACGCCACACGGAATACATCGGATGATAAAGACCAAGACAGCTGCCTATGTCTCTCTCTCTTTCCCTCTCTCTCTCTCTCTCTCTCTCTCTCCCCCCCCCCGCTCTCTCTATCTTCATCTATATCTATCTATCTATCCAATCTGGGGACAGAACTGTTTCGTCCTTTGTGGACTCATTAGCACAGCACAGAGAAATGAGGCCGAACCTGATTGCAATGAAAAATAAATTCCAAAGCCATATTTAAACCAGGGCCGAATATACTGTGCCAAAAATATCTCTCTATCTATCTCTATCTCTTTATCTCCTTGGCTTGAGGGCACACTGGGTCCCCTGTTTTCGCAATTCTCCACCTATCAACTCCCTTCTGTGTGTGTGTGTGTGTGTGTGTGTGTGTGTGTGCGTGCACGGGTGCAGGGTATATGCGTACGTATCTTTCCTTCTCTTCCTGTCTACCTGGTTTGTGAATCGGCTTTTTAATCGTATTTTTTTCGGCTCACTGTTTTATGAGTTCACCTCATTATTGCACACAGGCAAGCAGTCAGGCAGCATTACAACAAATCAGCTTTGCTTCACTCCTGTACAGTAGTGTCTACTACACTCTGCTTTCGCCGCATTCGACAACTCTCAGCACTCTAGATCTGTGTGCAATATGCTGCTACCTACTTGTATTATACTACTTCAGTATTAGAAATCCAACGAACGAAATCTCTCGTATCTGTGTGTCTCCACATGTTTCTCTGTCTGTCTGTCTCTCTATTCTATTAATCTATCTATCTGTCTGCCCCTCTCTCTCTCTCTGTGTCTATGTGTCTCTGTCTGTGTCTTGGTTTTTCTGTATGCCTGTCTTTGTCATTCTCTAGCTGTCTGCCTATCTCGTTCTGTCCGTGTGCCTGTCCCTATCTGTCTGTCCATCTGTCTGTCTTCCTTTCTGTTTCTCTGTCTCCATCTGTCTGTCTCTGTTTCTCTGTCTGCTTCTCTTCTTCAGTCTTTCTCTGTGTGTCTCTCTTTGTCCCTCACTCGGTCACTTTTCTCTGTCTCTTTCTCAGTTTTCTCTCTCTGTTTCTGTGTGTGTGTGTGCGTGTGCGCGTGTCTCTCTCTCTTCTCTTCTTCTCTCTCTCTCTCTCTCTCTCTCTCTCTCTCTCTCTCTCTCTCTCTCTCTCTCTCTCTCTCTCTCTCTCTCTCTCTCTCTCTCTCTGTCTCTGTGTTTCTCTGAATCTTCGTCTCGGCCTTTCTGTCTGCCTATCTGTGTTTGTCTGTGTAACTCTCCAGCTGTCTCCCTGTCTTGGTCTGTCTCTGCTTGTCTCTCTATGTTTGTCTGTCTTCTTGGCCCTGTACTTATGTCGCTGTTTCTCCGTTTGCTTCTCTTCTTCTGTCTCTCTCTCAGACTCTGTGTCTTCTTCCTTCTCGATCTGCCTCTCCCTTTCTCAGTTTTTTTCTCTCTGTCTCTTCCTAAGGACCCTCTGTCTCTGGCTCTCTGAGTCTTTGTGTCTGTTTCTCCTTTTGTCATTCATTATGTGCGTCCCTCTGTTTCTGTCTCGGTCTTTCTGTGTCTGATTGTCTGTCTCTGTCTGTTTTCTCCTCAGTCTGTGCTTTGTCTCTTTCTCTCTGAGTCTGTCTGTCTGTCGCTCTTTATGCGCAGCATCCCTCCGTTTCTGTCTTTCTGTGTCTGTCTGTCTGTCTCTATCTCTCTACCAGCCGCTGTTCTACACATAATGAAATTGTGTGGCACCGCGCACGTGGCTACCGCATTGTTATTTCTCCAGTCCACGACAGAATGACTGATGGCGTTTCAGGTCGCCGCTTTGACGGAACATGCGGCCGCAGGCGCAACCGTAGTCAGCAGCAGAGGGTGCCTTGTGTGGTCGACGGGCAATGGCACGCCACTCCGGATGGTTCTGGGCTGCATCGTACCATCCACATGTTGGTACCGGTGGCTCAACCGACGCAAAGTCATGCATAACAACGTCCCTCCACCTCTTGCGTGGATCACGCGCGGGGCGCGGGGCAGGCAGTTCCCAGAAGAGAACACACTTCGGCAACCGGTGATCTTCCCTCCGTGCCACGTGTCCAAGCCAGCGCAAACGTCATTCCCGTATGATGTGACCAATGTCCTCAGGCACTCCAAGGGTCTTTGCAAGGGCTGAGGACGTTGCGTGGGTCTCCCATTGCTGCCGTCGCGACACTCCAACGATAGATCTGAGACATTGATGGTGGAAAAGGTTGAGGTGTCGTAGGTCCGGAGCCTTCGTTGTCCAGGTCTCCGCGCCGTACAGGAGGGTAGAGAGCACCACGGCAACATACACGCGACGACGACACTGCAAACTCAGTGACTGGTTCTCGGATACGGCTTGCTTCAATTGCAAGGAACTAAATACGGCAAGCAAATCGAGGGACATTAGGTGCAAACCTCGTTGTTCTAGTTGTCTAGACTGCACGGGGTCTTGAAAATACTGAGCCTCCACGTTGTATCTGTGTGGCATGTGGCATCCGTTGATCTCGTTTGAGTAGTAGTTGGCATGCACTGCATTATGTTTTGATGAAAGGTTCGATAGCTGATGAATGGGTTTATCATTTGGCTTCCTGTGTGGGTATTGCTTCTGTGGATTGGTTTGGAGCAATGTTCAGATAGTCCAGGCATCAGGCAAATTTATAATGGCGGTCCAAGCTAGTTGAATATCCGGATCACTTTTTCTCATCTGGTCTACACTCCATCCGCTTGCATCCGTAAGCAATGCAAACGCATTGTCCCTTGCACAGGCACGTGACTCCTGCAGGCAATTTTGGGAGAGCGTAAAGTGGCAGGACGGATATTCCCGTGAAGTTACAACATGATCTGAGTATAATCGTAGGACATCAAGTCTTGACACTACTTGTGACATGATCAATTCTGCTATGCTCTAATGCAGACTAGCAATAAGAGGCATTTGTCAGATACTAGTAACCATGAGGTACTGAGACGATTCTCTTTAGCAAACCACCCACTCCGCTATAAATGCTCAAATAATCTGTCATCTGCCTGCTCCAACTTGACTGTCCTCTTGACAAGTGAAAATCGCTGGCGTTGTCTGGGCCATAAACACCATTATTGGCATTAATCCAACGCCTCCCTTGCTCCTCATCTCTGCATCTCGTAACGATAGGTCTGGCACATCGAAATCTAAAACTAAAATACTTGGAGCTCTTATTTGTTCAAGCTATATTTTCAGAGCCAGGAAGTTGCAAAATTAATGGCAAGAAACCCAGCTTCTCTTAACCATTGGTATCACGAGCTATGATCATTATCAGTGAGCAACGTTACTAGAGGAAAGTCGCTGGAGTGAACAGAAAGCTTTCCAAGCAGCAACGTTTCTTTCTCAGCAAGAACAAATAAAAATGAAAGGAGCAACACCAAGGATTTGTCTATCCCGGTATAGGTACCCGGGTGTGTGTAGCCTCTGGCATGGCAAGGTTCTGCCACAGATTTCCAGTACAACGGCCACGGACAGGTGTCCCACTGAGATGCGGTCGCTCGCCAGGACCGCTCCGACGCGGACACCTGCGAAGAGCAGCCTGTGACGTTTATTTTTTTATGACAGAAAACTGCAAAAAAAGTTGGGCTTGTCCCTTTACGGCTTTAGTCCTACCCACTATGTCTATGGGCAGTCGAGTCGGACACTCCGTAGATCTACCCCACGCGTGGCCGTGCAAAGCACTGCAAACTCTTCGAGCAGCTGGTCGCCACGTGATGCAAACCATGTGTGGGATGCGATGCACCGTACCGTACCTGGTGCACGCTGTTGTTCGAACTGTCTTGCTGAAAATAAAAATAATTGGCAGGATCTAGGATCTGACTGATTGATTGGTCCGAGATCGAGCTCCCATACGCGTCCAAGTGTGAAGTGCTTTATGGTTTGGGTACCTGTAGCTCAGCTTTCGCGAACTGTTTTGGTCTTACCGGTAGTTGTGTTGGAGGCATTCCTTTGTGAACAGTTTGTTTCATTGCAAACGAACCTCAGAGCATAACTCCTATACCTGTCTCTTGTTGGTAGTTATGATGGCAGTACTGCAGCTAGTCGCAGCAATTGCACTGCTTGGTGTATGCGGTGCAACAAGGCGTTCGGAGGGTGTTGGCACGACGTATCCAAACATTGACTATCGGCCTCGTTATCACCTGACATGCGAGCGAGGAAGATTGGATTATCCCAGCCTAGCATACTCAGAAAGTAAGATAGGATGGGCTGAGGGGGGGGGGGGGGGGGGGGGGTATGCATTGTCGCACATATCCATGTCCAAAAAGAGAAGAAAACACATGCGAACGAGTTATGCAGCAACTATCCACGACTGTAACAAGATGATAAAGAGTCAGAACGTGCGACAATAGGGCACAAAACTGACAGGCTACTGAGATATTCAGCAACTGGAGACCTAGCTCTAACACGTCCCCAGTGCGCGAACCCCAACAGCCTTCCAACTTGGAAGGTTCATGGTTACGTAGGACCGAAGAGGGAAAGGTGAGCGCAGCGAAAATGTGCACAAGCTAGGACCCACGGTAACAAAGAATGCCGACGGTTACAGGATGATAGCTCCAGGAAATGATAAAACAATTCGTCTGTCACGCTCCTGAACTATCTCTAAATTCCATAAGTGACATCAGACCTTACCTTGCTAAAATTCAACTCAAGTCGTGTTAGCCATTCTGCGAGTTATCATGGGAAGCGCAGTGTTCGAAATGCTAAAAATGTCCAAGTACGAATCGGGAGTAGTCGGCGCATGATGCCGTCTTCTGTTCACGCTCAAAATGCACCTGTTTTGTACGCTTGCGTCCCCGTCTACGCTCGTCTACGGTATGAAAAGTTGGATCGATCCAACTCTTCCCGTCGCTTCTCGATCCGTACGGCAGTACGGTTGCGTTCCCGTTTCGTGGTGTTCACATTGGACGCCGTCAGACTGTCCCGTCTTTGAAAACGTTCAGTCCAAGTGTGTGTTGGCATTCTCCAGAAGTGTGCAGGGGGACTAGCTCACATGGTAGAGCGCTCGCTTAGCATGCGAGAGGTACCGGGATCGATACCCGGGTTCTCCAGGCGATCATTTTTTTTCTCGATTTCTTTCACAGGAAGAGTGCACCATCATTGTTGGCAAGGGCACTGACACGTTCTTTGGCATGCAGGCTGTGCAGGCAATTTTTTTCTGAGTGCCGCCCTATACATACAAGTTGTCTTGGGTGGTGTTGTATTTCTGTGCTTGCTTGCTTGCTTATGTGCAGTCAATGGCAGATTGGTTTATCACGTCTTTTACCACTGCTCCTCATTGCCCACTGATGATAACAGTGTCGATGCTATTGGTAAGTCTCCCCGCTCCCAGGCACCTATCCTGTGTCCTACTTGATTATTTCATGCACTCTGCTAGCATACTATCATTAAAGGGCGACGTACTCATGCGTACCCCAGTCGCCTTGTCACCGTGCCTGCAGGCTACAACTTTCACACCAAGTTTCCACTCAAAGGTTCAATGGTTTAACTCGAGTGACAGGAACACGCTCAAACAGCTGTAAGCTGTACCCTGCAGGCATGGTGACCATGTGACCGGTGTACGCATGAGCACGCGACCGCTTATTATATGACTGTGTTCGATTGGGAATAACGGCCGAACGCTGCATCGCAGCTTTCTCGGACCAAAACCAGTCGACTCAGCGTCCAAAAGACTACAACATATGGGCCAATCGCGGTCATCCGAGCTTTTATAAGAACAAAATGGTGCTTTTAGTGACATTTTGCATACAGCATTACGGGGAGCGCAAGTGACATAATTAGATAGCAAGTTGCGGGATTCAGCTACGACTTCGTACGTCGGCCTTGCTGGCGGTCGCGTAACATAGTTGCCACCATGATTATTGCCGCTCCTGTACCCGCAGGCCCTTCCCGCGCCTTCCCCGTAGGGTGCATAACGGCAATGCCGTGTTCTTGCCAACGGGCCTAGGGTCTACAGTACTCGAAGTACTGTCGACCCTTTGCATCTTTTGACACGAGAAGAGGCGCCACTCTTGCTCAACTAACAAGGGTGTCAGCTCCCTTGCAGGACTAAGCGTGGTCCCCTCAAGCTCAACAGCGTAGTGAGTACAACACTGACGATCTGTACTGAAGGTGTTGCCAACGTACGACAACACTTGGTGGCCCTCGGCCACCAGTTGTAAGCCATGATTGCTCAACTAACGAAAGTGCCAAATCCTTCGCAGGACTAATCATGGTTCTTGCAGAACTCTATGATATTTCGGAGTCCAGCTTTTGGCTGCTGAACTCAATGCGTGGTCGCTTTCACGACGAGTCCGATCCGGGTCATGACGTACGTAATGAGCAAGGTCTGCCGGTATTTCTGTCGATGTTAAATTTTACGGGCTGAAATGTTGCGACTTACAATGTAGACGGTAATTTTGATCATGTACGTGTTGATGAATGCATCACACGAGTGCAGTGTGAAATGGGATAGTTTTCCTGGCTAATTGTTTGTCGGCTATCTGGTGATACCTTTGCGAGGAACTCAGATTGAGATGCTACGAGGAGCTGGGTCTGGGTGGACCATTGCATCCCCTGTGTTCACCTACTAGTACTGGCTTGGTATTAGATAAGCCTTGCTTGGTTGAAAACATGTTGTTTGGTTGACAGCATGTCACAAGCCAACCGTGGAGGTTGTGATAAGGAGCACTGTTTTCAAACACGGTGCGTCCTCCACCTTGTAACATGCTGTCAGCCAAACAACTAGCACTAGTTTATACGCTGTGTTCTGTTGTTGGTGCTCTGCACGTTAACAGATAGCTGGTATCACACGACCAGCACAAATTTGATGAGCTGGGAGGCTACCCTTTTGCGCGGCATTCCGGCGGGAACGACGTCCATTTCCGTCGCTCAGCCGTCGTTCAACTCCACCAAGTATGCTAACTACTGGTAGTGCGTATGTGTTTGTGTAGAGTATGGTTTGTCTCTGCACTGGCAGCTTGTTTTGAATAGTATACATGCCTACTTTAAAGCCAAACCTCTTGGCGTCTTTTCCCTGCAAGTACAAGTCACTTTGTGAAGAAAAACAGTCTGGCGCTGTGAGCCAATACGTGTCAGCACAGTTGTCCTGTGCGGTAGAAGGAGGGGTACAGCTCCCTTGATAAGGCGCTGGTGGGTGCGCTGCCATATGAAAACTACTTTGAACTACGTGTCATATGCTTTGAAGTTGTGAGATTTCTATTACATTTTTGAATTTTGATGTACAGTAACACTGCTAGAAGAACATTGTGTTTGCCTTGCTCAGCTTTCAACCGTGTTTGGTCGTTTTTCATCGTGCAATATAGTGGCTAGATATGTGTGCAATTTGTTTGTTGTCTCTTCAGAGCTGTAGCGGCACTGCTACGAGGTGATGGTGTCTACCTTGTGCACTCGGTGGACGAGAAAATGGTCCAGTGGGTCGAGTTGTCTCTGAAGCCGATCATCACACCGCCCGAGGGCGCCAGCAACTTCACCGACGTTCGCATTTGGTCGGTGAGTGGAGCTGACCCGATGTTGAGCTGCACGCAGGCTCTGTGAGCCGTGCCGCTGGAAAGCGTATGGCTGCATGCGTGCACCACTGACTTTGGGCAAGCATCTCTGCGTATGCTCTGCCGTCAACTTAGTGCTGGATTACCACTTGCACATGTACTCTGTATGTACACACGATAATATTATTATGAGTGTCAGTGACCTTTTCACGTGTGTTGTACTAGTTAAGCTGAAACTATGTAATTAAAAATAAATTAAAAATAAATAAATAAATAAAATAAATGAAATATCTTGGTGCACAGTTCCTGCTACAAACCAGCATGCTTTGCTTTATGTGTGGCACTGTGTGTATAGAACGGCACAACGCAGTACTACTTACTGGCTGGCTCCACTCTGAACAGCTCCTACACGAAAGGTAAGCAGTGCGTCATCCGCCGTGTCCAGACGAACTTATCATAACTTAGCATAGAGAATATCCAGGTTCTCAAATCTACAAGTACTGATTCTATGTCAGCTGTGGAACAAAAACCTGTTGTAAATTTCAATACTCAGTCAACTGTCAAGATCATTTTTGACCCGTCCAGTTCTTACAGAACTGTAGACTATTTCGGAGTCCAGCTTCTGACTTGCTGGAGCTCAATGCATGGTCGTTTTCACGACGAGTCTGACCCAGGTCATGACATATCCAGTACTGTACAGGCAGACATTTTTGTCGGTCAATAATTTCGTCCAACTCCAAAGAAACGGTCCGGTTGCAAATTTCGTCCATGGATCATAAGAGTGTATTGAAAAGCTGGACAAATCGACATTAGTCCTACATTTAATTTAGTCCAAAAGCTCCTTGGACGAAAAAGACGAAATTAAATTCCAGACGAATATTTCTGCTTATACAGTACTTTGTACGGTATGCTGTGCGTGCGTGTGTTTGTTTGTTGCAGGTATTCACGCGGACAATGGCTCCGTTCCCGTCACCTATCTGTACGAGAGTAGCGACCTGAAGACCTGGACATCGCACGGCGTCTTCTGGCAGGGCGATTCTTACTTTGGCGCCACGGCAAAGTGAGTGTATGCGTAATGCGCTGACGCTATGGTCTGTGTGTGTGTGTGTGTGTGTGTGTGTGTGTGTGTGTGTGTGTGTGTGTGTGCGTGTGTGTGTGTGCGTGTGTGTGTGGAATAGGAAATAGCTGTACAGTACTGTCGGGCGCCGAAGAACAGACCGCCGAAGAACAGACCGCCGAAGAACAGACCGCCGAAGAACAGACCGCCGAAGAACAGACCGCCGAAGAACAGACCGCCGAGGAACAGACCGCCGAGGAACAGACCGCCGAAGAACAGACCGCCGAAGAACAGACCGCCGAGGAACAGACCGCCGAGGAACAGACCGCCGAAGAACAGACCGCCGAAGAACAGACCGCCGAAGAACAGACCGCCGAAGAACAGACCGCCGAGGAACAGACCGCCGAGGAACAGACCGCCGAGGAACAGACCGCCGAGGAACAGACCGCCGAAGAACAGACCGCCGAGGAACAGACCGCCGAGGAACAGACCGCCGAGGAACAGACCGCCGAAGAACGGCCAGGCTAGAAGTTCACCAATTTTTAAGAACGGTCTAGGCCGGATGTTTGCAGATAAGAACGGAAACCATACTGTACACTCATAACTCCTTAAAATGTACATGTAAGACTGCACGTCGAATAAGAACAAAACTGCTGTGTTCGCTAACAATAAGAACGGGCTAGGCTAGAACCTTGACCCCCCAGTTCTTCGGCGCCCGACAGTAGTACTGTACCCAACATTGGTATGTGACCATCATGATAACATACACTGTGTATGGATGCTTTGGTTCATTTTTAAATCAAGTCCTCCCTGACAAACTCGTCTAAGGATTCGCAAACTCCGTTGCAGCCATTCACACATTACTCTCATCTACTCAGCCAAGCGCTCATATCTAGTCTCTCTGATGCAAACGCCACTTCTGATTCACCTTTCACCTGATATCTCTCCCTTTCTGTCTCCGCTGTAGGAGCGTCGATTTTTACGAGGTGATCAATGCTCAGCTCAGCTTCAAGCAGCAGGTTCTTACGGTGACGTTTCCACAAGAGGCTGGCTCATTCTGCATCAGTGGCCTGGTAGGTGGTAGTGATGTGCGTGCAGGCCGCACGGCAGCCTATTCCTTTCCAGCTAAAGCGTGATCGGGCAGACAACTGGTTTCGGCAGCCATTAAGTCTCGACAACCACTGCTCTTTAGCGCCGAATTTATTAAATGTGCCAGCATTGCCCTGCATTGAGAGACCAGCTGAGTTTGAAGACCGCTGCTGCATCTGTTCTCGAAGTTGATCTGTCGCCTTTCTCAAATATCTGTGGCACATGTGCTACTGATATGGTCGGGTCTACTCCCCCCCCCCCCCCCGATCCTTGACGATAGTTCATTGCTGCAGTTACGGAAAGTCAATCAAACTGACACTAATGTAAAAAACCCATTTTTTAAAATTATTTATGCACGTTCCTTCAATACATGTAACTCCCTTCTGAATCCCCAAGGGTGAAGGGTGAAGGGTGAATTTGGAGATCACAGGATTGCAATTGCAGTGAAAGACTGTGGTAGTGGAGGTGTTTTAAAGAGATATTTATGCACCTGTTCTTTGTTTGTGTTGCAGTTTAACTTCACCAATCCCAATGCGTTCAAGGTGTACTCCCTTCGACATGCTGACTATGGCAGACTGGACCATACCAGCAGTATCCTGGATACGCTAGGTCGCCGTCTGGTCATCGGGGCTGTTGACGAGATGAAGAGCATCGGCTGGCAAGTGCACGACACGTATGCCGGTAAGCCTTGTGTGTGTGTACAGTGTGTGTGTGTGTGTGTGTGTGTGTGTGTGTGTGTGTGTGTGTGTGTGTGTGTGTGTGTGTGTGTGTGTGTGTGTGTGTGTGTGTGTGTGTGTGTGTGTGTTGGTGTGCCTTCGTCTGCTCGATTCCGCAGCCATTGTCTTGTGCATTTCTGTAATATTCGGTGCCATTTTTCCTAATCAAACACAGTGCAGATCATTGAAATCCTAACGGGTGAGTCAAGTGCACGCCGGGCGCCATGCGACCCCAAACCTGCAAACACTACACTGTGCACTAGTGCAGAACACAGACTGAACTCACACGATCATCGGATCTCAGTGAGCAGCATTGTATGCACATGTGCACACACTTGAGAGGAATCAAAAGCATTTCTGCTGTAACTCCAAGTTTCGTGGTTTTAACCGATCATCAGACAGCAACTTGACTTCAATTTTCAGAAGATATGATTGATATAGGCTGCAAGCTTGTACATGTATGTTGTTTTGTAAAAGAGAGAGGTTCCAGGCTGTCCAGTAAATGTTTTGTTTTCTGATGATCGCTTTAGGGGCCGTCTGGGTTACCGATTTTTTACAAACGAGAAGTTTTAGTATTTTTCAGCCCCCACCCACCCATATCGATGCATATTTTGTATGTGTGGGCTCGTCCAGAAAAAAACGAAAAGAATATCGATACTACGTACCGTTTGTATGTGTTCGTTTCTCAGCGGGGAGGGGGGTTCTAAATAAATATCGGTGTTTGCGGATGGCCCGTTTTAGGCCATTCACACGACGTGCAAACATTTGCACGCGTGTGACCAAGATAACACTGGCAAACCGTGATCCAGTTCATACGGTGCTGGGCAAACTTTGCAACCGTCAATGTATCCATAGTGACCTCCTGAAAATGCCGGGAAATGTTTCAATTTTGAATTTTCCCTTGTTTCAAGCACTGCATTTGCAGTACGCACTTTCAACATCCGACACTTAAATCTTTTCCTGGCGTGCAAAGATAATCGCGAGCAAAAGGGCCTCGGCCAAGATAAAAAATCAGTTGCACGCGTGTGTCCAAGTTTATCGTATCCGAGTAAATATCCTAGGAAACGGTACGATAAAAGTAAGTTTGCCCGTCGTGTGAATGGCCTATTAGTGCGTGAAACTCGGAGTAAAACACTTTTTAATCCTCTTATTCTTGTTGTATGTTGTTTTGTTCGTGCTGTTAGGTATTGTCAGTTTGCCACGCATGGTTCTCTCTCTGCCAGATGAAGAGGTTGGCTTTCAGGCACCAGAGGTAAGCAGTGCTGCCATACGCTTGAGCGTTTGGTCGCAACAGCGTACACCACGCGTGTGCATCTGACCACATCTTCTTTGTTTTTTTTTAAAGCTACTGACTACCGGTAGCTGCAATGCTGTTATTGGACTCAATCTATTCCGGAAACAGGAGTCTGGGATAGGAATATGAAAGAAGAGTGAGCCCATTGGAGGACTCTGCTGTGTTGCAACCCATTGCTGACACTGTATGGCTGGCGGTGTCCCAGTTCACAACATTGCATTCACCTTTTCCTTATTCCCACTATGCTTGTCTCTGCTGATCGTTTTCTTGTTAGGATGTCTCCTTCCTCTACGGCAAGTCTCTTGGTCGCCTTGATGGCTTGGCACTGAACTCGGGAGAGACAGAAATTCTGCCATTGCTCTACGGAAATCAGGTAAGGCCAAAAGGAGGTTATGCTAGTCCATCAACAGCTGAGCTACTTTGGCGAAGTCGCGGCACAGCGCTGCACTGCACTTGCACTATCGACTCACGCTGTAACGGTTATACTTACAGTCCATTCAGAAAAAGATGGACTTCTAGCTTTTGGCCATAAATGGGTCAAACGTTGAGTTTTTTTAGAATTTTTTTCTGCAATCCCCTATGGAATCCTCTTCCAATTATGTTTCTGAAGTCTATTTCTCCAAAAAGCAAGCCATAGCAAGAATAGGATTTCGGCCAGGTTTTGCCCCAAGAGCACTGAATTGGGAAAACCCATCAAAATCCAGGCCGTTTGACCGTGCCTGCAACAGTGCATTGTACGGTTCGAACCCCAGTTCAGGTACCCTTTTTGGACCCTTTTTCAAATGTCAAATTTCACAGCACTGCACTGTGTACGATAAAATCTTGAAAAATCGCCTAATACGGGAGCTCGCCAGAGCCAGGGCCCGGCGCCCATCTTTTTGTGAATGGACTGTAGGGGCCATCCATAATTATCAATCTTTTACACAAAACGAGAAAGTTTCGTTTATGGGTGGGTGGGTTGGGGAGAGTTTCGTCATGAAAAATATTGACAACTGAAACATCAATCCATTCTACAGTAGCTGTCAGGTCGATATATTTTTCGTTCAGGGGGGGGGGGGTCATAACCTTTTTCGTTTCGTGAAAATTATTGATAATGCTGGATGGTCCATTAGTGCCCATTAGAAGTACCTCTGACTCACCCCATGAAATCACTCGCATAACCTCTGTTTGTTGCGCAAGGACACACTAGTAGTTTGTACCACCAGTATCCCACACACACACACACACACACACACACACACACACACACACACACGCACGCACGCACGCACGCACGCACACACACACACACCTCAGACCTCAGACATGCCCATCGCGGAAGCGATGATAGCGAACAGCTATGTTAGACATAGCAACTTGTGCTGGGATTACACCATTCAACAGCTTGCAAGGCTGATGAATTGACCGCCACTATTTTTAGCCTGGTATTCACCACACAGCTGTTTGAAGTGACTTTTTCTGGCCAGTGAATCCCTATTTTTCATTTTTCTAATTTTTTTCTACACACACCACATACTCCGGCGTACACTGGCTGTTGGTAACCACCCAGGAGAATGAAAGAAAAGTCAGGAAGAGTCCGAGAAAGAGAAGAAAGACGTGTGCGACCATAATCGTCGGGAATTGAACCCGCAACCTCTCGATTGGAAATCGACTGCACATACCACTGCACCATATGGGACACACACACACACACACACACACACACACACACACACACACACACACACACACACACACAGCCGCCTGGGTGTGTGGCTGTGTGCAGTGCTGAACAGTGTACATGTACTGTACAGGCAGAACATTTCGTCGGTCAATAATTTCGTCCAACTACAAAGAAAGGGAGTTCGTCCGGTTGAAAATTCCGCCCATGGACCACAAGAGTGTATTGAAAAGCTGGACAAATCGACATTAATCTGGCATTTAATTCCCGTAGCTATGCAGAAGACGTTACTTCAGTAACGTCTGGCGCTAGCCAGGGTCCACACAGCTTTAATTTGGTGTTTGTTTGTTTGTTTGTTTGTTTGTTTGTTTGTTTGTGTCACGTCTGGCGCTATCCCGTATCTGTACCGTACTGTACCGTACCAGCAAAGACAGCTGGCTAATATATGTTTGTTTGTTTGTGCCATCGACATGCCTGGCGCTATCCCCTACCTGTCCCGTACCATCAAGAGTACGGTACCATCAAGAGAATGAGTATATATGTGAAGTGTATCGGGGGAATGCATTCAGTGCAGTAACATTTTGTGTGGATTTGTGTGCGAGGCCGAGAACCCACTAGCAGGCTGGCTGGTCCGCCTGTCGACCAGCCCGGGGATCGCATGTAGGCTGATAGCATAATAATTATAACGTATCAGATTGAGTAATTATAACGTATATACAGTCATGTAGATCTATAGCAGGGAGTCATATTATGTAAACGACTCCCAGCTGTATGGGGAGATTTTCTGGAAAAAAATACGAAGTAGGGAGACGAGTGAATGCAATCAGAAAATCTCCCCATACAGCAGGGAGTCATATTATGTAAACGACTCCCTGCTGTATGGGGAGATTTTCTGAAAAAAATACGAAGTAGGGAGACGAGTAAATGCAATCAGAATGGATGTTAGTTGCCGTCAGTATAATAATAATAAGAAGAAGAACGCCCGTGATCGGCAGAGTCAGCGCCGGTCCCAAGAAACGTCAGGACAGACATCCCGTCGACTCCAGAACGCCCGTGATCGGCAGAGTCAGCGCCGGTCCCATAGCTATGCAGAAGGCGTTACTTGTACTTCAGTATCTCATTGAAACGTTTTTGCAATACAATGATGTAGCTAATCAAAGGAAAAAGCATTTCCATCAGTTCTAACAACATGCACGATGAGCTAGGCAACAAAGCATAGCGCAGGGCCCTGAGCTTCCAAGCTCTCTCGTTTCGTCCAAAAGCTCCTTGGACAAAAAAGACGAAATTAAATTCCAGACGAATATTTCTGCTTGTCCAGTATTCCTGATCCCAGTGTACTCACATGGCGCATTACTCATGCCTTCCATACTTGGCCCTGTGAAGTACCGGACGTAAACCATTTGCGTTCTACTATGTGAGCTAAGGCTTCGGACGAAATTACCGTGAAAGTCTGTAGTCCTTCTAAGGGTGCGTTTGGTTGGTACGATCTAGAACAGGATCGAACAGCTGGTGCACATGGAACAGCCTCATGCCAACCAAACGGTATTCCAGAAACAGAGCACATTTTTGTGAAAAATATGCCAAACTTGGTGCATTCTTCATAATGTGTATGAGTCACCATGGTCACTGTGTATGGTACGACGAGTCCAACCCAAAAGCGTATGCACGTGATCATTTGGGACCAAAATCGATGTTCCAGCCAGGTTTCACTGTGAAAAAGTGAAACTGCTCGGTCTGCTCCGGCCTCGAGGCCGGAGCAAGCAGAACATGTTCTGGCCGACCCAGAACAGGTGCAGTGCCAACCAAACGCGCTGTTCTGATGAATCCTGTTCTAGGTGGTACCAACCAAACGCGCCCTAAGGATCGCTTAGTGCGTGAAATTCGGAGCAAAAACACTTTTTTCATCCTCTTATTCTTGTTGAAAGTCCGTATATAACTACTTTAGAAAAGTTGAAAGTCCGTATATAACTACTTTAGAAAAGTACATCTACATGTACAGCCTTTGTCCTTACCTCCTTTGTGTGTGTGTGTGTGTGTGTGTGTGTGTGTGTGTGTGTGTGTGTGTGTGTGTGTGTGTGTGTGTGTGTGTGCGTGTGTATGTGTGTGTGTCGTTTTGTAGATGGTCATCCGTGCCACTATTGCTGTGACCGTTATGCCCAGTGCTAAGTTTTCGACTGGTTTCAATGTGCTGATGTCGGACGACAAATCTGAGTTTACAACCATCGCTATTAAGAGCAATCCAAACCCCAAGCCAGGTACACGGCAAATACTGGTTTCTTTTTGTTCCGAACATATACTTGTACTTGCTCACTGCCGAAACTGGTCCCGTGGGTCTCACCGGGAGAGGGCATGCACATACGCACGCACGAACGCACGCACGCGCATGCATGCACATACACACATACACACACACGCACGCGCGCACACACACACACACACACACATACACACACACGCGCGCGCGCACGCGCACGCACACACACAATAAAGCAGTGAGGACCCTGGCAACGCCAGACGCTACTACACAACGTCTCTTTGCATGGCTTTGGGAATAATATTGTCTGGGCTTGTACTGTAGAGGGTAGTTGTGATAAAGTCATTGACAGCATTCTGTTTCACCTAGTCCACAAAGTTTACATCCGGAACTAACTGTTGTGTAATTTTATCTGTGGTTCATCGGGATCGATTTTTAATGGAATATCCTTGTCGTGTGGGTTGTCCCTGACCAAATTTAACTGCAATGTCGAGTGACCTGTCTCCATAGTTACTCATACCCTAGTACAACTCTGCTTTCGACTATCGACACTCTGAGTCTCTGCTTGTGCGATTGGCCGTGTGTTTATGTGTACGTGGGATATGTGCATGTGTATGTGCGTGTGTGCGTGCGTGTGTGTGTGTGTGTGTGTGTGTGTGTGTGTGTGTGTGTGTGTGTGTGTGTGTGTGTGTGTGTGTGTGTGTGTACGCATGTGCTGAATGACTTCTGCTATACCCATTTTGTCATGACAGTTCAGTGTATTGATATTCCAGTGTCTCATGGGTCGGACCGAACTGGCTTTGATTACTATATGTAAGGTTACCTGCAACTCTCTCTCTCTCTCTCTCTCTCTCTCTCTCTCTCTCTCTCTCTCTCTCTCTCTCTCTCTCTCTCTCTCTCTCTCTCTCTCTCTCTCTCTCTCTCACTCACTCACTCACTCACTCACTCACTCACTCACTCACTCACTCACTCACTCACTCTGTCTGTCTGTTGGTCTACTAGCATATATCCACACGTATCTCTTTCTCACTTCGATAGGTTTCAGGTCGTTGAATATCTCAGTAGCTTGTCAGTTTTGTGCCCTGTTATTGCACTTTCTGACTGCTTATTTACCTTGTTCAGTCGTGGATAGTTGCTTCATAACTCGTTCCCTTGTATCTCTTTCTCCCTGTATTTCTTACTTAGCTATGAGGTAGCTCAGCTGGATGAGTGCAAGGCTGCATGCTGCGCTGATAGCCGGTGCAAGTCCTTCGTGTTCGTCTACAAGATGAATGTGAGACGAGCCATGTGACTAGCCTTCACTAATCGATAACTATTTTAGATGTGCCGAGTTACCAGTCTGAAGTTCTCTTCTGCCTGAGTTAGAATCCATTTTTGGCCGTATGCCCACATCTGCTTTGCAACGGCCCGGGTTTCATTCCTGCTGACTGTACCACTCTTGCTTCCCTCAAACTACATTGTGTTGCCATAGTGATTGTATTTGCAATATCAACGATGATCTGAACACAACTATCCTACAGAGGTTACTGCACAGGCAGAACATTTCGTCGGTCAATAATTTCGTCCAACTACAAGGCAAGGGAGTTCATCCGGTTGAAAATTTTGTCCATGCATCACAAGAGTGTATTGAAAACCTTGAAAAATCTACATTAGTCCAGCATTTAATCTAGTCCGAAAGCTCCTTGGACGAAAAAGACGACATTAAACTCCGGACGAATATTTCTGCTTGTACAGTATGAGATGCTTTGGCGAAGTCTTTGCACAGCGTGATGCACTATCGACACCCTAGAGACTCACTAGCACCTCACACTGTATACATAGCGCCCATAAGCGTTTCCACTGGCTCACGCTGCATACATGTAGCACACATACCTGGTGCCGTTGATTCACCGCCATCACATTGTTCGCATAACCTCTATCTATCTGTTAGGGAGTACTTTGAAAAGGCGGCGAGGTGCTTCGACTATGCTTAGAACGAGGTCTGTCTCGTTGTCCAGGAGCCGACCAATCAGCGACGTTCCCGCCAAGGGCCTTATCAGAGTTTAAAGCCCGCTCAATCGTAAATTTACGTACGCTGCAAGCGGATCTGTGTTCCACCATACGGAGTTTTCGAATTAGCTGCCCTTGGCAACTCAGAACGCGGCAGTGTACGGTCGGGTCGACCTGGGGAGAGGGTCATAAATTTGTACCCCAATCCACTTACGGAGCACCTCCGTTATCAGAGCCCTATCTACTTGCTCTACGTAGACAACTTTCCGTATGTGGAGTGCAAACTTGCAAATTTACGGGTTTTCCCACCCACTTACGTAAAGTTGCTCAGCTTTGCGTAGTGCGGAACCTCTCTATCACCTCACACTCTGGTTGCGTGTTTTTTTTGTGCCTTTTCTCGCCACTTTTTGCAGGTGAACATTGGATTCAACTGCACTGTGGGATCGAATTGCTGCTTCCTGAAGAGCAGGGCCCCGCCGATGAGGCCATCTTTGTTGAACATCTCCTCCGGATTGCCCTCCATTGTACGTCTTGCCCGGTTTTTAAGGCCAGCCACTTCCATCCAATCAACTATAACTAAATGCACTAAATGCACTTCTATTGAGCGGTTTCACATCAGTTTGTCATGTGACTAAATTTGTGCCGAAAGTGATCATGGCATGTGGACAGTGGAACCAACATGGCCGATATCATGTGACCCATAGATGCTGCGGTTGAGTGGAGTTGGAACCAACATGGCTGTCCCATAATGGTCATGTGACGGATGTGAAACCACTCTATAGGAAATACTGGCCTCAAATTTGGACCAGTTGCTCACCGAAGCATTGTCCACATAACTTTAGTTATCACATCTTTCAAATTTATCCCGACTGCAAAATGTTCAATTGCCAGGACTCCCAAAGTTGACCATGCGGTCATGTTTTTGCAGCAGTCACGAAGTTTTTGTATACAGAGGAAGTATACGGAATTGCTTTTGCGAAATGTGTATGCTTCGGGTGTGCATGCAATAAAAATGCGTGAGATACTCATGGGCCACTTGGATTCCCCCCCCCCCCCCCTCCCTACCGTAATCCACTTCGCTCTCATTGTTCCGCCAAAGTAGGACCTTGCCCTGTCTGTTTGTGTGACCATACACAACTGGCGGCGCAGGAGAGACACAAGCCTCGCTGCTGCGAAACCTTGTTGGTGAAACGAAACTCCTGTGCACGTATGGGCCCTTATCTTTGCCCTCCTCACTATTATATCACTCTGTCACCAACTTCCCAAATTCATATTTTCGATATTTTTTGGCACAGCATGCCAAGCATGTGTGAATGGAAGAGAGCGCGTGGGCTCTACTCTTAGGGGAAGTATACCCTAAAATCAAATTCTCACCAGTCGCAGTCTTCAGGGTGCTGAGTCGAATGGTCTTGGTCCGAGGAAGCTGAGACGCTCCCTTCCTCCTTTATTCCCAATCGAACTTGCGCACTTCCACCGAAACTGGGTGACTGCGCTCTACTAGATAGGGATTTGTATGGAAAAAGTCACTAAAAACGCCGTTTCGTTCTTATAAAAGCGCGGATGACCGCGATTGGTCCATATGTTGTAGTCTTTTGGCCGCTGACTCGAGTCGACTGGTTTTGGTCCGAAAAGGCTGCGATGCAGCGTTCGGCCCTTATTCCCAATCGAACACGGTTGAGTAAGCGGTCACAAGCTCATTTACACGCCCGTTTATGTCACTCGAGTTGAACCTTTGAACCAGGGAGTCGTAAAAACCTCTTACGACTCCGTGCTTTGAACATTTGAGTTGAATCCTTGGTGTGAAAGTTGTAGCCTGCAGGCACGGTGACCAGGCGACTGGTGTACGCATGAGCACGTGACCGCTTACTCAACCGTGTTCGATGTATAGTGTACATTGATGTGTATGTGATTTTCCGCTATGCAGCAAAACAGCGTACTGTCAGTTTCCACACTCAACTCCAGCTTGAACCCAGAGGCTTTTACAGAGGAGAAGCATGTTCCTTTCCAGTACGCACCTCCGAGCCTCGATCCCAATGTTGGTCGTCGCTCTGACCGTATCAGCGAGAAGCGTCGCTCTGAACTCGAAGCAACCTTTGGCCCGTCAGTGCATAGCAACGAGGTTCCGGTGACGGACTCTGTGACCGTGCAAATCTTCATCGACCACAGGTCAGTGGCCCCGACGTGTGTGTGTATGTGTGTGTGTGTCTGTGTGTGTGTGTGTATGCGTGTGTGTGTGTGTGTGTGTGTGTGTGCGTGTGCGTGTGCGTGTGTGTGTGGGGGGGGGGGGGGGTGTACACATGCGTGTGCGTGTTACTTAAATTTTGCACCCTGGGTTTCTCAAAGCAGAACCCTGTGTTTATGCATACGTGCGAAGCAAGTATGTGCCAAACTCTTAGCCGTTGCAAAGTACATGATTTACCTACTGTATTTAGCCAACCTCCACCACTTCATACTGCGCTCGTGGCTGACCTATTCCACTTCCACCAGACCATCTTACCAATAACAACTCCATAGCAACTCCATTGCTCCATGTTGGAAAAGAAGGATTCACGAGCAGGATTCGAACCCAGCACCACTGTCTTTCCGGTACAGTGCCCTACCGATTAGGCTACCGGGGATCGCACACACCCGTGGCTCCTTCTTGCTACACCTGGATCATTCGTTGTGCTTGTTGCTCTGGACCATGATGTGGCATGGTGTAAGTGTTCGAAGAAGCTTGCCTTGAGTTGTGAAGTGATGGAGTTTGCCAATACAATGTACTAGAGTGTACTCAGGGGCGTCGGACTCGGTACCGTGTCACTACGGTATTGGCCGTACCACTTTTTGCCCCAGGTACCCCTAGAACCAATATATAATAATATTAATACACTGATTTGGGCTCTAAATTGCCAAAAAGTTCGTCTCAGCCACCCCTCCCCCACGAGTAAATTATACTCCAGTTGTCTGATCGTACCACCCTATAATAACTTCCGACGCCCCTGGTGCTAGTCGAGACTCTAGAGCAAACTCCACCGCTTCATATGTATTACCCAAGGCAGGAGAGCGGAGCAGCACCAAGGTCAGTAGGACTGAACCTACGGGGAAAAAAATGAACTACTAGAGTAAAATCAAACCAGTACTTGTACTAGTACTTGGGCTATGTGTAGCTGGCAGAGTGGGTCATGACATCTTCCTGTTGCTTACCTTGTGGGAGTGTTTGGTATCCTGCGTACATGCACATGGTTTCAGGGTGACAGCGTGAACAAGGCGAGGGCGTACTGTGCTGTCACCGTGAAAGCATGTTGCCTATTAGGCAAGGCTTTCATTGGATACCATGCACATAGTTGTTGCTACATTCAGATTCGCAGTACTGGACCGTAGTTGTTTCTATGCCTGTCCTTGTAATGCTCTTTCTTGTCCTGTGCTCTGTTTTGTAGTGTGCTGGAGGTGTTTGTGGAGAATGCGCTGGTCATTACCGAACGCATCTATCCCACCAAGGACGACAGCATGAACGTTGAGCTCTTCTCTAACAACAGCAACGTGACGTTCACGTCCATCGAAGCTTACCAGATGGAGAGTGCGTTCAACACATAGCGTGGTGCTGCCTCAATGCAACGGCAGTGTTCTCTACGGTGGGATTCACAACTGTACGACTTCGTCGAGTCGTGTGCGTCCCTGTATGCGTGTGTGTGTGTGTGTGTGTGTGTGTTGTTGCATTGTGTCCTGATGGCGTAGCCTTCGTGTTGGTCCTTTGGAACACGCACACCCCCGGGGCAGATTCTTCTTATTTGCAGCGGTGCACTCGTTTTCTCTTTATCCCCAGCACGCCGGTGACTCGCTCTACTTTGTGCATCTTTGCTTGAGACTGTTCTGTTGCTGGCAGTGCACCAGCGAGAGAGCAGTTGTGTAGATAACCTTGCTTTGCCGTGTTGAGTTTGCATGAGTGCCATTTGCGGCGCCGATTTGTTGTTTTGTTTGTCAAATGATTTGTTCATACTTTCGGTTTTATATACGAATTATCTCACGCTGCAGATAGTGCTGTTATCAAGGCCGCGTAAAATTAATTATGAAAGTTGTGGTACAATCGCTGCGTTATACATGGATATGTAATGCAATATTACGTCCTGGCTGGCTTCTCAGCTGATTGTCTGTTGACATTCCCACGTGTCGTGACTCGTCGACAGTCTGCGATGAAGCATGGTTCGTGCCATTGGCTACAGAGACTCATGATGATGATGAAGGAGAGCTCTCTGTAGTCAATGATTATGTCATGTACGTGTTTGTGTGTTGAAACCAGGGAGTAGTAAAATACCTTGCCCTTGGCTTTAGTTAGGCTTTATCACTACTCCTTGGTTGAAATGCGTTTGTATACGTAGACCAGCTACGGCGTATGCAGGAAATAATAATGTGTGGGGGTGGGGGTCGGGGTCATTGGGAACGTTTTCGCAGGTACGAGCAGGCCCGTTTTCCCATCGGCGGGGCCGGGCAGGGGAAAGGCCACAAAAAGGGGCACAGGCTGGCTAGGCTAGTATAGTATAGGCCCGAGCAACAGAAAAATTAATAAAAAAAAGAGCATGCGCGGGGATTCCCCTCCTTAGCTCCTATTCAAGCCAAGACATTATGATTGTACATGTCACTCCTCAGCCACTTTACTTTTTTGCTTCACGTGCGTATGGCTGGCTGTCAGCATTCGTCTTCGCCAGCTTCCAGTTTGTTGCTGTTCCTGCTTGTACTAGTTGTAGGTTGGGTTGTACTCTTGCAGTCTTGGAGCACCCTCTATTCAGTCATTCTTCTGTCTGTCTCAGTGAGTGAGGTCCAGGCCATCTAGATCGGAGCCACCACTGTCCAGGTGGCGGAGACCGGTGCATTTTGTTTTTTATATCGGCTTGTCCAAGCAACGCTGCCTACACGTAGATCCAGTTTCCAGTTGATAGACATGATGAAAACACTGCAGCTGGTCGTAGCAATTGCATTGCTTGGCGTATGCGGTGCAACAAGGCGTTCAAAAGGTGTTGGCACGACGTATCCCACCGTTGATTATCGACCACGTTATCACTTGACCTGCGAGCGAGGAAGACTGGATTATCCGAGCCTGGCTTTTTCTGCAGGTAAGATTGGGTCTTGGAAATGCGCTGTGTGTATGTGTGTGTGTGCGTGTGTGTGTGTGTGTGTGTGTGTGTGTGTGTGTGTGTGTGTGTGTGTGTGTGTGGTGTGTGTGTGGTGTGTGTGTGTGTGTATTTTTGTTCGTTGTTTTTGTTTTTGTTTTTCCCTTTTTCACATTGACCACGATTGGGATACCAATCATAAAATGATTGAGCGATCAGTATAGAAGTAAATTTTAAAATATTACACAGTCCATTCATTGGAAACCGGCACCTTCCAAACATTCATAAAAAATAATCTTACTTTTGGCCATAAATGGGTCAAACTTTGAGTTTCTTCAGAGAATTTGTTTGCAATAGCCAAAGTCTATTTCCCAAAAGCACTGAATTGGGAAAAACCGTATCCATGCCTTTTGACTCCACTTGCAACAGTACTACAGTGCTGGCCAAAGAAATCCAACCTCACAAATACAATAGCGCCGGACGCTACGCAGCCCTAGCACTACATATACCAGGGATGAATTTATTGTCATATCTTCGCATAGCAGTTTCTGCTATACGAAATCCCAATTGTGTAGCAGTCTTTGATTTTGAGTAGCATTTTCTGTGAAGGTTGGGTGTTTACCACATTGTCCTTCTTGAGAGTGATGCCTGAAAGCCCATTTGCAAAAAAACGACTGAATCATACATGTGCATGCAGATTGAGAGTGCCTGCACCACATACACTGCACTGTATGCATGTTACTTGATAGCGCAGGCTAGGCATGGATAGTCTGTATGTATCGCAGTTTTCTGCGAGTCACGGTGACTTTTGAGTAGCAGTAGATCGATTTTGCATCGCAAACTGCGATGCGATACAGGATAAACTCATCCCTGTATACACACACTGGTCTGTGCACTCGAACGCGGCGCTACTTTATTCATGAGGTTGGGTGTCTCTGGCCACAGCTGTACATCGTGCAATTTGACCCCCAGTTGCACGGTGGGGTAACTTTTGAATTTTCAAATTTTGCTGGATAGCACCGTGTACAATAAAATCACGAAAATCACCAAATACGGGAGCTCAACAGAGCCAGAGATCATCTTTATTTTTATTTTTATGAATGAACTGTAGTAGATGCTATACATGTAATAACAAGAGTATATACCCCCCCCCCCCCCCCCTCCCCAGAATGTGCAACTCTTGATACCCTTTCTATGGGGTACACCGACGGCGAAAACTCACATCACGTGGTCCAGTGTTCCAGTTGTACGTTTCCAGCCTGTTTTTAGCGAGCAGCAGAGTAATAAAAAATGCACTCTCTGACAGAAGCTCACTGCGGGTATGCAACTCGCCAGCATGATCATGGCAGATATTTGGATTGCGCGCACGCTATCCTTCGTTTGTACATACAGGTGGAATCTTGATAATTCGAATATGGCTTATTTCGAACATACCGCTTAATTAGAAGTTTTTCCAGGACCGATTTCTATCAATACAATTTCCACATAAACGTTTCTGATAACTCGAACCTCGAACTGGATATGTCCGGTTAATTAGAAGTCCCACAGATCCCACTTACATAGAAAACATGTGGGATTTGTGCTGATAATTCGAAGTTAGCAAACTGTAATTCGAAGTTCACTGTACACTGTACTGGTCAGTTCAGTTTGCATGAGCAGGCTGTGCCGGTCAGTTCAGTATCCGTGAAATCTGTGTCTAAGGTCCATAGCGCAACTCTGCGTGACCATGAGAGCATTTTGACATACATATTGTGTTGTGGGTTCATGTTTGGATAATTAGAATGTCCGGATAATTAGAAGTTTTTTCCTGGCATTTTGAGGTTCGAATTATCAGGATTCCACCTGTAGTACGAAACGTACCTGAGGCACGTGATGTGAGTTATCGCCGTCGGAGACCCCATATGCAAAGTTGCGCACTCTTGGGAGGGGGGTTATATACTCTTGGTAATAATAGTGGGTTTGAAAAAAATATTTTACACAGGCCCCGTTGCAATTCATCCTACAGTGTATTTTACTTTCCTAAAGGAATTTCCCATTGATAAGAAAATTGAATATTCAACCAGGTTTTCCTCGAAATATGCTAATTGCTGCTTTCAATGGGTTTCCTTTCCTGTTCTTTCCGTTTTCGAAATTCGCCCTCCGGACTCTTCGTACGATAATTGATTTCCATGTTGCATTCCGCCATGTCTCTTTGCGACTTGTTTGGGGCGGGGAGTTCTGCACTATTGATTGGGGGACGTTTGTGTCAATGCGGTTGTATTTCTGTGCTTGTTTGTTTGTTTCCAGGCAAGGGCCAATTGGTCTATCACATGTTTTACCACTGTTCCTCGTTAACCGATGATGACAGTGCTGAAGCTATTGGTGAGTCAATCTGGCCAAGTATCTACATGATGCATGTATCCCATTGGTGTTTACTCCTAAGGAGTTAGTTTCCTACAGGTGCCCCCCCCCCCCCAAACAAAAAAACAAAAAAACGGCTGCTGTTGACCTGGATGACTGCTCTGGCAAGAATTTCAGGGTATCCCAGAGTCCTAGTGAGTCACGGGATATGCACAATGGCACGTGAAGCAATGGGCATGTTCCTTATACGTTACTCAATCTGCGGACAGAACTGTTTCGTCCTTTGTGGACTCATCAGCGCAGCACAAAGAAAATGAGGCCGAACCTGATAGCAATGTTTAAAAAAAGGTTATAACCGTTTGGTTAACCATGAAGATTCCGGTCAACTGATCAGCTGAAAGCTCAAACCGTTTCAGCCCTAGCCCTAATGGAATGTCTTCTCCACTGTGTGTATCCTGAAAAAAACTCAGACAACTCGGCCTCCAGCCTCACCTCACCCGAACCATGATTTGTTTGTGTATATCCTGTGTACTCTTTGTAATGATAATTATTCCCGTAGCTATGCAGAAGACGTTACTTCAGTAACGTCTGGCGCTAGCCAGGGTCCACACAGCTTTAATTTGGTATTTGTTTGTTTGTGTGTTTGTGTCACGCCTGGCGCTATCCGTATCTGACGGCAAAAAAGCATAGGATTTTTTTTTCAGGCATATCCTGGGATTCGAACCCGCACTATCGCCCTACATGCATCCCCCCCATACACTTCGCATTCATACCCATTCTTCCAAGTTGCTTCACGTTATTAGCTTGCGTTTGAAAGCCCTATTTGAATATTGCGGGCAGCTAGACGGTGTCGTATTACCCTCGATCGTACCTGTCCCGTACCTATCCCCTACCGTACCGTGCCATCAAAGACGGCTGGCCACAATGCATATTCAAATAGGGCTTTCAAATGCAAGATCACAATGTGAAACAACTTGGAAGAATTAGTATGTATGCGAAGTGTATAGGGGGATGCATGCAGGGCGCGCGATAGTGCGGGTTCGAATCCTAGGTTAAAAAAAGGGATTTTTTTAAAGAATTTATAACATCCCTATGCTTTTTTTTTGTCTAGGTCATCAAGGCAAAAAAGCATAGCGTAGGGCCCTGAGCTTCCAAGCTCTCGTATGCATGGTATTCTGCTGGTGGTGTTTTGTACATTACAGATAGTTGGACTCACACGACCAGCACGGATTTGATGAGCTGGGAGGCTTCCCTTTTGCGCGGCATTCCGTCGGGAACGACATCCATCTCCATCACGCAGCCGGCGTTCAACTCCTCCAGGTGTGTTACTGCACTCATACCTCGTTTATCCGGGCGGTCAGGGACCGGGCGTTGTCCGTCTGACGGTCTCTCCAGCTCATAGTAGTTATTAGGAAATTAGAGGCCACATGCCTCTTACTGCTCTTTTCTCTCCTAAACTCAACACTTGCAAGCCAGATATGAAAGAAAGAAAAATCATCAGTCACACCACCGGGACTCGAACCAGGCACCCTCATCTCATGTTAAAATTTTGAAAAAACCATGCTACCACGACAGTGCATGCGCACGAGACATGCTAGCATATTGGCAGGCTTCGAGTTAGTACAACTCACCTAGTACCTACTGTAATTTCACAAACTTCGGTGTACCTTTTATTTTTCGGTATTTTTCGGTACATCTCTTTCATACGTAAAATTTCAATAGCTGCACAAACACAAACCCCCATCATCCGACACGGAGTGGCTTCTCTGTACCTGACATTTCAATACAGTAAAACCTGGTGTAAGCGACCTCTGGGTTTAGCGACCACCTGCTCTTAACGACTGCCTTTCCATGCACCGACAGTTCTACACAGACACTGTGGGACCTTGTTCTAAAGACCACCTGGCTTTCACGAACGCTTTTGCTTGCACCGTGGGGTGGTCGCTTAAATAGCACATTAGAGCTTGCGGTAATGTAGGTTAACACATTGCACAAGCCACCACTTCACACGCGCTCCAGCGGCTTCCAAAGAGCCCGCAGATCCCACGCTATTCATTGATGCATGTCAAGTAACACGTACATGCACGCTGTGGTGGCATGTAACATGCGTACGCCGGAACTCACCTTAACTCGCCAGCCAACCAGCCATATGCGGCTGCAGCACACATCGGAGCTTGAACCCGTAACGCATACACCATACTTCGCGCTGGCCGTATTGCTACTTCATATTTGCTTTGCTTGGGTAGTGAGAAGAACACCGGTTTGTTCCTTTCTCACCCACCCACCTCTTCCCATCTATGAATAATATTGATATCCTTGATTCAACACAGGTATCATAATTCATACAAGACGAAAATAAATAGGAGTGCTGGGCCAGCTATCTCCTCTCATCTGGCAATTATCACGGCCTTCGGCCATCACACTCATACTCCCACACTCCTGCCTCCTAACGGGCATTGCACTTCGTGCGTGGGCCGTCCACACTCCGTCCATTTCATGGGCGCCCATCTCATGGGCTGCACTTTGTGCGTGGACATACATACACACTATCATACAGGCCGTCCACACTCCGCCCAGTTCATGGGTGCCCATTTCATGGGCTGCACCTCGTGTGCGTGGGCCGTCCACACTCCGTCCATTTCATGGACGCCCATCTCATGGGCTGCACTTTGTGCGTGGACATACATACACACTATCATACAGGCCGTCCACACTCCGCCCAGTTCATGGGTGCCCATTTCATGGGCTGCACCTCGTGCGTGGACTATCCTACATGATTATCACATGCCAGATTCGGTTGCCCAGCACTCCATGAATCCTCCGTATGATGTGTGCTCTCCACTGGTCTGCAATAGCGAGTGCATGCGTGTTAACCAGGTTTTACTGTAGCTGCACAAACACAAACACCCATCATCCGACACGGAGTGGCTTCTCTGTACCTGAAATTTCTGTTTGCCTACCATGTTCACCTGACCTGGTCTTTTGCTGTCGTACCTATAATATGTGTTCACCACAGGGCCGTGGCAGCAATCCTCAGGCACGGCGGTGTCTATCTTGTTCACTCGGTGGACAATAGCATGGTGGAATGGATCGACTTGTCTCTGAACCCGATCATCACGCCACCCGAAGGTGGCAGCAACTTCACCGACATCCACCTTTGGTCGGTGAGTACGCTAGTCTAGGCACCGGAATGCTTCTAAAAGCGATGGCTCTGGAGCTCGCCTTGCTAGAAAGCACATGACAACGAGCAGTGCTGACTTTGTTGCCGTTGGCCATGTGGTGTCACACGTGTAATCTGCTTTTGCGTGTAGTCAGCAAGTTTTTTTTCCTTCAAACTATATCATGTCTCAATCTCCTGTTTTTACCCCATGGTTTTACACTGCAATCGTCGTAAATATCTCCAAATTGTCGCCCTTGGGTCTTCATCCGGGAGTATAAACTATATGTACACGCAATACAGTCTCACCTGTGTTTATTCCACTCCACGCTGCACAGAAAGTCAGTCTTTGTAGCCAGGTGGTCCATCATCAAAGGTCTGGATGTATGCTCAAAGATGGTCTGGGGGCTTGAAATAACAGGTAGCCAAGACAGGTGGTTGTCTCGTGTTGCAATGGTCACTAGACTCTGGAGGCTCCGGCTTTACCGTGTTTTCTTTCGCTTTATGTGTGGCACTGTGTATGTACATGTAGAACGGCACATCTCAATTCTTCCTGCTGGCTGGCTCTACTCTGAACAGCTCCTACAGCAAAGGTAAGCTTTGTGCTCCCCCCCCCCCCCCCCGCCGCTGCCGCCATGCCAAGGCTTTATCGACTCCGATGCCTGTGTGTGTGTGGTTTAGCGAGGTAGAATAATATGCTATTGGAACTGCGTCTCTCATGCGTATGGATGTGATCTGCTTTAGTAGTATTATGAGTAGGGCTGAAACGATCATTCAATAACTCTTAACGATCAACCAATATCATTAACGATCGATATATTGGTGTTATTGATTCTTGTCGGCTCTACCCGTGTACCTCTAACACCAGTTTATGAAAAAATTCCACAATACCTTTGCTACGTTAGAAATTTGTGGCACCGCACTGTTGACATCTGTAGACATCTGGGTGGTTTATCAACATGACCTAGAGAATTTCATGTTGTTTCTAGGGCGAAGAATCTTGTCATCACCCTCCGGCAACTGCTCTTATCTCTGACCGTTCTCGCAAATTAACTGAAAAGACAAAGAGTATTCTCTTCCGATCTCTTTCAAAGCCACAAATCAATTTTACTGCGCTTGAAAGTGCATGATTGTACTCGTATTCACTATCGGATGGAGTAAAAGGGCTAGAATACTGTCACTCATATACATGCATAAAAAATCGTTAGCACTCATTTTGAACACTAACGATTATCGATTGCACTCTTAACGATCGATATGCGAGTTATCGGTATAATTGTTTCAGCCCTAATTATGAGACAATGCCATTTTCTGATACAAATTTGGGATTTGTATGCAGCGCTTCAGTGGAGTTGGAGCAATTATGGCTTGCCCATCTGGTCATGTGTTGGATGTGAATCTGCTGTATAGCAGCCTAGTTTTGAGTGCTGTCATTCTACACATGCAGTTTGTGCTGACACACACTGAAATGCTGAATTCCCTGATTTGAACACGAGCGTATTGTGAATAGAAGCTTTGCCCCCCCCCCCCCAACACACACACGTGCACACATCGTGTACACCAATACACCTGGCTTTAACACATCATGCTACTTGTGTCACTGATGCGTTGCAGGCATTCACGATGCGAAGGCAACCAGCTCAATTCCCGTCACCTATCTGTTCGAGAGCAAGGACCTGAAGACGTGGACATCCCATGGTATCTTCTGGCAGGGTGACTCTACGTTTGGCTCTACTGTAAAGTGAGTTGCTTCACGAGTGCGTGTACAGCGGCGGAGTAGAGTGGGAATCGTTTTTCTTGTTATGTGCACATGGAGTTTGAGCCAGTGTAAAGCAAAGCTAGATAAAGGGTCTGGGTAGCTGTGGCAAACATGGGTGATGAGCGCGTCAGCAGCTACCCAGGCCAACGGAACATAACAGTTATTTCAACATAAGGTGCAATACAGGAACACGGGAACCTATGACCTATTGGTGCGGGGTAACTGGGCTAGGTATGATTCAGGGAGCGGGACGTGGAAGCTATGTGTACGGGGGAAGTTAGATGTGTGGGATTGCTTGAGTGCAGGCTGCATGCAGGGGAAAGGATGTGGAGAAACAATGTTCGGGGCGTGCGGGCCTATGAGCAGATGTGTGCCTGGCCTTCTTTATTAATCCTAGCATCTATCTGTTCTTTCTCTTATAGGAGCGTTGATTTTTACGAGGTGGTCAACTCTCAGCTCAAGTTTAAGCAGCAGGTTCTTACGCTGACGTTTCCCGAGGAGGCTGGTTCGTTCTGCATCAGCGGCCAGGTGGGTGATAATAGTGTCCATGCATGCATGCATCGGCCCACTGTCCTTTTATGTACTGACTTACTGGACACTAGGGGCGCGTTCGTTTGGTACGACCTAGAACAGGATTCACGAGAACAGCGCGTTTGGTTGGGACTGCACCTGTTCTGGGCCGACCAGAACATGTTCTGCTTGCTCCGTCCTCGAGGCCAGAGCAGACCAAGCAGTTTTTTTGGAAGTAAAACCTGGCGGGAACATCGATTTTGGTCCCAAATGATCACGTGCATACCCTTTTGGGTTGAACTTGGCATGCACTCGTTGTACTGTACAAAGCGACCATGGTGACTCGTACACCTTTTGAAGAATGCAACACACTTCACAAAAATGTGCTTTGTTTCTGGAGTGCCGTTTGGTTTGCATGAGGCTGCTCCATGTGCACCAGCTGTTCGATCCCGTTCTAGATCGTACCAACCGAACCCACCCGAGGAGTTTCCATCTGAAATCGGTGTGTGAGTACGCGTGCAAACGTGTGTGTGTGTGTGTGTGTGTCTGTGTGTGTGCGTGTGTGCACGCATGGGAGTGATCCATTCACCCTGTTTGTGTCACTGTTGCTCATTCTCCGTGTTACAGTTTGACTTCAGCAGTGCTAACGACTTCAAGGTTTACACTCTACGACATGCTGACTATGGCATGCTCGACCATACCAGCAGTATTCTGGATACTCTAGGTCGTCGTCTGGCTGTCGGCGCAGTGGACGAGATGAAGAGCATTGAATGGCAAGTGCACGATCAGTATGCTGGTAAGCCGGGCTTTTGCATTCCCTTGTGCGTGTGTATGTGCCACTTTGCGTGTGCATGCATGCTGCTTTGCGTGTGTACTGGTATACATTTACAGCGGAGCCTCGAGATTCCGACTGCCTTTCGCACCTGGACAAAGCGGTCTGTTTTCCGAGCTTTCCTCTGTCTGACGTGTAAACTTGACCATCCTGGATGCTTGCTTGTGGAGAGGAATTGGTCGGATTGGTGAGGTTGTCAGAAAGCGATGTTCCACTTTACCTGCTGCTTTGCGCATGTGTTTGTGTGCCACTGTGCCCGTGTGTTGCTTTGCCCGTGAGTGCAGAAAGCCCGATCACGTATTGTATTCTACTGGTGATAAGTCAACTTTTTATGACCTAAAAACCTATCTACTGAAGTACCTTGTAAAAGCAAGAGTAAAATTATAACCTCCCCAGAGTGTGCAACTCCTGGTACCCTTTCTATTGGGCACGCCGACGGCGAAACTCGCATCACGTGGTGCAGTGTTCCAGTTGTACGTTTCCAGCCAGGTTTTAGCGAGCAGCAGAGTAATAAAAAATGCACTCTCCGAAAGAAACTCGCTGCGCTTATGCAACTCGCCAGCATGATCATGGCAGATATTTGGATTGCGCGCACGCTATCCTTCGTGTGTACCTAGTACGAAACGTACCTGAGACACGTGATGTGCGTTTTCGCCGTCTGAGACCCCATATGCAGAGTTGCACATTCTTAGGGGCCTATATACTCTTGCTAAAAGTGGTAGTCGATTGACAAGCGGGATTTAGCCATAATTGAACCTGGAAATCGAGGCTCCAAGTATGGAGGTTGACTACTAACTGGTAAAATGGGGTAAGCAGGGTGAACCAAGCCGTTTTGTACCTTTCAACCACACGCACGCAATCAACACTGAAAACCACATTGTGACTTTTCTTAGACCCGACTGCTTTTTTTTTTCCTAAGGGCCGGGTTCCACTGCGGCTCCGCTGCTCCGCGGCACTTGGCTGCATGCAGCGAAGCAGCGCGGTTCCACTGACACTTGCCATTCGCGGTCGTGCTCCATGTTCTTTCATCATGTTTTACCTGCCTGATGCGCGCGTGGAATCAAACAATGCTCCTGTTCTGGCCTGCGCAACGAATAAGAATTTGAATTTTAAAATTCTCGTGTACAAAACAATGCAAAGTACGGGAAACAGGTCGAGACGCGACTGCGGCTCGCAGTTTTTGGTCAAGAATCGTAGCGAAAGCTCACTGTGAGCCGCGGCCTCGCTGCTCCAGCTCGAGCCGCGGTCACTATGGTAATGATGACGTTTCAAGGCGCGGATGACGAGCAGTGCAACACGGCCCTAATTTAATCAGAGTGTGTTCTGTGGTATTTTCCTGTTATTAGGTATTGTCAGTTTACCTCGCCTGGTTCTGTCCCTGCCAGCTGAAGAGGTTGGCTTTCAGGCACCAGCGGTAAGCAGTGCTGCCATGCAAGGGTCCTGTCGTGATAACTTACGTCTCCTGGTCCTGTCGTGATAACTTACCACTCCTGCACAGCTCCTCTCATAGCTGTTGGTGTATTGCTATGCTCGTAGCAAGCGAGTTTGCTGGGAAAGACATTGTAGAATTCTCTTTGGTCATGCGAGAAGTTTAAGGCGGAAAAGCAAGTCTGCCGGTTTGACATGCTCGCACCCTAGTATACCACGCAGGTTGTCGTGCCTCACTGCACTTGAGTTGTGTATTTACGCAATGACTTACCGCTCTTTCTCTCTCTCTCTCTCTCTCTCTCTCTCTCTCTGTCTCTCTTTCTTTCTTTCTCTCTCTATCTCTCTCTCTCTCTCTCTCTCTCTCTCTCTCTCTCGTTGTCAGGACGTATCCGCTCTGTACGGAAAGCCCCTTGGTCGCCTTGACGGTCTGAAACTGAGCGCTGGAGAGACGGAAACGCTGCCACTGCTCTATGGAAACCAGGTAAGAACCCAGTACAAATCCTGCATTGAATTTCTATAAAACGTACCTTGATTTATTTATAACTTTAGTTCCGAGTAACTCTCCACCACTGTAACTAGATACTATATACAGTCAGAAAGTGCAACAACTAGGCACAAAACTGACAGAGTACTGAGACATTCGACGTCCTGACACCTAGCTTCAACACATCTCCGTAGCGCTAACCGACAGCCTTCCAACTTGGAAGGTTCAAGGTTATGGAAAAACCAAAGAGGGGAAGGCAATGGTCTTTCCATAACCTTGAACCTTCCAAGTTGGAAGGCTGTCGGTTAACGCTACGGAGATGTGTTGAAGCTAGGTGTCAGGACGTCGAATGTCTCAGTACTCTGTCAGTTTTGTGCCTAGTTGTTGCACTTTCTGACTGTATATAGTATCTAGTTACAGTGGTGGAGAGTTACTCTTAACTCGTTTCCATATGTCCTTTTCCGTTCTACTTTTATTATTGGCTCAATACCTGAGTTTCAAACTTTAGTTCCCTTCGCTATTTTTTTGCGGGTTATGGATCCAGCCCTACAGCCCAGCAAAATCACCCCCGTACTTGGATACATGGTTATAAACAAATTCTAAGAGCCCTTTCTCTCTCCTTGGTTTTGGCCAGCTCAAATTTTGCGTGGGGAGTGCTGTGAGGCCTTGCTCTCATTTAATTAAATCATTGTCGCTTTGGCAACAGTCAGAGCTGTAAAGGGAAATCCCCGGCCTAAAGACCCATCTTGCCCACTCAAATCACAAAGGAGCCATGGTCCAGGTTGCAGCGCTGCAGAATTGCAACTGTTCATATTGACAGTTCCTAGGGATAGCCTGAATTTTTCGCAACCTAGATTTTTAGATGTTCGAGTTTGGCCCGAAATTGACTGAGTTCCGAAAGTTTGAAGAAAAAAATGGATTTCTCTTCTTGCATTTGTGTGCGTGCATGTGTGGTGGTGGTGGCGGTGATGTGTGTGCGTGTGTGTGTGTGTGTGTGCATGTGTGTGTATGTGCGTGTTTGTGCGCATGCGTGCTTGCGTTTTTCCTCTGCATGGTGGGATGCAGATGACAATCCGCGCCACTATGAATATGACAGTTCTGCCCAGTGCTAAATTCTCAGCCGGCTTCAAGGTGCTGATGTCGGGGGATGAGAAAGAGTTTACAACCATTGCCATCAAGAACAACCCCAACCCCGTACCCAGTAAGGCACTTGTGTTTCTGTTCCACCTATGCACAAGTTGACTACTCTAACTAAGGGGCCGATATTTATTTAGAAACGAAAACTAGTCGTTTCTCGTCAACCCCCTCCCTGAGAAACGAACACATACAAATGGTACATAGTATCGATATTTTTGGTCTTTTCCTGGACATGCTCACGTATGCAAAATGTACATCGACATTTTTCGAGAAACGAACAGGCGCTCAACCCCCTCCCCCCTAAACGACTAGCTTTCGTTTCTAAATAAATATCTATATCTACGGATGGCCCTTAAAGTACCTGAGACTGCAGTGTATGTGTGGTGATGCTGCTCAAGGACACAATGATGTAGTGTGTACAGTGAACACCCCACACAAGCACCGCGGGCATGGTTGTGTTGTAGGCTGTCGACCAGTGCAGTGCAGTGCAGTGCAGTGCAGTGCTGATCCCAGTGTACTCACCTGCACTACTGCTCATGCATTCCAGGCCCGCCGGAACCGGTCCGGTTGATCAGGTTATTACCGGACCAACTTTTTGACCATCAACACACGTTTCCTATTGTGGAGGGTATGTGTACCCGCCATGTCACACACAAAGTATGAAAGGCCATGATACCACTGGAACAATCAAAAACTGTTGCCGGCTGTCCTGCATTCTATATTTGAAAACGGGCCCTGGGCTTCTAGTCCAGGCTAACTGACTGAAACAAAGCTACTTGGATCACTACTTTTTCCCTCGTCTTCAGTGGCACTGCTAGTGGCAGTTGGCACCGACATCCTATATGCGCGTGGCAGGTGATGCAGTGACGAATGACAAACGTACCTCTCTATTGTCCTGCGCCACCCAGAAGTTGAGGTTGAGTTTACCCGAATTGTGTGTTTGTGTTTGTGGCTTGCTGTGTGTCTGTGTCACGACAGTTCAGTGTATTGACATTCCAGTGTCGCATGGACTGGACCGGATTGGCTACGATTACTACGTGTAGGTCTACACATGCATGCTCTTTGCCTGCCTCTCTCTGTCTCTGTCTCTCTCTCTCTCTCTCTCTCTCTCTCTCTCTCTCTCTCTCTCTCTCTCTCTCTCTCTCTCTCTCTGTCTGTGTGTCTCTCTCTCTCTCTCTCTCTCTCTCTCTCTCTCTCTCTCTCTCTCTCTCTCTCTCTCTCTCTCTCTCTCTCTCTTTCTCTCTCTCTCTCTCTCTCTCTCTCTCTCTCTCTCTCTCTCTCTCTCTCTCTCTCTCTCTCTCTCTCTCTCTCTCTCTCTCTCTCTCTCTCTCTCTCTCTCTCTCTCTCTCTCTCTCTCTCTCACTCTTTCTCTCTCTCTCTCTCTCTCTCTCTCTCTCTCTCTCTCTCTCTCTCTCTCTCTCTCTCTCTCTCTCTCTCTCTCTCCGTCTCTCTCTCCGTCTCTCTCTCTCTCTCTCTCTCTCTCCCTCTCTCTCTCTCTCTCTCTCTCTCTCTCTCTCTCTCTCTCTCTCTCTCTCTCTCTCTCTCTCTCTCTCTCTCTCTCTCTCTCTCTCTCTCTCTCTCTCTCTCTCTCTCTCTGTGTGTGTGTCTCTCTCTCTCTCTCTCTCTCTCTCTCTCTCTCTCTCTCTCTCTCTCTCTCTCTCTCTCTCTCTCTCTCTCTCTCTCTCTCTCTCTCTCTCTCTCTCTCTCTCTCTCTCTCTCCCCCTCTCTCTCCCTCTCTCTCCCTCTGTGTGTGTGTGTGTGTGTGTGTGTGTGTGTGTGTGTCTCTCTCTCTCTCTCTCTGTCTTTCTCTCTCTCTCTCTCTCTCTCTCAGGGCTTTGAGGCTTTTGGTTTGATGTTATTACTGAGCGATTCTTTTTGCCCGACTGATGCTCAGGCCGAGAGAAGCCAGGTGCTTAGCATTGTTTTGAAGGGCACTGATTAAAAATTCACCCACCGCTTGGGGAGTATGGGAGCAAACCATAGCATTGCCACTTGTAAGACTGGACTACTTGCAAACGTCAAGCATCTTCAGGTAGCCACACTACAGTCCATTTCAAAAATACAGACGCAGGGTATTTTTGAAATATTTCAAATTGGGCTGGATCTTCTTGAGAATTTTTTTCGGAATATTGCTCAGGTCGTTCCCCCAATTACACTCATATACATCTACATCTTCTCAACGTAATGACAGTAGTACAGAACAGGACTTTGGTGTGGGTTCATTCAATGTCCGCGGCTTGTCGTCAAGCCTAAAGAAACAGCAGCTTGCTGATGACCTTCGGAAATACAAAATTAAAATTTGCAGTTTGCAAGAGACTAAAATAAAGGACGGCTGCGACGAACTAGCTGGTGACTACAGGATATTCTGCTTACCAACGGCGAACAGGCATTATGGGCTTGGGTTCGCTATTCACAACAGCCTGTTTGAACGTATTCATCGGATATGGTCAGTATCAGACCGAGTAGCTGCGATACAAATCAATTTGTCCAAGAGAAGTACTTTATCTCTCGTCAATGTGTATGCGCCAACGGCAACCCGCGTAGCGGCAGATGATGTCCATCTCGACGAGTTCTACTCAGCGCTCGGAGATTGCCTGGGTTCAGTAAGGTCCAGTTCGCTCGTTCTCGTCGCTGGCGACTTCAATGCCAAACTCGGCCAGAGGGATGACTCAGGCGGCTCGTGCACCGGACGATATGGTCGTGGACGTCGTAACTACAGCGGAGCTATGCTAGCGGATTTCTGCGAGTCGTTTGATCTCTTTGCATGTAACACTGCCTTTCAACATCCAGCTAGGCATCTGACAACCTGGACAGGTTGGAGGCACAACCCAAACGGCGGTTGCTCTATCCCTATATACAATCAAATAGATTTCATCTTGAGTAGCAGCAACCAGAAGCAGATTTTCACAGATGCCCGATCCTATGCTGGGACACTTGTGAAATCAGACCATCGGCTCGTTGTCGCACGCGCCCGTCTGAGCAGGATCTATGGTCTGTGGGCACATAACAACAACAAAAAGAACCGCGAAAGCTCAGAAGTTTCAGGTTCATAGATTGAGCGAGCACACCTGCCGTCAAAACTTCCAGTCCCAACTCACCCATCGGATCGCCAACGGCGCAGTAGACACATCCACACCGGAAGCACACTGGACATCGATCTCGTCTTTCATCCAGCAAACGGCAAAGAATACCATTGGACTGGCACAGCCCCCAAAGAAGCAACAGCGTTTCATGGATGATCAGCTACATTCCTGGTCAGAAGAGAAAAAACGGTTACGACTGCTGATAACTACAAGTAGGGATCCACGGCAAGTGACTGATCTGAAGCATCGGCGGAACACCCTCTCACACCGAATCCGGCTGCGAGCAAAGGAACTAGCATCGAATGAGCTGGACGCTCGGGCGAGGGAAGTAGAAGCAAAGAAGGATACAGCACAGATGTTTCATGCAGTCCATCTACTCCAGCGACAAAAACAACAGCCTATCACTGTGCATGATGAAGCGGGTAGACAAGTAATACAGCCAGTCTCGGTAGCCATCCAAATCACCGACCACTTTTCTAAGCTGTACACACCGGAGCCTGGTGCACTGTTGCTGCGGCGACCGGGCCTTGCCGACCAGGATTGCGCTATTCAGTACCGCCGGCTTGAGCGGCCCATTTCTGAGGCAGAGGTGACACAGGCAGCTGGAAAGTTGAACAATGGCAGGTCAAGTGGCCCAGATAACATGCCAGGGGAGCTGCTAAAGTACTCACCTGCCCTCGTCTACTCCAATATCGCCCAGGTCCTCAACTCTGCCGTCGAGACAGGCCTGCCCCTGAACAGCATCGGTAGTGGGTCGCTTATTCCGTTACAAAAGCCTGGCAAATCAAGGGGACCAGTCGCTCACCTACGGCCCGTGGTTTTACTCACAGCGCTCAGGAAGATTCTATCATTGATTGTGCTGCGGAGGATCAACAAGGACGTCAACAACTTCGTTGCACACACACAGAGTGGTTTCCGCCCCAGCAGAAGCACCACAGATGTTGTGTGGTCATACCGATGGTTGGCGGCTCGATGCCAACGCTATCGCTGTGCGCTGGATATCCTAGGCATTGATATGTCAAAAGCGTTTGACTGTATAAGCAGGCCACGGCTCATCTCGGTGCTGGGATCGTTCTTGCAGCCGGATGAAATCCGAATGATCAGTTACCTCCTCCAGGACACCGTACTGCGGGTTGTACTCCCATCCGCTAAGGGCCCGTCATTCCCCACTCTCCGCGGCACACCCCAAGGTGACTCGTTGTCTCCTGTTCTTTTCATTGTGTACCTTGAGGGTGCGCTGCGTGATGTCCGGCCTCTTCTTCTACCACGTCCCCCTGCCGATATCTCCCTGGGGTTACCAACTGAAACTGCCTACGCCGACGATGTGGATTTCGTGACTACTGATGGTGAGAGGCTGAGGACCCTCCTTCCAACCATATCCAACAAGCTCCTCGAATGGGATTTGAAAGTGAATGAGACCAAAACAGAGCACACGCACATCGAACGGCACACTGATCGCATCGAGGAGGAGTGGCGAGCCACCAAGAAACTCGGGTCCCTATTAGGTGATGCCGAGGATATGCTACGGCGACAGCAACTGGCAACTGTTGCCTTTGGTAAACTCTGGACGCTGTGGATCCGTAGGTCGCTAGTTTCGGAGGATCTCCGCATCCGGCTCTATAATGCCTTTGTACTCCCTGTACTCTGCTACAATTGTGCAACATGGGCACCAACGAAACAGCAGCTGAGCCGTATTGAGGCCTTCCACCGAAAACAGCTGCGGGCGCTAATCGGCATTGTGTTCCCGAATCGGATTAGGAACGAGAGGCTCTATGAGCGTACCGGCGCGGTTCCTCTCCGCATTATCATCTTGAGAGCTAGGTGGAGGCTCTTTGGGCACGTCCTCCGGCTCCCGGCTGACTCCCCACCATCCCTGGCCATGGGAGCGTACTTCGCAGAGCCTCGTCCAGCGGGCTGGAGGGGACGACCAAGACACACACTACCGACGCTACTACAAGATGATGCCAAGCGGATTGGACTTTCCCTGTCAAGCAAAGTCGATCTGGAGGCGGTCCGTGCCCTTGCTGCTGACCGAAGCAGTTGGGTGGGCATCTGTGCCCGAGTGGTGTCGGCACCCTAGTTTTTGTCTTCTTTTCGCATATTTCTTCTTTTTTTTGAAACTGTTATGGTCTTTTGTATCTATTCGAAGTGGCTTATGCGAACATTTTTGGCTGGTTTGCATGATTCGCATGCCCATTAATGCAGCTGCAGGCCATGCTGATGTCTACGCGAACAAGCACATAATAATAATAAAATACATCTTCAAGCAATCAGATAACAAACGCCCAATTTCGAAATTTTTGTGCAAGAAGTAATCACAGATTTGAGCAGTCACGTCTCGATGACCGATCACGATCCCCGTGACCAATCAAACAGTCACAAATCCCCGAAGAGCAGTCATAAAGTCACACACCAGTTTGAATCCCGATGACCAGTCAGAAACAGCCGCGACTTTCTCTGTGAACGGTCACAGGATCCACGTCAAAATATTACGACTCAACTGTAGGCATTCACGCGTTCAGCATACTTTTTTCCTTCACAGGTTTCAGAAGTGAGCAAGAAAGATTTCGATCAACTCTCGATCTCCGCGTAGTTTACTTGTAGCTCGAGTGTGTGTGGGCTCCTCTCCAAAACGAAGGGTGGTCGAAAATCTTGCAGGCTTCAGATAGAATCTCTTTTGAGAGGACGTTCTGGCTAGTAGGTTGTGCTATTCATCATATTTGAAGAACAAACTTCGTCGTTCAGAAAACCTATTTCGGAATATTTTCAGTCATGTAATTTTTGCATGCCGATCTTGCTAGAGCAGAGACTGACTTCAACTGAACCAGCATGCAAGCAGCACTCGATTTGTGTTTTTGGAGAGGATGGGTGACAAGATTACGGAGTCAGAAGTGGACATCGTCGACGATGCAGAGACGAAAATATAATGAAGATGGAAATGAAAATATGTTCATTTCCAAGAAGGTACTGAGTACATCAAGCACCTTCGTGTGTGTAGCTCTGTCTTTCTTGTGGAAGACTCCACAGAAAAACAATGTCCAGCTTGTTGAAACTGAAACTGCCTCTCAGTTGAATTCGTTCAGGAAGACATCTATTCAAGACATCATTGATCCATTCTCAAGAACCATCGTAAGAAATTAAATCAAGTCATGTTTATCGATAAGAATGGCGAACTAGACCAGAGAAGTGTGAGTGTCTTGTTTGACTGCAGGAAACTGTATTTCAATATTCTGGCTCAACGTAGTGCTTACGCAGTTTACTGCTTCGAACACATCTTCATTTCTACTCCCAAAATAACTCTGTAAAATTTATTGATGCAACATTAATCATCATGCATCATGGTCTTTCTCGTTGTGCTGCTATAACGTGTATAAGTACATGCATACGAGTACTGTGTACCGTTTACTTTCTCCTTGTCAGTGTTTTTGGGCGATCCTCCACACCTTCATTTGTCTTCCAATTATTAATTTTATAGAAATATTCACTCACTTCAACTTCTTTTGATTGCTGGTGCGAATGTAGCCTGCGATGCCTGCTTGTTAGTGAGAGTGTACCAGACATGTATCGATATGTATGTCTGACGACATGTTCTTGAACTGGCATGCTGCTTTGCTTAGATAAGGTTTAGAATTGGGTGCTCAATGGCCTGGAGGAATTAATCATGTTTGCGGTCAGTATCACCAAGAGTATGGTTCTTCCGTCTACGCATCTCTTCTTGGCTTGTGGATTGGTTGAAAAGAGATAAAATAATAATACAGAAAGAAGTACTTGTGTCCAAGTGTCGTCATGAAAACAAGTTCTACCTCCGTAACTTTGTCCGCAAGGTCACGTGAATCTAGCTGGTAGTCCCGCTGCCTATTTGTGTGTGTGTGTGTGAGTAAGTGTGCGCGCGCATGTGTGTGTGTGTGTGTGCATGCGTGAGAAAGAGAGTGTGTGTATGTGTGTGTGTGAGAGAGAGAGAATGTGTGTGTGTGTTTGTGTGTGCGTGCGTGGATGTGTGTGTGTGTGTGTGTGTGGATGTGTGTGTGTGTGTGTGTGTGTGTGTGTGTGTGTGTGTGTGTGTGTGTGGATGTTTGTGTGTATGTGTGTGTGGATGTGTGTCTCAAACTCTCTCTTCTACTCTCCCCCTGTCTCGGGGGCGGCGTGGCCAAGCATTTGGCAGCTGTACACCAGGCCAGTTGTGTGTGTGTGTGTGTGTGTTTCAAACTCTCTCTTCTACTCTTCCCCTGTCTCGGGGGCGGCGTGGCTAAGCATTTGGCAGCTGTACACCAGGCCAGGTGTGTGTGTGTGTGTGTGTGTGTGTGATGTAGAGAATGAATGACATATGTGCGTGTGTGTGAGAGAGAGATTTAGAGAATGAGTGTGTGTGTGTGTGTGTGTGTGTGTGTGTGTGTGTGTGTGTGTGTGTGTGTGTGTGCGCGTGTGAGTGTATGTGAGAAAAGGGAGAGAGTGTGGGTGCATGTGTGTGTGTAATGGTGTGGGCATGTGTGGTCCCCAGCTCTATTCTATGTCATTCACGCTGGAACTGCTGCTGCATAGCCCCAAGTCTGAAGACTTGGCAACTTCACGCCTGCACCTGACTCTTGCACTATAATACCCGTCGCCTATGATACCCCTCAGAATTTCCCACCTAACCCCTTGCTCCCCCTTATGTTCAGGCTGCCCGTTTAGGAGCCATCAGTTGCCTGACGATCGTAGTAATACGTGAAACTCAGAGTTGTGACAAAGCCTCCAATCTCTCTTGTAATACAGATATACTTATATTCTGCCTGTGACTACTCACAGAGAAAGAGTGGTCACAACTGTACATTCCGCATGGAATTATAGTGGTCACAACTGTATTCTGCGACCGCTCATAGGGAATTATAGTTTCCACAACAAATCCTGCAGTACGAAGCACCCTGCGAGCAGTCACGAACTGTGTACTTTACACATGTACATGTATGGTGATTTGTGACTGGTCATGGGGCATTGTGACTGGTAAACTAATTTGTGACTGGTCATGGGGGGTTTGTGACTGTTTGACTGGTCACGGGGACCGTGATTGGTCACGGGGCCTTGACTGGTCACTGAGTCCTACATATATGCTGGCCTAACGGTTTTTTTTACATCGCGCGTCTATATTTTTGAAACGCACTGTAGCTACTAGAGCAAAGACCCTGCTTACATGGGGCATGATGCACAATGGCAATAAGGTGTGTGTGTGTATGTAGCAGACTCTGCCAGCATACTGCTTCCTTTCAGTTTGTAGTTTGGCTGCTCACCCGTGATTTTGATTCTGATCAGAGTATTGTGTGTGTGTGTGTGTGTGTGTGTGTGTGTGTGTGTGTGTGTGTATGTGTGTCTGTGTGTGCGTGTGTGCACATGTGTATGTGTCTGTGTCCGTATCCTCCCTTGCATAGGTTTGAGATTTCTACGCTGGAGGAGTGCAAGGCCGCATGCTGCGCTGATGCCAAGTGCAAATCCTTCGATTTTGTTTACAAATTCCCAGTGAGTTGCAACCGTCAAAGAACGTCCGCACTCATGGCCAAAAGAACCCGGAAATCACTCATCAGAGTTGCTCATCCGGAATCACCTCACTTTTGTAGTTCAGCTTTTCATATTGAACATGGTGCCGCTGTGAACTGAATACTGTGAATCAGAAATTGTTGTCCAGTGAGAAGCTTTGGCCAATCTTGAACTAAACGTTTTGGCCGTCGTCGAACTTTGACGGATTGGGGCTTTCGAAAAGGAAATCCGTCGGTGTTTTTTGCTCTCACATACAGCTATGGCTCAGTCTTGCATAATTCTCCTCTATGACAAACTTTGGTCAACGATTTTCTTTTACTTTCGCACTTGGTGTACGTGCCCCCCCCCCCCCCCCCCCCAAGAAAAATTGTTTTAGGATCGTTATAAGCGAGAACAGTTTGCTAGGGAGGGTCAATTCTGTATGGGTTCAAACTGAGACTTGGACAATGGTTTTCTGCATCACGGAATACATGTGAGTTCGTTATACAGTCAGACCTCGCATAACCGCACACATCCGTTTTCCACAAAAATATCCGGATAGGCGAGGGAACCGGATAATCGAACACACATACTGTATGTAAGCATGGCATATGCTGTACATTTGTAACCAACTATTTTCTTCCGGATGGCGAGGGATCCGGATAAACGAGGTCTGACTGTACTCAGAGTCAACTACCTGTATAGTAGGGTTTCAGCCACACCACGTGTTTCTTGCCGTTTTCATCCGTGTCCGCAGGTGAACATTGGATTCAACTGTACGGTGGGGTCGAATTGCTGTTTCCTGAAGAACAAGGTCCCTCCGCTGGTTCCGTCCGGCTTGAATGTCTCCTCCGGAGTGTCTTCTCTGGTAGGTACTGCTGCTAGCCAAATTGATTTGACATTCCATGTGCACGATTTTCCCCACGTGCAAATTCAATGTTGTCACTGGTTGGCCGAAAGGTTTGCGAGGATGTGAATAGCTAGACAAGTCGACTTTTAGTCAAATTCTAATTTGCCAATATTGATCCACTGATGATGAGGATGATGAGGATGATGAGGATGATGAGGATGTGTGTGTGTGTGTGTGTGTGTGTGTATGTTTGTGTGTGCATATGCATGTGTGCGTACGCGTATGCGTGTGTTCGTGTTCTTACCCGCGATGCAGCAAAACAGTGTGCTCTCAGTTTCCACGCTCCACTCCAGCTTGAACCCGGAGGCGAGCGGCGAGGAGAAACACGTGCCATTCTCCTACGCACCGAAGAGTCTGGCTCCGCGTAGCAAGTCTGTTTCTGACCGTATCAGCGAGAAGCGCAAGTCTGAGCTTCTGGCGCGGTTTGGCCCATCGGTTCACGTTGGCGAGACCCCAGTGACGGACTCTGTGACCGTGCAGATCTTCATCGATCACAGGTCAGTAGTCTCTGCTCCGCTGTCGTTTACGTTTAAGTTTGGTGGGTCCGCTTTGCTGCTCAATGAAATCGGATCACGCAAGTCAAGCACGTGCAGGGCGCTGTGCAGCCCTACAGTCCATTCATTGGAAACTGGCACCCTAACTTTTTGGTGTCTCTGTCACATAGTTGTAGATATCGTGAAAACAACAGTACATCCTGCATTGTGTGACCCGTGCAATTACTCCTTGCCACATTTGAGGCCAGAAAAGTCCAAGAACAGGGAAATAGAAATTCAGCCAGGCTTTACAAAATTAGGACAGGTATGCCATGGCAAAATGTATGGAGAAGCAGATCCAAAACCCAGATTTTTGAGATTTAAAGTGGGTTTTGTAGACCTGTGAACACTGGGCTGTGTTCTAGTGCAGGGCGCACACTAGACTCACACAGCGAAGTTTTTGGAAGTCTGGAAAAGTTTTGGATTTATAATTCAATTTCCCCAAGTCTGGAAAAAAGTTTTGAAAAGGCGCTCCTTTTGAAAAAAAAGTTTTGAGTCGGATTTGTTCGAGCGGCATTGTAGCAGTTCTCTGACTACCCAGGCCTCGCCCATTGGGCAAACGATCTACAGTGTAATATATAATATTTTGTCCACGTCTTCAGTACGGAGTCGTCAGAAAACACTAGTTGGCATCTGCCTTAGTGTCAGCCCAAATTTGCCGGCAATTCTTTTGGCATAATATCGAAACATTTTAGAAAAAGAATTGCCCGGCATATTTGGAGCATAATTTCGAATTTTTTGGAGATTTTCACCGTGATTTCGCAGATACTCGGAAGTTCACGTCCAGCGCCAGAGGTACATGCGTGTATTGTACTAGGTCCATGCTCAAAACTAAATTCCTTTGCACGGCAGCTTGGTAATGAGCATTGTGAGGTCAATCTTCACACTATAAAATGTGAACCCAGCAAAACCGAGCATATTTCGATGTTTTTCTGAAATTTTCTCCAAAATTTGGTCCAAATTTGGCGTTTTTGAATCTGTCATTGAGCATAATCAGAGCAAAATATCGTCTCCGCCCGGAAATGCCAAGCATAATATCGAAAGAAGCGCAGCAAAATTATGCGGCATAATATCGAAAAGTCTCGAGCAAATTTGGGCTGACACTAATCTGCCTGCCCTGCACATGACCTTGTGCCAGTACTTTTTTACTCTGAAAAAATCTCATTTCCGGCCTCTCACAGCAACGAGTTGGATGTCAACGGTCGCCTCGTTGGGCATCTTCTAGGGAAAGATGCTCTTCGGAACCAAGCCATCAGTCTGTTGGCGTGAAATACTGGGAAGTATAGAAACCTTCAGGCTTTGATGAGGTTGTTTATGCCCATCACTTTCTCTGTCCAACACCCCAATAGTGTTGCACCTACTTGAGCATTGGGAAGGCTGCAAGAAGCCTCAAACTTCCTCGTAGCAGCTTCTCCTTGTCGAGAGGTTGCATTCGTGTGTGTGTGTGTGTGGTGGTGGTGGGGAGGGGAGGGGGGGGGGGGGTGCCTCTTGGGTGCTAGGGTGCTCACTCTGAACCAGACTCGCAGTTGTACAGCAGCTGTGTCTTATGGCTGTCCTGTGCTCTGTGCTGTAGTGTTGTGGAAGTGTTTGTGGAGAATGCGCTGGTCATTACGGAGCGAGTCTACCCAACTCAGGAAAGCAGCATGAACGTTCAGCTCTTCTCTAACAATGGCAGTGTGATATTCACGTCGATCGAGGCTTTCCAGATGCAGGGCGCCTTCAACAACTAGTGCTGTGTTGACGAAAAGGTAACGTACCGGTACTCTTACACTGGGTCTGGGTCAGTACGACTTTGTCGCTTTATCTCCGTGCCTGTGCTGGTGCATGGAGTTATGGTGGTGTATCCTCCGCTTGTAGTACTACGGCTTGTTCTTATCGGCAGGACATGCCGTGCTGGCCGTGTAGACTCGCCTGCAGCGATGCGCTCGTTTGTTTTTGGCCTCGGCGCAGTGCGTACCGCATTGGCGAGCTCCGCCTTTGATCGGGGTGTAAGGTTGCGGCGGGCGTGGCTGTAGATTGTCCTGCAGGTGCATCAGCCTACTTTAGCCTCGTTGAGACGGTGTAGCCGTGTGCTTGTAGAGAGAACTATGCTCGTTTCTACTGCATCATTCATACTCACTCCTCAATCGTTGTGCAGCATCTAGGCATTTTATTTTTCAAACTTTTCTCTTTGCGCAGCGCTCCTGTGTATATTGAGTCTTAACCGAACTTATTTATTATAATCATGGCTCACAGCAGCAATGCTTCGCCATTTCCAGCGTTTGGTGATTTGGGAACTTGAGATGACGCAGAGAGTCTTCTTGGATGCATAGACTCGTTTGGTGACACGCTGTGGGCGTGCTTGCTTACTGCTCAGACTAGCAATCATTGTGCAGCTGGAGAACTCCAACTTGTGTGGCTGTGTGGTGCTGTGCAAGCAGTGCTTGTTTTTGGACGCATGTGGAATAAACCCGCTCCAATTTGTTCGAGAATGGTCTACCGATTACTCGTTATGGATTTTGCGTCCGGAAAAGTACCAAAAATCCGTGTTTGTGAATTATAATCGATCATTGAAGTTAAACGTAATCGACAGGGAGCTGGGAATCCGCTATTGCTTTAGCCCTTCATAACTCTGTACCGCTGCAGCCCAAGTGTGTGTCCATTTCTGAATAGTGGCATACATCTACATGTACTGCAGTTCTTTGACGTGCTGCTGGCCTGTCTGCCAAGTTATGTCGGCTATGGCACGTGTGTGGCTCGAGGCTAGGAGTGCAGAATGTGACACTGTCCAATAGCTCTCTGCCTGGCAGTTGCTCAACTCTGTCTGAGACTGCCTGCATGCAGTCCAACTCCTTGAATTTTTTTCTTTTTGGAGGGGGGGGAGGATTTGGCTCGCTAGCAAGTTAGTTGGCATGTATTTCTTTGCTCTTAGCCAGGGGCTATTACTCCAGGAAGCTAAGAGGATGCTGGGCTTGACAGTGTGGAGGTTACTCTGGTGAGAGCGTGCTATGGCCTGCGGCGGCCCAGTCAGTTTTGCACGTTGGGAAAGTGCGGGGTGCTACAAATTGGCAGTCCAGTCAGTTTGCACGTTGGGAAAGTGCGGGGTGCTACAAATTGGCTGTCCAGTCAGTTTGCACGTCGGGAAAGTGCGGGGTGCTACGAATTGGCAGTCCAGTCAGTTTGCACGCATTGGGAAAGTACGTGCTACAAATCGTTGTCTGGCGGCCGTCTATGAGTTTCAGTGAGCGGATCTCTCGCCAACAGCAGACCGTTCTACTCTCCGTTATTGCCGTTGTCGGCGTGCTTGTCGTGTGTGTGTGTGTGTGTGTGTGTGTAGTGCAGCTTTGGCAATGAATGTACACAGTCCAAGTCACTTGACATGTTTTGTTGTCGCGGCGTGTGTTGTTGTTGTTGTTGCTATTGACTGCACGAGTACATGTACTGCCTCGAAATCATAATAATTATTACACGCCTGCCAACCGTCATGATTTGGCCGGGACCGTCCGGATGTCGAGGGCGGTAATAAGCACCCGAAAGAGCATTTGTCGCATGCTGTAAAAAACGATATTTTCGGTGTAACTTTAATTTCGGTGATTTCGGTAGAGAAACCAGGCACCTAAATTTAGTTTACACCCAAAAGGCACCAGAGTATGCACTGTATGTGCAGGGAATGCTGGTCACCTAATTCTAAATTACACCCGAAACCTGGCAGGTCCCTGACACCGAAATTTTAATGCACCTAAAATTACATGTTTTACAGTACCTCACAGCTACATGTACTATGTGTATACATTTTCATACCTACATGTGGGTATGTCATTGTCTGTTCCGATCTCGGGTTTGCAAAGGTTGGCAGGTATGATAAATTGATAATTATTATGTCTTGCAAGTCTGGGCACCCAAGAGACTGATTGGTACGCTGCACATACAGTGGTATGCGTCTAAACTGTGGATTGATTTCTTAATTGATTACATGATTAATTCATTGATCGGTTATTGTTTCTTTGTCTTGGTGCGGTGGCGAGGATCAATATGATGAGTAGGCTTCTGTCAAAGTGAGTGTCCTGTTGACTTTCGTATTTTTACGATGAGACAGTGTAGAGCCCGTTGCAAAGAAAATATCATTCCCAAAACACACGTGAAGCGTTTGGGACAGTTGGTGTTTGGCTAAAGGGTTTTGCTCAGACGAGATAGTACAGAATGCACACGCTGGCGAACAGAATTCTGGAACAGTGCATCGGCCAGGGCATGCATGGCACTCATTTAGTATATGCAGTTGCAGCAAGAAGCCAGTTTATGTGCATGGCTAAGCTAGCCTGTCCTCTCTTCTCTTATCTACGCTAGCTGCAGTCCAGAGTTTGTTCGGGTGGCATCAGTTGTCCAACCATGGCAACAGAATAATCAATTGTTTGGTGAACGGTGGGTATCTTTCCGTGGTAGACTACAGTGTAACCGGTCTAAGGCGACCGCTCAAGGCACCTTCAAAATGTGGTCACTGTGCACCAGCGGCCTCCTTATCCAGGGTCGTTTGACTGGAAATAGCACCCCTGGGTCCTGGTCGTAGTGGCGGCCGCCTTATACGAGTGGTTGCCTTGGCAGGTTCTACGGTATGTTGCACTTGCCTTCTGCTTGGCTTTGTTTTTTGTTTTTTACTAGTATCCGGTTATGGTTTGAGTTTGATGACAAGTGTCCCGGTAGTATTTTCACAGCTATGGTACGGCGGTAACGCTATGTTTACTAGTAGTAAACCGCTAGTGTGCAACTCTGCATGGGCTTGCTATGGGGCACGCCAGTGGCGAAAACTCTCTTCACATGATGATTGTGAGTTCTTGCTGAAGGCGCTTTAAGTGACTAACAGGGAAGTAAAAATTGCCTTTTCCAGGCGGAAAGTAGAGAACATCTTTGGCATTCTCATCAGTTCCAGACTGCCCACACACTGAACTCCACTGCACGTACTACGTGTACTTGTATGCAAACAGTATACTAGGAACACCCTTGCAGCAGATATAGACCACTTGATTTAAGTGTTCGACAGAGGCCCCGAATGCGGAGTTCTCTTGGGGATTGAATATTCCCTGTGTCATTCATTGCTGGTTCTCCTGGGTCTGCGTTCCACTGGTGCGCTGAGTCCACTGAATGGCAGTGGCCAGGGTCCATGGCTAGCCTTGAGGCTTGGATTAGACGTGCACTGTGTAAATCTACCACTTGCACCGATCTCCCACTGAAAATGGATATGCCAATTACAGGTTGTAGTACTGTCCCTTGGCTCGGGTGTCTCCGTACAATGTGTCCATGCACATGCACAGCGCGCCACCAGCTCTATTCAAGCGTAATCAGGCCGGGGGAAACTCAATTTTGTATGCACAGTACTTGCATGGCTTCCTAATCACCGGGTACTTCATGTCAGCATTAGTAATCTGAGCGCAGTGTGCTCAATAGAACTTTAGCACCAAAGGGTTAGCAACTGTATGTCATAATTATGCGATGGGAGAGGAACAAGTGTACTAAATTAGATTACGTGTGATGCCTGCTTGAGAGCAAGACCTGGAGGATAAAGCAAGGGGAATTTTTCAGCTGCTCAGTGCACACTGTGGATAACTTGAGTCCCACGCCAGGGGAGCCACCAACGTACAGCACTTGTAACACAACTTTACGCCTTGTTATCTGCATGCTGGTACTGTACATAATAGTGCATTGAAAGCATTCACATTTCAATGCACTATTAAGTTAAAATTGCTGTGTAGGAGTCATCAGCAGCAGTTAGTATCAGGGAGTAGTAAAATACCGGTATTTTTTGACTCCCTGGTTAGTATTCTGGATATATGCTGCACTACATGGTACCAAGAGTCCATAAACGTTGTTATGCACTCTTGATGGTACTATTGGGATTACTCCAGCAAAGTGGTGTAGCCATGTCCTACCCAATTCAGAATCACTTGCCCTGGCTTGGACCTGTCATGCCTGGTTCCACCAATTATGTTGAAAGTGGCCAACTCCCAAGAACCTCCTTGGCCACCTGACAAACTACCTTTAGCATGCTTTGCACATTCTAGTTTTAAAATTATGATGAGTCAGATGAGCGATTGCAATCATTACGTGCACGATTGGTGAATCATTGCATGCACGGGGTGGCAAATGTTCTTTTGTGTTGTCTACCTCGAATGTAGATCTACACGTAGTTTGTGATTTCTTGGGTGGTTGAGGATGCGTCAGGGTGGACGGTTCATGTATGTATAGAGAGAGAGAGGGGGGGGGGGGCACAGGTACAGTGCTGGCATTTGAAATCCAACCTCGAGGTTAAACCACTCATCCCCCGACTGTCCAATTTTAATTCAAGCAATGCACTATCAACAGTGGACAGTGCAGTGTACCACGGCTCTGCTTTATTCATGGGGTTGGATTTCGTTAGTCACCACTGTACAATGCCCCGTGTATGTAGTGTATGTAGTGACTAATCACATGTTGCACAGATCTCTTGTAGCCTGTGTCAGTTAGGTTTAGCAGACAGAGTCTACCCTGAATCTCACATTCTAGGGAATTAATCGACCCAAAGCACTATTCCGAAGACTCTAATTTTTGCTAAAAGCCTAAAATGTGCTAGAACTCTTTGCCTATAGAGTTGAGTACCTCTCTGTAACAACGTGCTGATTTGATAAACTAAAGTTCAGCCCAGGAATGCTACACGACGGACTGACGTGTTTGTGTGAAGGGCTGGGGGGTCAGGGTATTTGTGACTGTCAGCAAGCACAAGAAACCACCTGTCCACGCCAATGTCACTGTCATCATGAAGTGGTGTCACAGCTGACCCTGATTGACCAAGCACCAAGCACAGGAGATTGCCTTCATGGATCAAGAGCATGAGAAAGGTGTGCGAGTACTGCTGTGAATTACCTGAGTGCCTCCTAATTGCCCCTGCCAAGCAGTGCTGCTTCCTGACCAAGGTTGTGCTGCTGCTGCAGGCGGATGTGTTGGTGTCCTTATTGGGTGACAATGCATGCCACACACTACTAGTAGCCATTACTAGAAGTCAGTGTGTCGCCCTGGTGCCAGTGAGTTACTTGTAGTACTAGTAGCATCTTCCCGGCTTGTGTGACTAGGGAGAGAGAGAGAGAGAGAGAGAGAGAGAGAGAGAGAGAGAGAGGGGGGGGGGGGGAGAGTTTCGCGATGTAAAGGTAGGGCTTGAGATGGAAATGCTACTTTCTCTCAGTATACGGTGTAAGGTTTACGACTTCCTCCCTCCTGACTCGTGATCATCTTGTTCCTGTTATTTTCCCCCTTATAATACATGCCACCACTGTTCATGCTGCCTACAGTACATGTGCATGCCTTTACATGTATATGTACGACGACCTTATCCACAATATAAACATGCATTACACATTGCAAACTCTACGTGGTACATATCGTGACAGCACTCAACTTATTCTTTTGCTCACTGAGCAATACAATCTTTCCATTTTCTTTCTTCTGTTTTCTTTTTCATTTT